TTTTAATATATATTATAATTTTATTTTTAATTTTTTAACATAAAATAAATATATTAAATATAATTAAAATAAATTATAATATATTTTTATTATTAATAATATTTATAAAATTTAAAAAAAAATATAATATTATTATTTTATTAATATTTAAAAAAATATTTAATAATATTTTATTTTTATTTTATAAATAATTTAATAAATTTATAAAACTTTAAATAAAAATCTTAATTATTAATAAATTAATTAATAATATAAATAACTTTAATATTTTTATTAATATAATATTAATAAAACTTAATAAATTTGTTTTTAAATAATATTATTGTAAAAATTAATATAAAATATATTTATATTTATTTTATATAATTATTAATATTTTTTTTATTATATTTAAATTATTTAATATTAAATTAATATTTTTAAATAATAAATATATTTTTATATAAAATTATTATTATTTAAAATACATAAATTTTCAAAAAAATTAAATATATAAATAATTAATTTAATAAAAATATTATTATATTATTATTAAAAAATGATATAAAAATTATCATTTTAATAAACATTAATTATAATATAAATATAAACTTAAATAATAAATTAAAGTAAAATAATATTATTTACTTTTATAATTAATTAAATTTTAAACTTTATATTAATATTAATGTTAAATATATTATATTTTTATAAAAATATTAAATATTATATTATATTTTTATAAAAATATTAAATATTATATTATATTATTATATAAATATTAAATATATTATATTATTATATAAATATTAAATATATTATATTATTATATAAATATTAAGTATATTATATTATTATATTAATATTAAGTATACTTTTTTTTTTACATTAATATTACTTTTAATATTTATATTATAGGTGATATTAATATACCTATGTCTGGGGGATCTGATAACTACCTAGGTAGTAAATTCTGACCTACATAATTACCTAAATAGTCTTTTTATTAAGTATACAAATCTTTTTTGTGAATCTTTTGTGAACAATTGGTGAATCCAGTTCCTAGACTGTCAACGTAATCAATGCGAAAACAAAGATGATATACGAACTTCTCACATCAGCTCTCCATCGCGATTCACGATTCACGATTCAAGATGGAGAGAACTAAAGGCACTATCCATTTTATGGAGCATGGTATCGTGTATAATGTTATAAGATAATAATGAAAATCACTGCCTGACCTGGACAAGAGACCTAATTCTGCTGAGATATAGAAAATATAGCAGATTTCAGTTATAATGAGCGGTATATTTAATTAGCATATTAGATAATGACTCGATGTCAAATCTTTTGAACTCTATTCAAGTCAGATTATTAAAGTGTGGAAAAAAGTTCATAAGAAACATAGAGCATTCAATATGTCCTATTAAATAGCAATGTATGGTGAAATGCTCCGCATATCTCCAATGTATGGCGTATCATAGGCTATATTCACGGTACCATCGATTTAAGAATTTGAAAGATGTTAGCGTTGAAACAAGAATGATATGGATCGGCTGCCATCGGCTATTTGCTGTCAAATAGCAAGCTGCATCTATGAAGACTGTCTTGGCTAGTCGCGTCCTTCATTCAGTAAACGTGTAGAAATTAGTGGGCGAATAGGAATCCGTCGTCATTCCGTGATATGTAATTAATTAATATCAAGATTTCCTTCTATTCGCTGGATGCGCGTGATATTTGTAATTGCAAACAGCTGATCTCCCATATGTGCCTTGTTCCATGGGCCGGAGTCGGCAAGAAAGCAAAACAATCTACTTGACCTTGTAAAACTCTTTCGACCCGGGAGGGAAAGTGAAAGAGGGATACTGATGACCAGAGAGCATAAGAGAAATGGTGTTAGGATACAATGATAAGTATATGCTCTTGTCTGTATTTTCCTCCAAAATGTCGTTCTTTTTCATGGAGTCGCACCCAGGCTGATCATGTAAGTCAATTCCGCGGAATTGCACACCACACACACACACACACAAATCACTAGCTGCGTAGCTTTTCTCCGGGACTCCCGAGAATATGTATCATGGGTCCTCTAAGTAGCCAACCCAGCTCATTAGGATGTCTCCACTCCAGCTGCATCTACCGCCGACTAATAGTATAAGCAACTCGTGGAGTGGTGTTGTACTACTAGCAATGAAGTGAGGGCTGCCTGAAGCCACTTTGAATTGTGACCAACAAGTTTGACGATCTCCCGGGAACCACACTGGCGATTGAGTGAATGGAGAGAGCCACTTTGAGCTCCATCATGTGATGATCATGTCATGAAGCTACTCTTGAAAGCTGCATGGTGAATCACCAAAATAAACCGTCTTAGGCATAGTGTATGTAAGGTATCATTTTATCATTAACGACAGTCTAGAGCAGAGTGCAAGTATGGTATCAAAACGACCGAATCTATCCATCATTACTTCATATCCATGCCATCCCCATCCCGTTCTCAACCGCATTAATATGGGGATCCATTCTCAGCGCACTCCACTCCCTTCAGGCCATTATTCTCCCTCCATTTTGTTCGTGTTGGTATCTCTCTATGTGTAAAACACGGTAATTGTTTCGGTTGCCCGAGATGCTAGTGCGTGCGCAGACAATTGCTGGCATTCTCAGATTGATACGTGCTGCAGATGAACGGTGCAAGCGGGGGAGCAGAGACTTGCTGTGCTGTTTCTCTTAGTTCACCACGCAGATGTACTGTCTTAATTAGACAGAGTTATCAGAGGGGCGGCCAGCAGAGATCTCCTTGTTGTGAAGAGGAGCAGCTGGAGCAGCATACTCGGCACGGAGAAGAATGCCCTCAACCACAGTGTTGCAGAGAAGGAAGAAGCTGTTGAAGCGGATGTTAGTGAGAGCACTATTTTGATGGGTAACTCGCAGTAAGATGCTTACAATGCGATGAAGTTGAAAGCGTCAATGGCCTTCTTGCGGGAGCAGTGGCCCTCACCAGGCTTGCCGAAACCACACTTTCCGCTGCTCCAGTCTTGGGAAGAGAAGATGAAGGAAGTGAGCCAAAGGTAGGAGAAGACCAGGTTCATAGGAGCCAGGTATCCACGGTATCTGCCAATAAGAGGCAAGACGGCACCAACGAGCCAGAAACCCAAAGTAATAGTGGCCTAGGTGCGAAGGAAAGAGGCAATCGTTAGTATGCAAACGCTGGATGTAGGATTGGTGTAAGTGAGAGGACATAGACATACAATGACTTCCTGGTACACGATGTTAACGCCACGGTAGTCGTACTTGTGAAGGAACCAAGAAACAAGACCAGTGACGATGGCCGAGGAGGTGAGGATCATGAGATGGTTGGCAAAGGCGATGTATCGCAAGGTGGCGTGCTGCAAGTTGCCGAACATTTTGGCGGTATTATTATTGGTAAGTTGCTTCTAAGTTGTGCTGATGGGTGCAATGGGAGTAATGCTTCAGGGAGCTCTAAGTGATGATGCTGTTGGGGTATATATATAAATGTATGTATGTGGATGAGTGTCAATTAATGATGCTGTCGATTCAAGCTGATTGCTTGTGGAGGATGTGGAAGCTGATGCTGAGTGGTCCGAATAACATCCAGATACGCGGAGCGCACGACTTGCTTTATACCAATCTCCATCACCATCTCCCCGCGACCGTTCTCGCCGTCCATATCCGTTCATCGGATCGATGTCATCTGATGATGCGCCCTAGTGTGAGAAGGAAAACCATCACGACAATGAGGCTTCGACGTCATAGCATGCCACCTCTCGAAATGCCGACGATTAGACATCGCTCGGGCATTGGGCCATCTGCCGGCGCTCCGGGACCTCCGGCAGTTCTGCACCCACCTGATTAACGCAGCACAACTTGATTCTTTGGGCTCTTGAGATTTTCTGGGTCTGTTTAGCTGCATTGCTGCATTGGGTTGCCAAGAACTTTGGGTCGCATCGAGCAAAGCTCAATGCATTGCTGTGTCTTGAGCTCTTAACCGAGGGCACGCGGATGTCCTGAGCCGCTCGGCTGGCTCGCCGAGTTTGTCGGCCCAAGAGCTACGGAAAAGGAATAAACGCGAGGGCGAGAAGAAAACCTGAAGTAGCTGCATGGATACACATGTACATTTCATTGGCCCGGCACATTTCGGTATTGTGACGATGCCCTCCAATGCCAATGGGCGAGCCGTAACTCACCAGAGCCATGCATAGTGAGCAAGCGCTGAAAAACTCAACTTGTTGCCCAGCTGCTATTGCCCGGAGCTAATACGTCGTATCTACCTTAGTAAAACTGCCCTTCAAGAGGCCAATTATTATGTAGCTAGGACAAAGCATTCCGTTTCACTATGTTTTGGGCAACGCTAAGAAGAGTCGAGATGCTGCCCGGTTTGTAGAGCAAGTTTCGAATCGCAGACATACTCATCCACCCGTAGATCGGCGATGATTTGCCGGGCGGGAATGCCCTCGTTCGATATTTTTTCTAGTGTGAGATTGATGACATCGCAGGGCGGGCGGCTCGGTGATGGTCGGGATGTGCCACCAAATTATTTTCTCACCTCCGAGTTATCAGCTAACAAAGCGACGTCATGCCAATCAATGCAATACTAGCGAGGAAAGGAAAAAAAATTCACCTGTAGTCGGCCGGAAATAACGGGCTATATTCTGCATGCAGCTTAATAACCATAGTAACTTCAGCATTTGGTTTCTGTTGCGTGTTGCTTTGGTATTGTTTGTGCTCCTCACATCTCTTGATAGAGGCCATCACGACGGCATCCCCATTTGCTGATTTACGCGCTCATGTATTATTTTCATACATTTTTTTCTTCAGTTCGGCTATTGCTGTTCTGAAATGGGATGTTTCACTGGACCTTGGCTGAGTGTGTCATTCTGCCTTTTTCCCGGATGTGAGTGAGTTCGCCCGTTCGCGATAGCTAGTGGCAACGGTTGTCGGCTGCCGCACGACTAACACCAAATCACAGCACGCTTTGCCGCATCAGCTTCTCGACTACGAAAATACTTCAATAGCCTTGGAATTACGAGTCATTTAGCGAGCAGGTTTTGTCTCTGAAGGGTTACATCTCAGCACACACCGATCGTTTTCCATAATGATGACGGGTGAAGAAGTCCGAAGCTGCCGATTACACAGTCCAAAATTAACATAGCGGCTTAGTACGTCAAAGTAAAAGCCAACAACAGTAACAATCACTTACTTATAAAGCCAGTCGGCCGAATGTGTTGAGTAATTTCACTCCAGCAGTGGATTTTTTTTATTTAATGACTCGCTTATACCTTTTTCTTTTGCATTAATCTTTGGTAAGTGCTTCTGGACGAAGCTATTACCAAAATGTCACCCGAACCTCGTGGTGTCTTGGTCTAAAGATATAAGTAGGCTTGCGACTGCGATAATCCGACTGGACAATTCAGATAATAGATCATTTTACTTTCGTCTGTTGAAAATACTGAATCAGCAAAGGAAGGCGAGAGATCTATACTCGAATAATCAGGCACCATCGTCCTTTTAAGCATAAAATGGGAGGCTGTGCCACAAAGTCAAACCGTTGCCACCGACATCACAACGTACGCCCATGGGATTCACACTCCAACGGCTCGTGATTAACTTTGACAAATGCAGCATTTTAACTACGCGTATTTATTCTCCCCGATTGCAGAGAGCGGATAATGCCATACGACCCTCGAAGAATACAAGTTGCCAAATGTAAGGACTCAACACTCCGCAATTCTAATCCTCGTAGTGTAAGTTAAGTGTGATTGCTTCCAGTCTCACATGGTGTCAGCCTGGCGTAAAATCGGTACTGCTGAATGAGATGCCAGCGGAGAGATTGCAAATGCAATTCCTAAGAATAGCCTGATATCTTATGGTTCATCAACAAGCCATCCAGATAAATAATTCACAAATATATTGATTTAATCACACTTTCGCCAATGCAATCGAATAAACTGATCACCTATATTCGTGTTTGTTCAGTAGGGATGGATCTTCTTTTGCGACAACCATATTGATCCGCACCACCACCTCTATATCTTCTCAATCACTCCAAATGCTGGAACCTGGCGTCCACCAGGGTATGTGGCCGTAACATCCAGGAATCCTGTGTAAGTAACTATAGGAACTCCTGCGCCCTGTATTTCCTGATCGGGCCTGATGCTGGACAGTTGCAGCTCCGGTCCACCCGGAACATTAACCGTCCAATCCAGAGGATATACAACGCCAGTTGCGGCCGACCCAAAAGTTCTGTTGGATGAGACTTTCCAATCAATGGGTACAACGCTCTGCTCCGCCTGCCCCCCTGTTCGGCGTGTAGCGAAAGCCTTATTGCCATTGACCATGTCGCTCCAAGCCCAGATGGAGTAGATCTCGTCCTCCGTTCCATTAACGAACTTTCTCGGAACATGAACTTGGAACCAGGTAAAGTTCCCAGGAATCACACCCCACTGTCGATCGTACCATGTCAGAGATCGACTAGCATCGACATCAACCTTCACTCCATTCATGGAAATCCAACCCGTTGTCTTCCCCGCAGGCATGGACCATTGAAACCCAAGTCCACCACCGACCTGGAACATGCCTACACCAGCATTGAGCAAAGGCGCAGAAGATAGATCGAAAGTGAGATCATATTCTAGCCCAGCAACCTGACTATAAGTGTGTATACCGGAGAGTGCATCTGTTGCACTCGTAGATGCAAATGTGTAGTCAGGAGTGGTAAAGTTGAGGATACCAGTATTCCCATAAATCTCCGCCTCGCCGGCAACACAGGCATATTGCGAATACTGAGATGTATCTTCAAGATCAAGAAGAGAAGATCGATAGATATTGAACCGGGTTCCCAGTGCAGGAAATCCTACAAGGGCATGAGAAATGACAAGGTAGTCTCGACCATTCGTGCCGTGAATGAAAGAAGAGCTCCAGTATGAAATATTGGACGATACAGGGTCGAAGTTTGTCTGGGATGTCGAAAGATTATATGGGGTGGGGTAGTTATTCTGTAGCATCTTGTCAGCAACAAGTAATTCATTTGAGAATAAAGCGTCATAAAAGGAACACGCACAAGTCCACCGGATAAAAAACCACTTTCTTGGGGGCGGAATATCCATCCTGGCTTGGCAGCATATGTCGTAGTGGCTAATCCACTGAGAGCCTGAAAAGCAAGCAGTTTTCCAAGTTTGTTTGAAAGAACCAACATCATGTCGTAGGGTGATTCAAGTTTAATTGAAGATTGCTTGCGAAATGAGCAAAGTATTGTATGTTAGGAAATGACATTGCTATATAGGTCAGCACTCTGAACTTACAATTATCCGTTGTGGATCTAATCCCGATCCCTGACGCAAAGATCATATCTGGGGCAATCGGAACCCGAGCTGATCAGTTACTTCTACGGAAAGACTGTTTTCACATGTGGGTAATTGATTGGACTCGATTCTATCGTGAATATGCGTAACTGATGTATAGAAGGGGGGAGGGGTTGCAGTTGAATCAGGCTGCGGCGCGGTAGCTCCACCTTCCCTTGCATAGAGGTTGCTTGTACGAAATGCGGAAGATAACGAAAGGGAATAAATAAGCGAGTAAGTGCATTTAGTTTATGTTGAGTAACATTGCATTGTCGTATGAAGAGGTAACAAACAGGTATATCGTGTAGGTAGGGTGATAAATGAGTATTGTACCTAGGTAGCTACTGGAATTTTTGTAGTACATTGATATTGGCATGAGTGTAAACAACTTTCCCTTGATTTGAAACTTTTCAATTAGTGAAAGTAACCTTATAAAATGTCTGATTTCTAGTCGATATGTTTGTTTTTGAGCAGGATTTAGAGGCTATAAGGATGATGTTTAAATGGAAGCTGGTCCAGGTATATGCTCGTCGCAGCATCATCATGTCACCCAACGCCAGCATATCTATGTTTTAACACCGGCGCTTATCCACCAAGATCTATGGCATGCTCAAGTGTCCATTTGCATCTATACGCAGGTGAGCCAGCAAACTCTTTTATTTTTTCTGGAGTTATGTGGTAGGGGAATTGCTTCCGCATAATGTATTATTACGAGTGAGGCTTCATTGAACTTTAGTGAAACGTATTATGACAAAAATAAACCATGAGCAAGTCCCTGGCACTGGTTGGATACAATAACGTATAATTGGTGAAAAGTGAAAACCCTGCTGTGCCAGCATAGGAACGATACAATTGGATGAAAGGCGCTTGCGAAGAGGGGTGGCCTGCGCAAATAAGTGATCGCAAATGGCTCGCTGACTAGATTCTGCCTGTTGTTGCCTAGCCGCTTTTTGTTTGAGGATGTAATTTGGACGTTATATGCTCCGCCAAGCAAGCTTATAGCAGATCTTGAACCCCTACTGTGAACTCTCGTGATTGGAGACAAATTGCTCTGTCAGGTTAGACACTGCGTCTGGTGGTGGCGAGTCATCTTTCTGAGAAACCCTGGCAATTCAAGGCTAATCGACCTTCATATAGCTTGTCTTTCATCTGCTACGAGGCGAGCGACATGTCTCATCCTGATGACTACACAGTAGGCTGGATATGCGCTGTGAATACTGAATACGTCGCCGCACAGGCTTTTCTCGACGAAGAACATGAAGCACCACAGCATGTGTCGTCCAATGACAATAACGATTACACCCTAGGCAAAATGGGGAGACACAACGTTGTCATCGCTGTCATGCCCGACGGAGAATACGGCACATCACGCGCTGCCAGTGTTGCGAGCGATATGTTGCACAGCTTTCCAAATATCAGAATTGGTCTGATGGTTGGCATTGGTGGTGGTGCGCCAAGTCGAAAACACGATATCCGTCTGGGCGACATCGTAGTCAGCGCCCCTCGAGATGGGAGGAGTGGCGTGCTCCAATATGACTTTGGCAAAACCATTCAAAATCAAAGTCTCCAGCAAACAGGCGTCTTAAATCAGCCTCCTGCGGTTCTACGGGCGGCAGTGACCGGACTTAAGGCGCACTACAAGAGAAAAGGCCATACATTTAAGGAAGAGATAAATAACATTATCCAGAAAATGCCGAGACTGCAGAGAAAATACAGTCAGCCAGACCCAAGTAGTGACAGGTTATATCAGCCCGAAGTCGTACATCCGGTAGATGATGACTCGAGCTGTGTGGTATCCTGCGGTACTGATATATCAAAGCTGATATCGCGATCCGAACGGACTCAAAACGAAGATAATCCGGCAATCCACTACGGCAATATTGCTTCGGGGAACCAGCTAATGAAGGATGCTTTAGTCAGAGATAAGCTTGCTGTGGAAGAGGATATCCTGTGCTTTGAAATGGAAGCGGCAGGGTTAATGAACCACTTTCCTTGCCTCGTCATCCGCGGTATCTGCGACTACTCTGATTCCCACAAGAACAAAGAGTGGCAGGGCTACGCAGCAATGGTAGCTGCTGCATATGCGAAAGATCTCCTTTGTCGAATAGTTCCAGACTGGCAAAACACCAGACGTCTGGCTGCGCACGCCCCGTCAAGAAGTATTCAAGTTCGAGAATCTCCCGACGACGCTGCCTTGCCCACGCAGGTTCTTGACGACCACCCTCCGCTGAGGATACAGAGTTCTTCCCTGCCTGAGGCTGCACGAGAGGGTCAGTTCTCTAAGGTGCAGCGGATCCTACAAGGGGGAGTCCACCCAGACTCAAGGGACTCAAGTCGCAACACGGCCTTATTCTATGCCGCAAAGAAGGGGCACGTGAATATAGTACAGTTGCTGCTCGAGAAAGGAGCAACCCCGGATCTTAAAGGTCCAGAAGGAGTGACGCCTCTCTGGGAAGCAGTGTACAATTCGCAAGATGCGGTGGTGAGAGTGGTACTCGAGAATATCTTGAAGCTAGATTGGAAAGATTCAGATACCCGGAGAGGTTTGTTTTGGGCCACATATGACGGGGATGCCGAGAAAGTGAGGATACTACTCAATCATGGTCTTGAACCAAATGCCAGAGACCAGTGGGGTGTAACGCCTTTGTTTTGGGCTGCGAATAATGGACACAGCGCGGTGGTGAAGCTGCTTCTCGAACGCCAAGTTGACGTGGATTCCTGTAATCCAGATGGCCGCACACCACTATTCCGGGCCGCGTATAACGGTTTGGAGAGCGTGGTGAGACTGCTGCTTGAGAAAGGGGCTGACCCAACTTTTGAAGACAGATGGGGCGAGTCACCGCAACATTGGGCTGTGCGTAATGGCCATAGGAAGGTGATGAGTTTACTTTGCGAGTGAGACGTTGCAGGCGATTTGCTCACGGTTCTTGTAAGTAGGCGGTAATAGTTTAGTCTCTGTTTCGGTTGTAGTCACCGCATGTAGGTTAAAGGTGACGAGTGTCGGAAAGCTAGGTACCTATTTAATAAGATGAAAGTCATCACCGTGTACATGCCAGTATTTTAGGACTTTTACTCGACCTCTGGTTAAACGATGTATATTTTTCGAAAATACTTTTGGAAGGTTGGAGTTCTACAATGAGTAGTCGCTAGTAGATATCGCAATTTCTGTATCGTCTACAGAGTATCTATTGCTTCATCCAATTGGCTACGAGGAGAATCTCCTATGGGGAAACGACAATGCTAGGTTCTGGATTGCCCACCAGACCCCTGATGATCATGGGTGATTTCCGGTGATTTTCCCGCGTGCAACGTTTGAGTAATCACCACACTGCACAGCAAAGCACAGGGTACACAATGATGTATGTTACGTCCTATATCAGTAGTCACTGGATTAGTTCCATTTGCCATCGTTTCCAGGACAAGAATACTAGTTTTTGAGAAGATGGTCTATTAATATATTTCATCTAGTGACAAACCCTTTTTGCATATATTATGCAAAGGGCAGATAAGCAGCAATAAGACCACCCCAGCCACCCTTGTTATCGGCGCTGAAAGCAGTAGCATTGCCGTTTACAGTAACCATGTTCTTCACCAAGTGTGTGCCGAGATTGAATATCTTCAATCGCTTAGGCTGCCCCTCGATAGAGACAATGTTGTCCTGAGCATATGGGCCTGAAACACCATTGAGGCCATTGAAAAACTATTGGCTGTTGTTAGCATCGGGTTCAAGAAGGAAGCATGAATATATAGGTAAAGTGTGGTTTTATCTTACCTGCCAGAAGCCTAATCCGTAAAAGGTCATATCGCTTCCGCCAACGACACGCAGAGACCAGCCCATGAAGCACTGCAGCGAGCTTCCATCGCAGTTTGAGTAATCGGGGTCAGAGTAACGAGCATCAGGCCTAAGTAATATGTTAATTTGATACGGAAGTAGAGAAACAAACAATGGCTGGAATACTTACGTCCAAGGTGAAGGGGCCACAGGTGCAGGCTGCCAATACACGGTCTCAGTTTGCGCCATCAAAGTATGCACGTTTTCCGCGCCAACAAACTGATACTGGTATAGCACAAAATGCTCAAATGCGGTGCCAACAAGCCAAGTTCCGCGCTTGGATTCGACAAGTAGACCTCGACCCACGGCAACAGATTGGCTAGTTCCGTTGGTGGCGCCGCTCAATCCGTCCAGATCACGGTTAACAGACCAGCCCCATACGCTCTCCATGTACGTCTGGCTGTTGGACTTGAGATGCATGAACAAGAAAGCGGCCTTGCACTGATCAATGGGCGATTGAGGATAAGAGCGGCACTTGGTCTCAACAGCAGAGCCGATTGTTCCACCAGCGCGGAAGTGTGCATCCCACAGACCAACATCACCAGGCTTAAATCCAGAAGCGTTATTCTCTACGAGAATGGCGCCAGGGAGGACGTCTGCCACGTCAAAGGCGATGTCGCTCACTTCGATGATGCCACGAGAGCCGGTATCGCCCATCTTAAAGACAACTTGAGGATTCTTCTCGTCCTCAAACGTCTTTCCATATGCTATATGCGCGGTTAACTGTTTAGTGACGTACCTAAAGGAATGTGGTTTCACTTGGAATCACTCACCGCTAATAGTAGACCACACCTCGCCGACAATTCTGGATCCAACAGGGACGTGGATAGTACCACTGACTCGGTAGTTTCCGGCAGGGAAATAAGTGATTCTTCGGTTAGCATTGGCCTTGAGAGCAGCATTGATAGCTTTGGTAGCATCGGTCTTGCCATCACCCGTAGCGCCGAAATCTCGGACACTCGAAAAGCAGCCAGAGCTGTACTGCTCATACTGAGGCCGCGACTTGGTCCAGTAAGCGCCGCTCGAGTCGACCAAGGCTTGGGGTCGTGACAGTGAGCCGCTGCTTTCGAGATACTTGCCGGTAGTCAGATCCTTATAAACAGTTCCTTGAATGAAGGATTTGATTGTAGTGGATCGAGTCGATCCCGAAAGCAGAGAGCTGCCTTGAGTATCAACGACGACCTGGCCGACGCGGCTGATCTTGAGGTTCTCGATGATGAGGGAGCCATCGGCGTTCATTGTGTGTTGTGAGAGAACAACATTCTTAGTGGAGATGGCTTCTGAATCAATCAGGATGACAGATCCGACTGAGTTTTTGGGTGCAGCAGTAAAGTTAACGCCAACATTGACATTGTTGAACTTGATACCCTGAAGCGACAGCGTAAAAATGTGATCAACCAGGATTCCAGTTTTGACATTGTTAAAAGTCAAAGCACGCATGGCGTACTGCTGGTTGTTGAGTCGAATCTAGTTGCATCCCCTTGATTAGCCATTGCTCATTCGTACACAATTTACAGCGTCGCAAAACTTACTCCAATGTTGCCACCAGTAAACTCCAAGTCTCCCATGAAAGTAGCAGAGCCGCCACCGCCGCCCGTGGTTCCGTTGAAAACGACACCCTGGTGGAGACTGTTCTCGGCCATTTTCATATGGTTAAAGCTCAGAGTCACGGCCTGGGCAGACGGCCAGTTGACGCAAGCCACGGATGATGTGACATCTACATTTGTAGTATCGAAAACGAAGTTTCGAACTTGGTAGTAGAGGTTGATGGTGGTGGGGAATGGAGAAGTAGTTGGAGATGGGAAAGTATCTAGCAGATATCGACCAGAGAAATTCTTATCGGCCTTGAGGATGGGCCTATCCAGTGGGTTGCCTACAAGCTGAGTGAAAATGTAGCTGTTGAGGGTCTGTGAAATCTTATATGTGCCTGAAGGAAAGTAGATGAGGGCGGGTTTAAGTGTCTTTGCAGGAGGATCTCCTGGACCGCATCCCCATAGGCAACGTCCGCCAGCTGATGACAATTAACATTAGTAACATGCCTTTTTGATGGCTTTGACAAAGGGAAATAGAGTCATAAAATCATACCATCAATGGCCGCTTGAATTGCTGCGGTGTCATCTGTTTTGCCATCACCTTTCGCTCCAAAGTCTTTCACATTACGGTAGACCGCATATGAGGAATCGTTTAGATATGGAGAGATGCCAGTATGTTTGATCGTTTCCATCCAAAAGTCTTGTTTGCGAATGACAGGATGGCACTGGCCGAAAGTGAGGCTGGCATCCAGAGATGCAGTGAGAGCGCGATCAACAAGCCTAGCAACTTTGTCAGAATCACGTAGAAGCATTCATATGCTTAGAAACCGGAGAATAGAAACTTACGCCTCTGGAGCAATCTCTAAGGCAGCGGCGTTCACTGCGGACGCGACTCCAGCGAGCCATGCCAGGAATTGAGTTGCTCGAACCATGATGACACTGGCTCTGTAGCAGCAGGATCAATAAAGACACTCCGAACAGGCTGTAACAATCCTGAGCCTCCTCGAGCATTGAATTAACCATGCGGAGAGGAATGTGGGATTTTAAACGACATGGTAAACAAGATAACCTTGATCCAAAGTCCGGGGCAAGATCCGCAAATTATCCGTCATGTTACACCTGTTGTTGCCATCATGATGCTTTTCCGAAGCTTTAGCTTTCCCCAGTCTCTGGACAGCGAATCGGGAAGCCCTCCGAAAATATTCTGCTGCAGGTTCAGCAGATATGGTTGGTGGAAGATCTAGAATCTGGGGTACCGGCGGTACTGAGAGCCGGCCCGAATGGCCTGGAGCAGCATTGAGGATCGAATCATCGCAAGACAGCAAGGGACGATCTTCTTGTGATTCGTGTAAATTTACATTAACGAACTAATGCGGTGGGGCAAACAGCTAAGACGTTGCAGTTTAGGCATTGAAAAGCAGATGAACCAGCATATCAAAGTTGACGGTTGATCTGATGTTACGTACAATTCCGTTGATCGATTACATGTACATATTGCTCGGTTCGCAACTTTACAGGTTAGATGACCGCAATGGCCAACGATGGATGTTGCTCTCCCTATTCAGCTCACCGCAAACAAGTACAGTGGCTACTGAAATTACTATGCTTGAGGGACATCCATGCTGAGAATGACCCCCACTGATCATATCGGGAAATTTCGTCTTGCCTGATTTGTTAAACTAAATAAATTTACATCGTCCAGCACCTTGTTATTTGACGTTGGCCAAGGCATTGGCTTTCTCTCCGGCCAGCCGAACGAAAAAGTTTCTGTTACAGAGAACCCATCGACCCTTGTCATCGTTACCCAACAATAATCTCTGTAATGCACCCAGTGAGCGAATCTATATGTGCGCATGCAGATGGCCTTCTTCTCCTCAATGACCAGTCATTGTTCGACAATGTGGTAAGAATGATAGCAGATGATCCTGTATCGTCCTAGGAGCAACATTTCACCCAGTCCTGTCTTCTCGCTTCTCCCGCATCCAGATGAATGGTTGAACAATGTCTATTAATAAACAATAAGCGACAAGGAGAATGTCGTCAGATGCAGGCTGCATGGGTATGGAGAACTTTGTTTTGTCCACTTGGTTGAAAGAGGAAGCTGACAGACTAGCATATGCATGGCAGGCTTCAAGGTTCTTTGTCCCAAGGCAACCACGCATTGTAAAAACGGTGAAGAAACACTTCTGCATCTTGCTGGGCCTTTGCTAATTTTACTGGCTAAAAGCAAAAAAAGAAATCGACTGAATCTCAATCGTTATATAGTATAGGAAGAGCCCGATGCGGGGGTCGAACCCGCAACCTTGAGATTGTTCAGAACGTGTGCTCGAATAAGAGTCTCACGCTCTACCGATTGAGCTAACCGGGCGTTTACGTAACAGGAGTTATCCAATCACGTAGAGCCGATTGAGCTGTCAGTCGCTGTTGGCGAGAGTCATGTTTTTACATCCTATGAACCCTTGGATGGATGGAAAAGACACAAGAGACGAGCATTCACTCTGATAACCCTTGAGCTACTTTGACTTGTTTGAACGAATAAAAATTTGTTCCAGCATTCGCTTATAGGGTAATTCGATTATGGGGGAAAGATTCTCCTTTGGCATCACTATACTCTAAATCCATACGTATTGTATACAATTCAAACCTCCTTTTCAATCTTTCTTCTACTTCCTTTTTACAATTTTGTTTCCCTCTACTTACCAATTGGCCATCACTTGATTAATTTTGGCTTGGTGCATATCACTGGCCTTCTGTTTGTTTTTGTCATCACCTGCCCTTCCCCATATGACGTGAATTCTGACAAACGAGTCCTGCACAATTTTATTGCAGATGTCGAACATGAAGAGCCATCGGCATTACGCAAAGCCTATACATTTGAAGTTTCCCCACTCGATAATGCGGTGAAATTGTCTGAGACTGTTGCAACCCCGCTGGCAATACCTAGAGAATATCCAATCTCAAAAGGCCACGAATTGTTAAAGAAACATCAGAGGCCTCGTGTAACGTAAATGTCTGTACAGTATAGCGAAACCACTGAGACTACTTGAAACCAATAAGATAACCACACGTAGCCCCTATCCCTTACATCAATTACCCTGCATATGTGTTATCCTCAATACTTCGTGACATTTGCCCTCATTTGCAAGCGAGAAGCTATATAATAGGATACGCTGCACTTTTATCTCGTTAGCCAGGTGTTTACTGTTTAACCAAGGGTGAAAAGGGCAAACGCTCTATACATCTTCTAACAATGTCCTTCGACGAAAACCTCCTCAGCCCAAGGGGCCTGCTTGTGAACAACAACTCGAGCTTTGTTTGCGATGGGCCAAACTTCTCGAAGCTGCAGCAGGCGACACAAGCAACTCTGGATTTACCATATGATGACCAAGGGATGAGCTATGTAGTTGGATTTACTGACAAGGGAACACAGGAGGTATCACCCCGATTATTATATCCAGTTGATTAGGGCTGGAGCTAAAGCTAAAAGTTATACTCCGATATACTCATCCCTGCCATGAATGACTTTTACAAGGTAAGCACCCCGAACGTAAGTCTGATCATCCTTTAAGTAACAAAATATAGATTACGAACCAGTCTATGGCTCTTGAGGTAGGCAGAATGGTCTCGAACTCAAGAAAAAAAAAAAAAGCAAAACTAAATCTTTGGATCAGAGTGGATATCGTTCTGTGGGAGATGTCTGCAAAGCCATAATAGAACTCTCAGCTGCAGCCCCGGCAGATTATGGTAAGGGAAAACACAACTTTTAATATCTATTACGATGTATCTGATCTCAAACCTTTGTCTCATGCTGATCTAGATGCGATATTTGATGCGCTTGAGAGGCTCTACGAGGATGAATCAGACAATGGCAGCCTCCGCGACGAAGTCCAGGCGAAAATGAAAGAACGAATAGATAAACTAAATTCCTTATCAAACTTGGCCACAGATGTAACTGACAACCTGAGAGATGCTATTGGAAACGTTACTGAGGCGCAAATTCTGGTCAAACAAATTGGTACTGCCTTGGACAGTCAAAGCATCATCGATCGACTTCGTGAATGCCATCAGGGTGATAATGACTCGGAGGACTTCGATATTGACTGTAATGCGGTGAGAATTCTCAAGGTGAGCCCAGTCAGCCTATATAACGGGATCAAGCCTGTTCGTACTTTCATGTCATTCCTGACGAAACGATTCAATAGGGGATAATCGATAAACAAAATATGCAAGACGACTCAGGTGGTTCAATGGAGAACTTGCAGCACGCCGTAGGCAAGTATTTCTCCCCATTTAGTTTGTTGGACCGGGCAGTGATATTGACAACACATTACTGTAGGCGCCGCAGTCGACATCTGGAATGATCTCACGGCATTGTCTACCTTTGTGGCGGAAAATACAGAGCCTGGGCCTCAACCTCTTTTGAATCTACATAAGAATAAGCTCCTGGAGATGTGGAGTGATTTAGGAACTGAAGGTACGAGAAAACCACAATTGCGCAAATCACTGTTGGCATGTCGAATGTTAATCTCCTCTCTGTTGTATAGTCCAGAAGTTCTTAGATGATTACATGGGGTAGCTCGGGATTTACGGATGCGCCATCAACACAAGTCCACTGTGTAATAGTAACGCCTGCTCTGGATTTTCTGCTGTTCGGAAGCAGTCTAGTATAGCCCAACGAACCTGAAAGGAATAGATCAATTTTAAGCTATAGCTACCACTGTACGTTAGTTGATGGGATTGTATGCTACAAGTTTTACGAATCTTAGGTTAATCGTTAATATCATGATACATATCTGTGTCGTTAATCTTGTGTTGGTAGTTTGTATGTATAGAATATTCGTTGCCTAACTGTGATTCACTTGGTCTCCTCCGGATCTACCAAATTGGCTACGCCAAACAGCTATTCCAAATTATCTCTCAGACATCGAGTCGGGCCGAATCGAACATGGCCTTCCCATTTCAAATCAACCCCTGCCAGTCTGCTCAAGTCAATATCTTCGGGATTCAGTAACTTTATCTTCCATTGCGTAAAAGGAGTGGGCTCGGCGTGATATTTAGTCTCGAATATGGGATCATCCCACGTATTTCCTCTTGATCCATCTTCATTGAGCTCGTAGGAACACTGGCGAGACTGAGGAAGGCTTGCAAAGCGAAATACTTGACCATCCTGGATATCTTCGTATATTCCGGATGTAGTGATTTGCAAATGAACGATCACCACGCCATCTTTGACAGCATCCTTCTTGGGAAGAGCCCCTCTGAGAGTTGGATCTAAGCCACTTAGCCGGTAGTGAGACCCGCCAAAGAAGACCCCGGCTAATGCTTTGTTGGGGGCGAGAGTAAAGCTGCCGGTGTTTGTTTCACCAGCAAGACCCTCGACCAGCAACTGTCCGAAGTTAAATGGGAGCTGCCAGCGTTATCAGTTATTATTTTAAGAGGGGTATATTGGAGTACTAACCTTGTCGCTGTCGTCGTAGTATGTAAACCCTTTTTGAAATAGTCAGCTAACCATTGGAAGAGGCGGAGAATAGTCAAGGTAGTTTACCTTGGAAATCACTGGGGTACTGCTCATCTACTGTCTCCATATCGCGGGCGATCTGGTAAAGGTCGCTGTCATACTCTTCAATGGACTTTGTAGCGTCAAGAACAATCCTACTCTCAGTGAGAGCCCAGTATCGATATGCCCAAACCATATTCTGGAGCTCAATCACGACACCCGTTTTGAGTGCCAAAAGACGGTCATAGAGCTGAGCTTCAGCTTTGAGATAGACGTCCTCTTGTCCCGTATAGTTGTTAATCAAGCTCTGGAGATCGTCCACTTGCTTTTTGCAATGAATGACTTCCATTTGAGCCTGAACATACTCATACCCAGCTTTAATAGCCTCAGCCTGAGCCTGAGCCAGTTGCTTTCCATTGATTGCATGTTTGCGTAGAGCAAGCTGGTATGCAGCTGCACCCTCAATTCCAGCTGTAACTCCAAATGTCATCTGGTCATCTGATTCAAGAATCCATTTATCCCAGGCTGCCATGGTGACGATAGCACTAGAGTCCGCATCGCCATTTGCCGTACCCGAGATATCAGAAAGAGACGGTACATCGACATCAGGGTTAGATTCAAGATCATTAATCGCTTTCACAATCTGAGATACTGATGGATATAGCTTTCCAAGCGCCCCAGCAACTTCTTTCAGCTTCTCCAATGTCCCCGAAGTTACATTCGCTGCAACTTGGTCAGCGATATTCTCTGCTTCTTTGGCAGCCTCGACGGCTTTCGCTGCTCCGCTAGCCCCAGCCGGGTTACCAATGAACATTTCACCAATACTAACAGCAAATGCTTATCATATCTCAAATTAGCTTTGTCTGTACACGAATCACAGAAAGAAGAAGAAATAGAAGAAGACCGCTACAAAGGTAGAGACGCTTACTGATGACTGCTGTGAAGATAGCCTGTATTGCTTTGAATTTCTGCTCAAATTTCCATTTCTCTATACCATTCTGAAAAAGTATCCCTGCATTCTGCACATCGTCGTTGTCATACTTGAACTGCTGGTTGCAGCTGTCGGCTGTTTTGGCAGCATCCTGGTATTTTTGATATGCCGAGTCACGTAGGTTGCCTTGCATTGTTTCATTGTCAGTAGCTTGGGAAAGCATTGTCTTCCACGCCTCAATTTGCACTTCCAGTGATGATGCCTTATCCTGAAAACGATCATACTGAATTTCATAGGCGGAAGCAGCTGCCAGTGCTAGCTTCATGGTGTCCTCGTATGTGCTTAAAACTAGCACGGGGGCATATGTCATATTTTGACCCGCTATGACTTGACCTGCAAGTTGCTGGCCCAGCGCCACGGCTTGCGTGTTGAGCATCGAGTAAGAACTCTGATCCGCCGTGATGCTTGCCACGTAAGAGCAGATGGAGATGGCAATTGAGGTATTTATCCAAAACTGAACCAGCGCAATGCGCAGCTCGGTCTCGAGACTCTCTTGCAGCTCCGCATGGCTATCATCAGGGTATGTCGTGAGATATTCGACAACCACCTTGCCGTTTTCCAAGGCCACAGCCGCTCCAACATATTCGGTATCCGCACCAAGATCCAGCTCTACCGGTTCGGAGTTACCCATACAGACCGATATTGGCTGGTCCAATATGCGAGCGTAAATTGCGATGGCACTGGTGGACGCATCGCCTGAGGGGACACACAAGGTGACCGGCTTGGCCGCAGTCAAAACACGGGCCACAATATTCACAGTGCCGTATTTAGCAGGGCTAATTATGATCTGCTCGGTCATAAAAGCAAGGACATCAGTATAGATGTGCAGATTATGCATGCCAGGGTCGAGGACAGCTGCTGCGTCCAGAAAGACTCCCCGGTGACTTGCCACTTTCTGCCAAAATAGTCAGCCACTAGGTACCAGAGGCACTTAATCATTGTGGAAAGGTTCTCACCGAACTATTGTTCACATTGTCCCCTTCTCGCAGAGGAATTGCGGTCACGGCATCTGAGGTGGCATATTTCTGCCAGTCTGTTGGGTTATTCGGCTGAGGTGCAATACCAGTCATGGTGTCATCAATCTGAATAAATTTAGTCTGAACATCAGGTTGTGTTCAAAATGTTGGCCGCAATTAACCTTGATATACACAAAGTGTTCGAGACTCCATTGCATTTCCCAACGTCAGGAGTGATACCCCTTCCGGTCCTCGGAAATGAACTTGACAACACATACATTATGCCGCCTGTTTCATGACATCAAATAGATTCAAATGTCGCATATGTGTGCTTCTATGTCGGATGATATCCAGATGAAACTCATGACGAAAGTTGACATCAGGGAACGTAGGATAAGGCACCATGGTCCGCATGACTACCTAGGAGAGACATCGTTACAGCAGTCTATGCTGCAGGACACGTCAACTCTAGTCATATTCATACATCTCAATGCCTTGATTTTGTTGGGTAGACACACATTATTCGACATGCAGGTGGTTCATAGTCCTCTCCCCCGCTCCGACTGCGCAAAGACAAGTCGAGATCACCATGGTACCTACGCAGTTCATAAAAAACATCACCAGTCTGTGTACATACCTACACCGCTCATTAGCTTATACGAAAAACAATGTTTGAGTAGACCGAGATTAGTACGACGGACACTACTCATGCCGGATGTTTCATGCGAAGAATTAATTCACTGGTCAGCATGTGATTTTACGTACTCAGTTCGGAGACATACCGCCAAATGTGGTGTCTCGACTGACTCAAAGATGCAATATCATAGCGAAGACATGTCTCTTCCCATGGCTCACACCGCTTCGCTGTTATTGACGTAGATCAGTATTTTTCGGATGTTTGTCCGTATTGCTCGGAAGCGATAGAAGAAGAACCGATGTTAGTATGCGTTATTGCTAGCTAGAATAGTGTAAAATAAATATAACTGCTGTCACCTATCTTCGGAATACTAGGCCTTGTAGAAATATTTTCGTCCTGATAGAGAACTGGGTGAGCCGGAAGGTAAAGTTCCATCAGCACGAGCCCCTGCAGCTCGACATATTATCATGTCCTCCTTCTCCCTTGTTATGTATTCTGTACGCCCCACTATTTGCTACATGCTGTACGGAAAGAGCTGAAACATTTTGTTTCACTCTACATTGAGAACTGACTAGTAATAAAACACAACGGAGAGGGGAAAGGGATGGTAAAGTGGGTTATGCTGAAAGAATCCAATAGATTTGCTTCGCAATACTTCTATAGAAAAGAAAAGAGAACGTGATCAAAAGTGTATCATGATGGAAGTGAAGTTTAAGTATAAAGGAAAGGCACATTATGGTTTTATTTTGGCTCTTCTTTATTCTACGAGTCATTCAGTACAAGATAATCGCAGGCTCTTTGAGGTTCCCTCTAGCAATACAATAAGCATACCTAAACCCTTCTACAATCCATAATGGCTACCTTCGACCCATCAAAGCCAATTGATGACCCCCAGGTCTGGTTCCCTAAAGGCATGTTTGTCGACAATACGGCACAAAAATTAACCATTAAGGTCTACGATGTCGATACCCCTGATGATGAGGACAAGACGTTCATTCTCAATCATGACAAAATGGTCGCGTTGAGTAGATTCCTTTGGACGGGCAAATTGCTCCCAACCGACCGTGATGCCTATATCAAAACCTTGGGACTTATTACCACGGAAGAGATAACCGACGAGGTCTGGACTGAGATAGATCATTTGCTTGGAACATATACCGAGGTATGTCAATAATACCCTCCCCTAATAGGAAGATAAGTTTGCTAACAAAAGTATCTTTTTATGTAAAGATATCCAAGGATTGTACACAATTTAAAGAAGTGACTTGGGACAAACTCGTGGATCTGTCAGGCCAGATCAAGACATATGCTACGGTAGCTGGTGGAACACCGGACAGCTCGTATTACCAAGCCGTGTTAGAATGGGTTGGGGAGTACAATACTGAGAAGAACAAGACCAATCCAGACCAGAAAACACTTGATGATTTAGCTGCCGGGATCAAAGGCGCGATTGAAGATGAGCAGAAAAAAATAAGTGGCATCCAGGAGCATATTACAGACGCAGTGAAGGCCCTGAACACGTTCCACGACAACTGCAAAGGCTATGAGAAAACACTTGAAGATGATGGAACGACTCTTCAAAACCTTTTAGAGAAGGAGGGCAATGATATTGAGCACTTATCCGGCCAGATTAGCGAAGAGCTGAAGGAGATCGAGGATTTACAAACAGAAATCGACAGAGGTGATAATTTTTCTTCAATTCTTGAGAAACATGCCACTGCTAACTCAATATGCAATCACAGATCACCAAAAAATACATGACACTGCATACTATGTCTGGATGTAAGGCCATCATCAGTCTGTATTACTCTAAAACTGGCTAATGTAGAGAATCCTATTCTTCATAAATAGCCCATTTATTGGTACTATTGCTGGTATCACAGTCGCGCTCATCGCCGAGGCCGATATCAAACGACTGAAGGAGTCCATGGAAAAGATCCAGGCAGCTCTGGACGCAAACGAAGCCAAACTGCAGACTGCTTACGCTTTGCAAGGAGATATAACCTCTATGGGAGTAAGTGCAGCAACCAATAGTGGGATCCATCGAATTTTCATGACTAACTCAGAGGTCTTCGACTACAGACTCAATTGACAGGCCTTGTCAAAGTTATTAAACCTGCCATTGCGACGCTTGAAGCGCTCCAGGGAGCTTGGGCCCAAATGAATACTGACCTTCAGACACTCTACGACTTGTTTGAAGATGATAAGCAGTCCGTTCCACCGATGTTGCTTTTGCCGAAGGAACTGAACACTATCGTCCAAGCTTGGAATGATTTGAAGGATTATGGTAATACACCCTTTTCATATATTATATGCGTATCAGGATATTTGAACCAAGACACCGGGCTAACGGTTGCATAGCTGATGATTACATTCAATATGCTTTCATGACGGATGATCCAGAGAAAGTCACAATCCAGAATTACGTCGACCAGTTGGGCAGTCAACTCAATTAGCGGATAGACATAATCGCTTTGCACTATAAACTTCATTATTACTTGTAGTATATGTGCTGTTCGGATTGTCCTCAGTGGTCTTCAGATTATTTTAACAATTATAATCCATTAGTGGCACAACGTCTGGTGGCCTTCCTGTCACAGTGCTGATGTGCCCACACATATAGAACGAAGTGCTCTAATAATTCCTTGTCAGTGATACTATCGCATTTAACTTCATTACGGCCTGATATGAGTTAGGCATACGAGCCTTTAGCCGGCGCATGTAACTCATTTGTGTATGCACGTCTAGGTAAGGGTATTTCTTTCCTTCTCTGTGCCTTACAATGCTAGTTATGTAGGCAAAAACTGAGATTTTGGTAGTCATGAATATTGGACTTATCGAAAATCGACAATCTATCCATGTTGATCATGGCCACATATTTGTCTCTGGTCACCGCCAGGGTTTGTGGTGTGTAACCCTGTTGGGCTTGAGATTTGAGATGTCACGTTGGTAGTTCTCTCCGCAGGCTGGTGATAGTAAGAGTGGGAGAGCACTATATGGGAAAATAGAGCACCTTGGAGATGGAAGCATGGACGAGCATATGTCGATAACTGGAATCCAGGAATAAGCTCGTTCGATCTCAATGAATCGATTCTGTAAATGCGCATATTTTTAGTTATGAAATAGCAAAAGTATTGAATTGTCTACGCAACGTCGTGCAGGTGACATGACTAGAGAAAACCACAATTAATCCCCACAATCTCAACTTCACATAGCTCAAGAATGGATGCTGCATACGCCTCAAAGAAGGCGATGCGCAGGCTTCTTAATTTAATCATGGACACAAGTACGTTGGGACATGTTATAAGGGTAGCCATAATTTTATCAACAAGCGTAATTATTTACTATGGATAGCAACTATATATACAATAGCTTTTTTTTCCTATCCTAAAGGAACCCGGTCAAGGGAACTGCGTCAACGCTGGTGCCAATAGTGGCTTTAGGCTTTTGGCACTGGCACTGTCTCCTTGCCAGCGGCCTTATTCCAAGCGTTGATCCTAATAGTCGCCTCGATACCGGCAGTGTGGTTGCTGGACAAATGCGAAAAGTCAGTAATTTTGGCATTGACAACGCTGGCCAGGTCAGGCAAGAGGTCGAGAACCAATGGGTCGCCCTTCTTGTTTGCAGGATTCGGCTTCGGGCCCACAGGCTTCAATCCTCTCCGGCCCTCAAAGCCTCTCTTGGATGAAGTGCAGCCTGCTGCAGGGCCCATGCACACAATTGCGGAATCAGCCCAACGATGAGTGCAGCTGCCACCGGGAGTCAATTCTTGGCCGATTATGCTGTCGAGGTTGTTCTTGGCATTGACCAAGCAACGCCAGGGTCCAATGGGATCAAGACCACCAGGGTTAACCTTCTCGTAGAGAGCGAGCACAGATGTTTGGGCATAGTCTTCTTGGGGAGCTGGGAACTGTTAGTGTGCACGAAGCAGAAAGAGACCATGAATGTGGGAGACTCACAGGTGTTGGCGTAGCCGTCAGGAACGCAGGAATCCTGGTTGACCGAATTCAGATACGACGATGTTGTGCTGTAAACGTGAACCGCGCCGGTTGAGCCCGTCTTGTCGTTGACAAATGCATCCAATGTATGGGTCAACTCGTGCACAAAGACGGAGGGAATATAGCAGGGGCCGTAGAATGTAGTCACCGCACCACCCGTACCAGCACTGCAGCCGCCTGCTGGAAGAGCAAGGATGTGCTGCGTCCATTGTCGGTCATGAATTGGAATGCGACCAAAAGCATCTGAAAAACAGGAACACATTAGAGGAAACTCATTCCAATGCTACAAAATTAGATAAGTCGTCTTACCAATCATGTTGATGATCGACATCTGAGCCTGATTGTGTCTACACATCACGACTGCACTAGCGCAATCGGTGTAATGAACGTTGTAGACTTCAATGTCGTATGGGCTGAATTGAGTCCCTTGCACAACCGACAAACAAGCCTGCGGAATCCATCCCCAGCCCCATTTGTCCCATGTGCTTTGAGTTGGTGTCAGGTGTTGGAAAAACACGCTGTCAACATGAGGGGAGAGTCCATCGGAAAACAAGACAGGTTTGTTCAAGTTCTGTCCGAGGACGCCAGAGCTGAACAGTGCCAGCAACTGGAGGACATTTGCCTTTGAATTGGTGAAGATCGCCATTTTGGAATCTTTTCTAGTCGCACTCAACTAGACGAAATAGGTATGAATATCTAGATGGTTTCCTATCTTATATTGAAACCAGCTCAGAAAGGAAAGGATATGCTCATTATATACTGCACTCTATCACACTATTTCTTGACTGATAACTTTGAATGTAGAATGGTATTACGTGTGAAGTATAGAAAATAGGCCCGTATGATGTGCCCCTGTGTTCAGTTTAAAATCTCATCTTCTGAATAGGGAAGCTCAAATCGAAAGTTAACATGGGTATGCTTGTTGTCATAAGACGATGGAGATTTTCTTTAAACGATGTGGACGAACAGGATGCAGTTTATTTACGTTAACTCTATTAAAGCCTAGCGTCCCCGTCGGTTAAGTTCGTTATACCAACCTCTAAAGGGCAAGAGGAGATCATTTGTGGTACGTGTAAAACTTAAGCTTAGGCTTATGCTCTAATCAAGGTAATAAAGGCGATACTAGTGGAAAGGGACCTATTGATATTATACGTGAAGTGAATACGGACGTTTACGCGATGTGAATACGCTACTTGCCACACCATTTGTACCAATTGCTAGGGCGACTCGATATCGAGCGCCATTGGACTGTAGTGATTGGCTTTGTCGATGGGTACAGAGCGCATACATTTCATTCATTCGGTAGCAATTTAATATCGCTCTTCGGAGGTGGGCTTAGCAGCTGGCAGTTCATGCTTTCAAGCAAAAGAGTAAGCCGCGGCATTCGGCATTCGCAAATGCGCATTCAATTATGCCCTTGCAGCTAATGGAAACATGCCAACTCTTTCATTGGTCTTTGCCGGATATCCGGAGTTTCAATCCCACAATAGCCAACCGGATTGAAGACACTGGCCCCCACCATGTTGACAGCTAGGGTATGCATCTTTGACCCAAATTCTCACCAATATTGCCAAGATGGCAATATGTAAAGTCCTAATTGTTCTACCGCCTACGGAGACCACGAGCTGAGAGGAGCCAGGGAGGTAATTAACCCAGCTACACGTAATGATCATAGAACTGAGGCTAGGAATATGGACGGGGGCCATGTAAAGGCAAATGATTTATCAAGTTTCCTCCAACATGTAATCATGTGTAAGACTTTGATAGCCTTTCACTCGTGAGCCTTGCATAGCAAAACTGTAAACACAGCGCATGTCACCTGTTACTTAGCACATTTCGTCCATAGGAGAAAGTATACGTAGTTGTCTTTGTACCGTAGTCAGTCTGGTCGTATCGTAAGATATTGATCATAAGATAAAACACCCACACAGACACAATCCTTACGCAATAATTCCAAGGGTTAGAATCGGTCGTAAATTAAAGCCCGGACAACTTTGATAGAGATTTTATTAATAGGTGGGCACTTTTGATTGAATAATGCATAATCCCACAGGTTACCCATCTTTGCAGAGGTCAATCCTGAGATGAGAATTTAGTATGCATATAATAGTAACTAATACAAGGCTGTGCACTAGGTTCGTTAGGTAATCGCGAACTATGTCTGCTAGAGGAAACACCGAACAATTGCCAATGCGTGGAGATCGAGTACATATCTTGAGGTAAAAAATGTTTCGGCACAGAAAAAAGGAATAGCAATATAGCTCAGGGTATCGAAAGCGGCAGTCGATTAAAATATGGTAAGCCTGGCCCCCCATCTTTACACTATTGCTAAGCCTGGCAAAAGACAGAAAAGTGACTTGAATAGATAGTAGGCAGGCGTTTTGATAAAAAAAGCCAAATTGTTAAAGCGATGGGTGGCGCTGCTGCTTTAGGTACCCGGATATGTAAATGTGTGTACCTGATCTATATATACTGACTCAATGATTAGCCTAACGATATTGGCCTTGTGCTATACGAAAATGCGATTGGACAATTGGTATGATGGGAGAAAAGTATATTAAATGTATGGAATTACTTCATGTACCCAGTCTTGATTGAAAGAAGAGCTAATTCGTTTAGGGTCGGATCCTCGAGCTGGCACCAGCCCATCTGTGTTAACTCATAACGAGATTCTTCGCAGCATATCCCTTTATTATTTGACTAAATCCATCTTGACATCTGGATACATTTACTTCCAGAATCCTCTCGGTCAAACGGGATTAAGATACAATTATACAAGACCGCGCACTGATGCCCCGATGCTTTTCAGCGGCTTCAAGTATAATGTTCAGTCTTGGCCACGCGCGTTAGCCGAAACTGTGGCCAACTTGGTCCTTTACCGAAGTAAGAAATGGATGCTCAACTTACTGGTAATTCTCAATGTACTAATAAGGGCCAGCTAGATCACGATTTTGGCGGGCACTTTCCTGGATTGGATAATCCACCTGCTTTAATAGAAGATATACGTGAAATTGGTACCTATTAGAAATAGGAAAGTGAAAACATAATTAGCTTCTCCTCAATATAGCCTCCCACAAGAGGAGCCCGATCGGGATCCAGGTGATAGGAGGCCATTTTGCTTCTTCTGAGGGAGAGCCTGATAAGCCAAAGAAGTCTAGAGTATGGCCAAATAGCAAATAGAACGAGTTTCGAGCTGTTTTTGATAGCAAGCTGTTAAACTATGTTCCCGAAAAGAGTATCTATTTGGCGTCTGGATAGTAGCAGTTCATCCACCCTGCTAACTCGGACTACTGGTGTATCTTTTATGATTATAATTGACACTGATAGCCCCAACTCCAATAAAGCACGATGATTGTCAATTAAAGAAAGTTGTTCATTATAAGTCCTACTTCTATCCCGTTAGTAAGGAATATTATGTTCATATGAGCTTGATGGAGCTGGAACAGCCTAAAATACACGTAAAATGGATTTCTTTTCTTTTCTTTTCTTTTCTTTTCTTTTCTTTTCTTTTCTTTTCTTTTCTTTTCTTTTCTTTTCTTTTCTTTTCTTTTCTTTTCTTTTCTTTTCTTTTCTTTTCTTTTCTTTTCTTTTCTTTTCTTTTCTTTTTTTGCACTAGGCGCCATCTGCATGCCATCCATCAAGATCGCCGCAGACATATTCAAGTATTTGCTATAATTCACTTCAGGAGCTTCTTGAGCGAAAGATGTCCAAACACTGGTCGAAATGGCGGTTTAGGATGACGCAGCGGCTCTGTTCTGCTGTTTCACTACAATGCTCGTAAGAAATAGAAAGCGGATGCGTAAGCCTTATAGAATGAAGCTCCCAGGCTATCTATACAATGTTGCAAAAAAATTTCCTAATTAACAATGGGTCATTCGCCGACTACCTCTATCTTTTCTGCCACATCCGAACGCTGTTAGTTGACACACGCGTCCACTTTTGAGCGAATGATGGAGAAGGCGTTGAGTAGGCCGCAAAAATGTATAACGGCAGCAATCATAACCGCAACATGGAGTATCTGGTGGCTGGCACCGAAAATATCGAACTTGTGAGGAACCCATCTCTCTGGAACCTGTTCGAAGTTAGTATTATGAATGCCAATTTAATAAAAAACCTCGATGACAATCTTACCCTGGCTGCATAAATGACTGCTCCCGTAAGATTAGATGTGGCCATCCACGCCATCCAATTTAAGGACATATGTTCCTTCTGAAGTTCCCATCCATGGAGAATTAGACCATGAATAACAAATATAATAGAACTTAGTCCAAATCCACCGTAAAAGCATGCGCGCCAACGCCTGAATTGGGGCGAGATGAAGCGTGGGTGTAATGTGACTATAGTACAGCATAGTGCAGTGCTGCTTGTCTGAAAAAGTTTAGCCCACGTAACAACAATATTATCGGTTAACTTACAGTCATCCAGTAAAACCACTGTAATTTCTGGTTGCAGAAGAAGCCATAGTAAATCGTCGGAATACCGGCACCCCACATTAAAACGAGAATGCCTAGATAGTCTAGCTTATTCCAAAATGAGGTGAGAGTTTGGCTATGATTCCATAGTATGTGAAATCTGGGCAACGATTAGCAAAATTATGAAGAACAAGCCTGAAGAGTCTTCACTAACGTCGCTGAGAATGCAAAGCAGACTGCAACTCCAAGACAGTAAATGGATATTACAACCAGATCGTCAACATATGCATTTGATTGGAGCCGATAATAATTCCAATAGAAGTAGAAAGGCAAGGCACAAAAAACGATGCATCCAACTAAATGTGAATAAATATTGATCGTTTGGTTGTGCAGATAAGCCAGGCCGGCGAAGGAAACCCAGGTAGAGCCAGATGTAGGCCTGTAATAAGAATTAAAATCATTCATACAACATGAATATTAAATATATTACTTACCTATAGCCTGATAAAAGGTATTCATTGTCTTGCTGCCACGGGGGTATTTCGTGAAAATACAGAAGCCTCGGCACTCTCAACCAGATATGGTCCGACTTGTGCTGCTTCACGAGAGGATTCCTTTCCATGCTTACTTGAGAAACGGTCTCCAGTGTCACTCGCCGAAGAGACATTGTTCGCGAAAGAAGTCTGGTAGCAGTAGTTCTAGTTGATTGGGGAGAAGAATGGAGGAGTGTCGGCGCAAGTGAACTATCAGCAGATGAATTCCCCCTAGCCGCCCATCCCCTCAATGTTGAGTCAGCAAGCGCTAAGGGATCCAATGGCAAAGACCCTTATTTCAGCCCCCAACAAAATGGCCCAATCAGAGTGTACAGGTACCTTCGTGAAACCAGCTTTAAATAACCTTGGCGCTACGCGAGGGAACAGCCGTTCTCCCGCAGCCACTCAGCGCCCAACTTCTTGTAGGACCAGCCCTCCTCAGCATGATAATTCAAATCATCCAAACTCGACTCCGCTCCTGGTATTCTGTTTTCATGAGATATTTTTGCCGGCTCCTAAGAATAAATAATTAATCGCCACGAGAACTGTATATACCAAATTTTGTTAATATTTTCCAACTTGCTATAGATGCATCAACAATTCCCATGGATATACAACGTCCAGAATTCATTAATAACACCTTCGTTGGTTATGTACCAAACCCAGACGGCCGCGGAACACTTTCGTTACTTTTCTCTTGTCTGCTCACCCTTAGTTTGTGTGTTTGGTCCGCTATTCACCTAGACCTTCCACCATACGGCGAAACCGACATTGAATACACGTACAGATACTTGAAATGGAGTGTTCTGGGAATATTTGGGCCTGAGCTTGTCATTTGGGCCGCTTGGCGCCAATTTATATCCGCGCGAACATTGACAAAATTTATCAAGAAGGTTGTATAGACGTTGTACCAACTAAATTGTCTGTTGCTAACCATACTTGACAGAGAAGCAACAACGGTCGAAACTTACAACAATGGACGATGGTTCACGGGTTTTATGCGGGAATGGGTGGATTCGTATTTGATATGGACACCCCAGATATGCGGCACGGTCCACGTTTTATTCCCCAGCGGCGTCTCCATGTAACACCCCGGGGAATCCAGCTGCTTGCTAAGTGCGGCTTGCTCCCTGATATTTCGCTGGAGGACATCAAAGATAAAAGCAAAACAGACGGATCCGGAAAGCTCATCTGCTGTTTCCAAGTGAGCTGGATGGTTGTACAAGCCGCTGTTCGAGTAGCGGTTGGCCTTCCGTTGACACCGCTTGAGACGAATACTATTGGCCACGTTGTCTGTGCGTTAATAAATTATGCTCTCTGGTGGTATAAACCAAGGTGGATTAAAGAACCAACGATACTTAGAGGGGAATGGACCCGGCCGATATGTGCTTTTATGTACATGTCCAGCCAAGTAAGTGCAGAGCACAAGGTCAACAGAGACGTCTTACGTGACTTTGGCGTTAAGACAGAAATGAGTGGAGTCATATACACCCCTGGTCATCCATGTTCACAAAGAAGCTCAGACGCACAGATACTTGAGACGAGAGTCGCCCCAACGAGCGACAGACAAGAAGGATACGAAGCGGATATCCAGCTCACAGAGGAATTGGAGCCTTTAAACGGCGCATTCCCAACAAAAGGCCGTATCACTATACGTCACGGTTTGGAGCTATCAGCAAAAACATTCTACCAGGAAGAGGCTATCAACGAGGCTGTTAAGAAGACAATTTCATCTGACATGCAGGTTGTTCGATGGCAGCTCGCATGCGAAGCCATTGAACAATATCCTGCCATTAGAGAACGGCTTGATGTTCCTCCATGTGATCAAGCTGAACTGAGATATCGAGAGGCGCACCGACTGTATCCTGAAATGCCGGACAAAGTAAGCCGACATCCAAGAGGCCATAAACCAAGTGAAGATATTAAAACAAGCTCGAATAAAAGTTGGTGGTGCCCGTCAGAAGAGCTTGTGGTTGAGCGTCCTCGAAATTGGCCGGGAGATGATCTGCTACGTCACATGCAAGGCCACTTGATGGGCATGATTTTATGGTGCTCCAGTACAGTATACGGCGCCATTCATGTGGCTGGTTGGAATGAAGTATTTCCCACTAATGCTGAGTCTTGGTTTTGGAGAATGTCGGGTGTCTACATTGTCTTCAGTGGATTGTTATGGTCTTTCTTCAACCTCCTGGGTCACCTATCTGGTTCAGTCTGGTGGTTTTGGTATGGCATACTGGAGGGAGCTGAGCGTAAAAGGAGTCATATCCTTATTTACGTCTTATGTTGCATAGGAGGAACTCTTTATGTTATTGCACGGGTATATCTTGTTTTGGAGGCCTTCATTTCCTTGCGCTCACTGCCTGCATCAGCGTATGACTCCCCCTCTTGGATTTTGACGGTGCCTCATTTATGAGGTCGGCGAGACAACATGTTGAGCTTAATACCGAGGCAGAATCTGCGAATTTTGTGACTAGTATTGGCTTCAGTGACCATTAAAGCGAGCTAGATATTAATTTGAATAGTATTTTTTCTTCTGCAAGACTCATAGCTCATTTAATATGATGAAGAGTAAGCCGCTGGCTGTGATATATTCTTTAAGTGATTTCGCCTTGGATATGACTGAATGGCATATGAGTGATTGGAAAGAATCAAGACTCCAATAAAGGATGTTGGTTTTCAGTTTTCAGGGTTCTGAGCGGTTCGTTTGCTAAAGTTTCTTCCAATGCAGTTGCTTCTTTTTACAGCGTGGGATGTATACTACGGTGGGCTGCATGCAGGTATGGTAACTTAGGGAACTATTATTGAGGCGTTTTCTATTTCGTCAATGTATGATACCTGCACATCACCTGCACTGTTAAGGTTACAATAGTATCGCATGTTATCCGACGATTCTACTTCGAGTACAACAAGCTCAACTACTGCTCATAAACAGTCATCATCATCATCATCATCATCATTATCACCAACAACAAGAAGTGGTGGTGCGGGGCACGGTACAAGGGTGACAAAAGTGGTATATTGCTAAGACAGACGACAGCTGCAGTGACGTAGCCACCAAAAATATGAATCAATGTCGCCCAGTTTGTGACCTGGAACACTGATGCCAGTCTTACGGGAAAGAACTCCTTAATAATGAGCTCATAATGTGGAATAGTTGAAGGGTCTAGCGGCGATGGTTTCTGGCTCGACTACACGTATTGCTCCTAGAGACGAAGCTCTACATTGACTGCCTCAAAGGCGCCATCAAGCCCCCCTGAGTAGTTAAAAGCCTCTAGCAAGCATCTCAAAATACCCTTAGAGTGGTACCAAAACCTTCAACTAGCACAAAGCCTGTGACTGCTACAACTAAAATCACCCCACCTAGAGCTACATAATTGGGAATTCCTGGTGATGGATGCGAGGCCACCGGAAACAAAATCGCGCTTGCTCAATTGTGTAACTTGCCCTGAATAATAACAAACGGTTGTAAGAACCAGCAAACAAGTAATCCAAAGTTGTGACATGACAGATTCCTCCTAACCCTGATCACTCTCATTCGTCCCCTTCTTGAGCCTTCTTGGTTCTTTCCTCCTATGGCCCCAGTTCTGGATTCCCTCTCCGTGCCCCTAGCTGAATCTGCCAAACTACGCGAGTTAGTCCCTGAACCATTTACGTACATAGACGGTAATGCCTAATTTTCTTTAGTATCCAAAGAGGGGTACAATTCATCATGGCTGTGAGACAGTTCCACTGGGTATAGGTTTTATCCCAATTTCCTGCCCTAGACGGCACCTTCTTTCCTTATAGCTCTTCTATAGAAGAACATTGTTTCTAGTAGCTGTTTTGATCATCGCCATAAAGATTCTATGGTTTGTTCGGAGGGCCAAGTAGAAAGTCTACAATGGGTATCTTGAGGGAGGTGCACACCTTCTCAGTATCGGATGAATCCTTTTTTTTTCTATCACAGTCAAAGAAAATCACGAGTCTATTGTTGTGACTTTAAAATTTGAAGTGAGCAATACATTTATAACTATTCAACTCTTCATTATGCTAAAATTCACACCGCATAACTCCTCGCGGGCTCAAAAGAAGAATTGTCGAGCAGCAGCAGCGCCAATAAAGCTAACTGCCAGAGTTTCCCACGACGGCGATCTTGCCATCATTGCAGCGTTGAGAGGGATTGTTGGAATATTCCCACTCAACATCTATTACCCATATTAGCATAATCCCATCGATAGTGCCCTGCACGTATTATGGAGGCTGAAATACCTTATCAATAGTATGAACAACACCATTTTGAATTATCGAATCTCCTGTCAAAATTCGTGCACCATTCAAGTAGGCGACATCGTCTTTAATCACCACGGAGACATTGGTACCGCCGAGTGTGCGGAATATTTGGCCATCCTCAAGCCAAGGCGAGTATGCTGGAAATGAAGGAGCCACAATAATATGCTCCTTTAACACTTGCACAATCTGGGTCTGTGTAAGTGTGCTAGAGAGGCTGAAAACTTCGTTGCTTGGTGCCAGAACAGTTATGGACTCTGCGCCTTCAAGAGTCGCAGTTAAATTCGTTTGTTTTAGTGCTGCTGCCAATTTGACCCCGCCTATTGCCTGCAGAGTTGATGATAAACTCCTTGGCAAGGTAAGAACAGCATCAATTGGACGAATGACTCCCTTATCGAAAGGAATATCACTGCCTACGACCTGTGCACTTTTGCCTAAGCCTGAGAACACGAACGGCAGTGATGCAGATGGAACGTTTCGCTCTACGAGACTTTGGTTGTGTCCAGAACCAAGAAGTACAAAGTCATCGTGATATAAAGTCTCGTAGACAGATCCTCGAGAGGTTGCCCGCTTTGCCATTCTTGTGGCCAAAGCTCGGGAGTTATACTGGAATGATCCACCTCCTCTAAATCGTGCCAGATTTAACGCAGCGGGCGGGGGACCAATTGTAGCACGAGCAACGGTAGCATTACCGCTTATAATAAATGCATTATTGTTTGGTGCATACACAACCAAGCCAGCTTCGGCGGATGTAAGTTCGATTGTTGGGAGCCTCTGGGCAAACTCCGTGAACCCGTTGGCTTGAAGAGTTGAAAAGAGCGACTGGGGCGACTGTGCGAGAGCACCAGAAGCCATGTAAAGCTCTATGAGTGAAAGAAAGAATTGTTTATGCATGGCTGAAATTTGAGCGCAATGTTAGCCGCAGAATTACTTAGAAAGAGATGAGTGTGAAGTTGGTTTCGTAGCATACAGTTGGGGGCATCAAATGTTGACATTTAAGCTCTCTCCTTACAGAAGGCGCCATTTCGTTGGGCAAGCCTACATCCAATCCAATCATTGACCTACTATGCCCAAAAAATGGGGGGTTGGTAGGGTGCTGTGTTGATACTTACCTGAATGCTGCATTGCAAGTTGCTTAACCGCACAGGGGGGCATGCGGCTGACGACGGTGCGGCTGAAGTCTTGCCATACTCGCGTTTTCATCTGCCTATTAGATTGTCGCTTCGGTGAGGTTTTGCTTAGTAGGATGTCGTGGAATAAGGTTATTTGGCAGGCTTTGTTTTATCATATGCAGGTATTCTCGGCTGCATTCAAGGGTCCACATCATATACCAGGGGGGTAGAAAAAGCAGAGATTAGGCAAGAGAGGCGTGTTAGTGTATGAGTGGTCGATTTGGTGCGTTGTAGCTGACAGATTGAATTGAGACCAACATGTGCATACGACGACTCTCTCATTGGACAGCCTCTTCTTATGCAAATGATTGCCTAATAACATCATCAGTTATCCAGCGGAGTTGTACTTGAAGAGTTGGCTGTTTGGTACAAATGCGCCCTCTGAGCAGCCCCATGTATTCAGTAGGAAGTATCAGTTTATCGATGTCATATTATGACAAATTATAAAAGCTGAGATGTAACTTATTGATCCATTCTCCATACCCCCTTCAAGTCTGCAGAGCCAGCGAAAGAAAGCATATACCCATATGGAGCTCACTAGATGAGCACAATAGTGAGGCCGCTCTACGAATAGCCCGACGTTATCGTGAAAACCTTGCTGTTTCCAGAGGATGGCGAAAATGGGATCAAGATTTATACGCGTGGTGTTATAAATTTGTTAGGAGGATGCAGTCGAAGTTTGGTACCACGTGTCTTCAATACATTGGTAAACAAGCCTTAAGCATGATTCATCAAACCCAGAATGTTACCACTATATGCATGAATCAGACGGCTCTTTTGTAATCATTGTACATGATTTGATTGCCTCAATTCTACTGGATACAGATTGAAACGACATTTAGCGAGCCCGCCGCGCTGATATGTTACAGCACTGAAGAGGCTTTGGAGTTAGCCAGTCATATTCAGCCAAGTGGAAGGATTTATGCATTAGACAAGGTTGACAAAAGCTGAATTATGCAAGGATTTGCCTTTTACTAAACAAGCAGTCTAATTGGCCCCCTCTCCCGATAATATCTTGGGCAGTAGCTATGCTATTCGGGTGTCAGCTTGTGAGCCCATCACGTAGAATAAGAATGTATTTAAAGTCATCTGCAAAATCAATGGATCACGATATGGAAAGTTAAACAAGACTCGGGTCTAAGTCGCTGCGTCGCCAAATGAGATCATAATGGCCGACACATCGCTAGTAGACAGCTCTTATGTGCTTCACCGTCCCTTCTATGTACCAACCAAGGATGGCGCTGTTTGGGCCATAACCTTCACCACCTATGGCGGAACAATCTTAACAGCAGGTATCTCTGTTATCCTCACGTTGATTTTCGTAGGGCTTTGGGATCTTATATGCTTCATTGCCATTGTTTCTTCTAGGGCAACGACTCGGCGGCGACATGTTGCTCTCGTGACTCTTTGGAACTCCAACGATTCTTGGTTTGCTTTCAAAGAGCTGGCAAAATATACGTTGCAATTTTTCGGATCTACACCCGATTTTGTTTACGGCCTCATATTTTGCTCCTTGGCTTTTATAATCTACGGAGGCGGCTTGTCATTGGGGATTGTTGGGCCTTCACTATTGCAAGTTGGTACCGTGGCACCTGCACGACCTAGTGCAGTCTACTGGCCATTTTCTACTAACAACGAAAACGACACTGTCAATATTCTTCAGGGTATAGGCATACTTGCTCCAGCATTTATACGCGCTCTTGGTAGTGTGGATGCCTCCCTGGGCTCACGGGGGGAAAACGTGAAAGTAGATGGGCCAATTCCGGTTGTCAATGCTGGCATAAACAGCATTGAAACTATCTACCAGTATAACTACACATATTCACTCACTGGAGTCGACCTCGGCCTCCAACATGGCTCTGATCTTTCATTGACGGCTACGGGCTCCTGCATAACCGAGTATGGGTGGATCGTTAATGCCACGCACCCTAAGAATGACAGGGATACCTATTACCCGTGGAACTACACCATCTGGAATCAGACTGTCCCCATCACCAACGATACTATTCAGGATGCTCCAAAAGCAGTTTTCCTGCTTCATCCAGATGCATCCACTCAGTATGGCGAGACCGGCAATATCTCTTTTGCCATTTTACCATGGACAGCTCATAGGACCAGCATTAAACAGTCAAATGATCCATGGTATACCACAGAAACTCGGCGGGCACCATTTCCGCCTCCTGTCGAGACTGCCATCTTCTGGATAAAGCGGGCAAGACCAGCCCTCTCCTGCTGGCAGAAAGATGTCTGGCGATATGGCTCCACAACTGTGACCAATGTCTCTGGCCTCAAGAACATAACCGGCATAAAAGTAAAGCCTTCTTTACTCGCAGTATTGGAACTTGCCGTCGCTGTTCCGGTCCTATATAACCTGGGAAGTACCGTCGCTATCTCATCGCTTAAATCTGCAACCGTAAACACATTTGGGGTTATTAATGCAGAGACGTCGAGTATCTTGGACGACCTGACACGACTGGTATTTGCCAGTTTCGTATACACTCGGAATGTATATTTGGATACTACGATGTATGAATCTAAGACTGGGCTGGCCAACGCTTTGGATACGAATGGGGAACCTGCTGATGGTCTTGGTGACTTTGTTTTATCAAGTCCCAACTTTCAAAGTTTCTCTATGGTTGGCATGATTGTTCTTTTAGTGCTTCTCATCACTCTGTTCACTACAAACTTTCTGCTCCAAAGGATGCTTCGTCTTAACGACAAGGCTAAGAGCAAAGTAATGCTTTTCGATGCATTGCCAGCGGCTCAGCTATTCCGTCGAATTTATGAACCCAAAGGAGAAAACCAGGTGGATACAACGTGGCTCTGTAATTCCAATTTACCGTCGATGGGGGATCAGACAGAATTCAAGTTGGAAAGGTGCGACAAAGAAAATTGCAATGGACATATCAAGAGTGATCTAGCGCCCCCAGTGGAGCCCGCTTCAGAGGGGGATGGCAACACAGCTCCTTCTACGACGAAGGAAAAAGTAGCCAAAGTGGACACAGAGTTGATAACTTCCTCGTGAAGTTGAAATATCGAGGATTTGGTGGCCGATTGAAGGCTAAAATTTGTTTGCAGAATTTGGTTTTGATGCTTTGGTTGCAATGTTAGGTATGGAATGAATGAAGTACAAGAATACATAGGAATGCAATGCAAGCATATGCAAATGAAAGGCTGCAGCGCAGTGATTTATATCACTTTACTCTCGTGTAAAGTGGGATCTATAAAGCGGTACAAAGCCAAAACATACAATGTCACTTATAATTCTTATCTTATAGATGGAATAGCGAGAAAAATTGCATTAGTAGGCACTTCACGTCTGGAAGAGAGAATTCCTGGGTGGGGCATGATATTTCAGCATAAAAATCCATGGACCTGTTCACCCTCGGAAAGGGCAGAAGCATCAGTCTGGGCAAGCTTGAATAGTTTGACAATAGTTTCATTGGTGTAAATTTGGCGACGGCATGCTGCATTGATACGCATTAAAGCCCCGAGGAAACATATACATGTATGAATCGCGACAGGAGCAATGTTCTAGGGAAGCACGGTGTTGTAACTGGGAGTTTTGGTACGATGTTTAAAATCCAGAGCTTGTGCCCCTTGATTATTGCAGATGCCTTTGTGAAAGAAATACACCAGTTGGTGAAGCTCATTAATAAATTCATGTCATCATCTAGGAGCATCATCGTAAGTCGGATCAGCTTGCAGGACCTAGCTAGACATTACTCTTGTTAGATACACGTAGTTGACGCAGTTTTAATCACGCCTCAATCCATACCCAAAAAATTCATTTATTTACACCAAATTTCTTGTTCCATAGGGGAATTGATGTGCATCTTGTCACCCGTCATCATAAATCCAGGAGTGTCGTGATAGTTTCACGGCATCATCAAGGTTCCTCCCGCGCCGATTCTGGGATCCGCAAGTCATCCATCAGTTCGCATCAATTAGCCTGCACTAGCTTGAAGCCACCATCTCTTGGTTACATGTACGTATTGGGATTGATACGCAAATACGGTAGGTTCCATAATCCACAGCAGAGTGGAGGACGTGGGTCGCTTAGCGGGCTAAATCTGCATTAGTGGGGTGTCACCCCTGTAAGATTCCCACAGGCCTTTCTGGGATATAAAAACAGCGCCAACCTCCCAGCCAAAGCTTTAAAACTTTCTCTCTTCTCATGGGACGCAACATCGCCATGGAAAATGCCCTTGATAAGTAAAGAGCTTCTCACCCTATCGCAATATCGGGCAGGACAGCCGGCAGACGAAACATAGTCGAGTGGTTTGCTCAAGGAGCCTGAGGTACATTGGCCATCTGCGGAAGGCGGTGCCGGTATAGGCAATTTGAGTGTTGCGCAACACCAGTGTTCGAACGCCGGCTGTTCTGCCCATTTTTTTGTCTATTTTTTTCTGCATCAGAAAATGCGATGAGTCTGTAGATTCTTGCTTGTAAAATTTTTTTTTCTTTCTCTTTTTACATAGAGCCAAAGGGGGTTCAAAGGCGTCAGACGCAGTGTCGTCCTTTGAGAATGGAATGGGCCCGCCCGCTTCTTAGCGCTAGAAATCTTGCTGGTATAGCGCTACTGCAGATCCCCCAATTTTAGTGCTCGAAGCCACACACTCACTAAGTCGGTGGGAATCGCCTTTCTCTCCTCCCGCCTGTCGATACGGAGCTTCATCGAGAAATATCGAAACCCTGCCCAAAACGTTGGTTGCGGCCAGCGAATCCAGAGAATTCAAACGCATTGGACGGATACGCGTAATCGATAGTGAATGACAAGAAAAGTATCGTAAGATGCTTTGATATGGAAAAAAACATATCCGAAGCGACCAAGTAGAGAAAGCAATTGCAGGCATCACCGAGGTATTTCAGATCCAGACATCAAGCAGCGCGCCTCTCATTATGGCGATGTTTGCATTCGCTTTAAAATGGCAGTTGATATTAAGCATCTATTCATTTGAGATACTTCACATACTGGGTTGACCACCAATAGGTGGCGAGTCGCATGATTACACGTAACCGTGCGATTTCCATGCCCTGACCTGCGTAAAACACCAATCGATTGTGGGTTCAAAACCCACTCGCTGAATCTACAGAACTTTACATTCCAGCACAATGTTGCCACTGATAACGTGTGAGCGTCACAAATCCAACATTCAGGTTTCCCTACAGATGGAAGATATTGGAAAGTTGTATGCCCGAGGAGGAAAGAATTGTATCCATTCATCACGAGATTATATTACACACAGTAATTCAGCAACTTCAACGATGCCTGCTCGACCTCTTTTCTGAATATAAGAAGATCGCTGTCAGAATAATTACCATAAAGGATAAGGATGGGCATGATTATCCAATCTGGAAACGCTGGAGAAATCCGTGCATTCTGTACAGACACGGGTGGAAATATCTAGATAGAAACATCTGGGGGGTAATGTCCAATTGTGATCCTACAATGAATGGCGCTTGCACAATATACAGAGGAGCTGAAATTGAATCACAAAGGAAAGCTACAAGAGAATGATCGTGAAAAGGGGGTTCTGAGAGGGTTGAAGAAATGGAGTCAGGATACAGTAATATAACCGGATACAATACTATGACTAAAATTTTTTGAAGATTTCATCATATAAAAGATTTCAATCTTCCCATAGCCGAACACAGCTTGATACATGATGATAAAGTTTGTAGAGCAAACATACCTACCTAGGTATGCATGGGTGGGGATTGTTTAGCGCTATCAATCAATAAAGTACTAACATGAACGCAAATAAGTTTATTATCTAATTTCAGTCATAAATGTCTTGAAATGCTGCGGGTCGCGTTCAAAGTTGGGATACGAACACTATCCGTTGGATTATATCATGACATAGCAGTCCAACGGTACCGTGATCGCAACCACGCTATAATATGCCACTTTACTTGGGTCTTGCGAGACCGATTCGGTCCTGGAATACCACGCAACTGGCGCAGCGTGGATGTTGACATTTGTGTTCTGGGCACTGAACACACGCATCATAGAGCAAACCACCCGTGCCGCATTGGCACTAATATGACATTCATTAGCTTTTATAATCATTAATAAGTATTAAGTGATACGCACACATTGCCAGGTAAATACAGATGGCATAGATCTTATTGGCTGTTGAACCTCCTTTTGCAATTTTTGTACTTCTTATGTAAAAGTTAGATCGTTGTTTCCCTCTCGCTGTCAAATAAAATTGAGAAACGATGCTTACTATGACTCTCTGACAAATGAGAAGGTTTCCGTGGCTCTATTTTAACAGTAGGCAATGACTATTGTCGCTAGATTTATAACAAAGAAGGCAGTCCCTATCTGAAGAGACTCCGAAGCGATGAGGGGGTTTCATTACCCCACTTGGGTGGCACATGCATACGAGATGTGCGATTGGTCAGGGGGAATTACATACCACGGAGTTGAATGCCCAGCCTTATTCTTGAGAAACAAAGCTGCCACTCCAAGCATCCATTTTTCTCTTTCTTTGGTTTCCAATATTCAACATTTGTCAAATCTTCGCAATGTCCGGCTTTGAGATCGCCGGAATTGTTCTTCGCTCTTTCCCTATCGCCATCAACGCTCTGGAAGCACATACCAAAATCGCGCATCGGCTCGGCCTCTTTTACAAAATAAGGCTTGAATACAAGAAATGGCGTGAAGATTTGGAGTTTCACAAATTGACGTTTACAACAAATTTGAGGAAGCTTCTACTTCCCCTAGTAGCTGATGAACAAAAGATTAAAGAACTTCTGCTATCACCTGGAGGCGACTGTTGGAACGAGGAACGCATCGCCGAACTTTTGCAGAAGCGACTTCAAGAGTCCTATGGGTTGCATATGCAATAAATACAGAGAATCAGAAAATCTATGGACGAAATAAATAGAGTGCTTGCAATCGATTCCGAGTGGACGCAAAGACTACTTGATAATTTTGTAAGCGAGTTTAATACACGTAAATACAACAGAGGAATTAATCAGCACCATCAGGAGCAAAATACAACTGGCCCAGATACATTTCGATCATTTGTTGCCAAAAAGGGGCTTCAATTTCTGATTTACATCTTCAAGCTGACCAAAAATGACTCCATTCGAAAAAGACTCTTCAATGAAGTCAATGAATGCAACGGCAAGCTAGAGGCGCTACTCAAAGCTAGTAATAAAGACGCACGTTTGGTGAATGATAGAAAACCAAAACATCAGTCAGAAGATATGGATATAGCTATATGCGATTTTTGGAAAAAGGCCAAAAATGTCTTTCAAGCGCTAGCTTCTGCCTGGGTCTGTCAATGTCAGCAGCACGGAGCAAAATTGCTACTTCAACATCGAACAGAAGCGAAGGCCGAACTTGATATCATAGTAACAGGCTTCAACCTATCCGATTTGGTAGTTTCACAAGATCAGGGTTTCGGAAAGTGATGACATAGTGGCAGCAAAACTAAAGCAAAGTGTCACACTTCTTGAGAATCAACCCTCTTACCAGCTTGGTCCCAAGCATTATCATACTGGAACAAACTATGAGAAAAATGGTCGTTCAGAATCAAATATAGAGTTGCAGAAGTTGGTGAATATCATTAAACACTTTGGTTGCAATGGGCTAATGCGTTTTTAGACCGCCGCCACTAGTCACTCTTACATGTATAGAGACACCCCTATCCCTCAACATAACTCGTGAGATATTGAGCCTTTGCGCTTCATTTAAGTCATTGGAAAGGTCGTGCTATGGCTATCTCACTGGTGAGGGTTGTCGCTACTATATTTACAACATTTCCCAGCAAAACACCCATGCAATGCCATCGGTAACTCTCGACCAAATACTTCAAGGCAAAATGCATACAATATTTACGCGCTCGGAGAGATATACATTATCATTGACTATTGCCTCCACATGCTTTCAGTTGTTGGATTCTCCGTGGCTAACATCCCCTCTCCAAAGAGTCGACATTATTTTCCCACGCAAAAATAAAAATACAGCGTTAATCGAAGAACCTCACATAAGTCAAAACTTCAAAGGTTCACTTGAGGATGACACATTGTCTGCAGCAGAGAAACACTTCCGTTTTGCTGAGGCACTTGATCATTTGGGTATCATGCTTTTGGAGCTTTACTTCGGTCAGATTATAGAAGATCAATCAGGGAGGAAAAAGCTACCGGCAGGACAAACTGATACGGAAAAGGCAGGCTTCGATGTTTTGGCGGCACGTGAATGGCAATGCCGCGTTAATGAAGAAGCAGGGGAGATTATGCAAGTGCTGTCTCATGGTGTCTCGGGGGAAATCGGAGTGCACCACCAGAGAAATGGAGACAACAAATGTTGCACAGAGTGATACTGCCTTTGCAGCGAAGCCGCGACTATTTGGCAAACGGGGGAATAGAAGCATGACAATTCGCTACAAGGAGACTCTTTTGCAATGTCAACTTATTGAGAAGGTGGACTAGCTGACCAATTCACTTCAGGATAATCTACGTGGTGAAAGTGATTTCTTGAATACTAATTAAATGTAAATGTAGAAAGTGTGTTCTCAGGTATTTCTCAACACCCAAATTTTTTGCTTCCTGTTGACTGCATACTATATTACACAGTACTCATTGATTCAATTCATCATGGCAACCCCAGTTGCTAGCCATACATTATTTTATCCACCTAATAGTGACTTGTTTTTAAAAGCCATGATAGTTTCTTGATCATAACTTCTGAAGCCTAGAATCACTCTTTGTAGCGTTGCAGCTAGATGGAGTTTCGCTCGTACTGTTCCAAGCCCCGGTCTGCTGCTATTTCTTCTTGAAGTCCTTGAAAGACCTGATCATATTGCCTCTTCTTCGTTGGATGGCTGGCTGCATACTTATGGGTCTGGCGATAAACCTTACCTCATAGAAGCCATGGTAGCCTGGATTAGTCTTCATGAAGTCACTCTAAGAGTACCATTACATTGAGGGACGCAACAAGGTCGACATAGCATGACAAACTGCACATGTATTATCTTTCGTCCATAGAAGTATGATTCACTACACATCTAGTACCATTGTCCATACCACAACGAGGTATGATATATATCCTCCGACTCATAGTGAGATAAGGCATACTATGCCTTGTCTAGATCTCTTAACACTCGACTGATAAAAGCCAGTTAAAATAACAGCTAATTTTCTTCGTCGCTCCATGCATCGTCATCAAGCAAGTCGTCAAATTCCGCATCCTCTTCCTCAGCTCTCGCCCAACTTTCCTTGTTTGCCCTCGTATGCTGCTCAGAAGGCCGCTCAGACCAAGGCCCTAAGTAGGAGGCATTCTCAGCTGCATAGTCCAAGTAACCCCAGATGCGGTTCACGCTCACATCCTCCAACAGCTCCTTGGCTGAAGGATACGAGCCTGGCCCCGACTTGAACTTCTCGCCCTCAATCATGTCCTTGATCTCATCCTCCGAATCTCGCGCTGCGCACGCGCGCGCATCGTTCAGGAGGCTCAAAACACCTTCAGTCTCCCACCAGACAGCATATGAATTCTTTAAGGCGACGGCCATTTCTTCCCAGGAACCGGTTGAGTATGCCTCTGGCCAGCAGCAGAGTGCTTCGTCAGGGTCGAAGAGATTGAACATGAAATTGCCGTTAGCCTCGACTATGGCAGCGCCAAGCCGACGGATATGGTTCAAGAGAGTTGATTCAGTTTGGGAAAGAGATTCAGTGGCTTCTTTCTGGAGCTTCGTGGATAGGGGACTCCGTACCACGGCTAGCTCTATCTTATCCCGCAGCTCAAAAGGGAGGTGGCTTCGAGATAGGATCCTGCGGGCGATCTTTAGGTTGTGAATGTCGACGAGGAGCTTCATCTTGAGCAGTAGAATAGCAACAAGATGATTCAAGTCGGGATAGTCGCCGAGAAGAAACCCTAGATCCTCAAAGACGTCGGCACCGTGAAGGTTGAGATACGGCAGGGTCATATCGCCCCAGTCGTAGGTGCCGTCTGGATCACACGTGGCCCACCACTTCACAAAATCATAGCACTCCTGGTCGAGATCCAGCCGTAGCATCACAGCCGGTACCATCTCCCGCAGCCCCATGTTGTCACGGCGGCACAGTCGAAGCATATCGCGCATGTGCTCGAGGGCCTCGCTGACGCTTCCCAACGTCCCCGGAATAAGAAGCTTCATGACCAGCGCTATCCGTGCGCGCATATAGTCGCGTGTGCTCAAGACTCCCCAGAAATGGCCGACATGCGTTTCAAAGGCGTTGGCAGGAGTAACGAAGTCCTCCGTGGCGTTGCGGACTTTAACATCTTCTTTGGCAAGCTTCGTTCGCGCTTTCTTGATCTTGATACAGGTAGATTTATGCAGCGGCCAGTGAGCAGCCTGGTGTTCACGGCTGCAGTAGTGGACGGCAAGGCAGCCAGTGCATCGAAGGAGTTTTGGGCCAGTAGAGAGGCAGTGTGCGCAGCGATTGCGGAGGGGGCCGACGATGCCCTTGTAGTCACTTGCGGTACTTGTGATGTCGGCCATGTTGCACTTTCTAGAACATGATGATGATAATGATGAAACTCGAATGTCTTCAGATTGATCGATGAGAGCAGAGGAAAGAAAAATGAATGGAAGCCATCGACTGCAAGCAGAGATGTTGTTTGACCAGTAGCAGCCCAGCTTGGTGCTCATGATCACGTGTGGGCACACGTGGTTATCATCATGATAGCGATCGGACGAAGTCGAAAGAAAGTAAACACGAATGAAGCTTTATACATATCTACCTATTACCTAGGTAGCCATATTTTCGATTGAGCTGTTTCTGCATAGTAGCTTTATGCAAAAGGGCTTGTCCTCACAACGATATGGGAGTGCGAAACGCATGTATACGTGAAGCTCCTGTAGTCCATACTGCAGTGGTATGTGTACATGTACATATGTGTATGGGGGAGCATCTTCATAGTATACCCTTGATATTCGGCCTGGTGAATGTTGATAATCACTTTAATTTAATTCGTCTATATCTCTTCGGTATGAAATTAACTTTGGCCAATAATCATACCAATTATGCTTGTTTTCTCATAGAAACTCTTCCCCCGCCCCCCTGTGGCAATGCCTAAACAGAGATCTTCCCACAGAACCGTGAGGACACATGTATGCCTAGGTCAAATGCCCTGTCATACTCAAGTAGAAACACACAATGTATGACAAGAAAAGTATTTCCTGCGCTGTCGGAGCGGTTACTAAACCTGCTAGTTGGTTGAAGCCTGTATCCACATATTGAGCCAGCCTTGTCCTATGAGAGAATGGCAATGCATATCGCCGTCGACAGTTGGGGACATCCAATCGCAGCTCGTGAAAGACACGCCAAAATCACGTACCTAATGGCCGTTACACCAATGTGAATGTGTGTAGCAACCGCAAAGGATCCTTCTGGAGCCTTAGGCAGCCATGGAGTTAAATAGAAACACCAGGGACTTGCCTTGCTACCAATCTCTACCATATTCATTACAACAACAACGAATACAGGCAATATGGATACTACAGCCATAGAACCGACAGGCGCGGACTTGCCACAGGGAACAGATCTAGTGGCAGCGATAAATAGTCCCCAGCAGCTAATCCATAATTACCTTTGGGAGCGCAGCCCAACGTTCCGCGCGCTTTGTGATATTCGACAACAGGTAAGTGGTTTAGTTTTCTGTATAAATCCTGGTACCTGCAATTACTAAACATAGAACAGGGCTGGAGGCATCCGACTGGAGATGAATTTTTTCAGCAGCAACGCCAAAGAGCTGATAATCCATCACCGGACGGAGAGTCTTATTTTTATAAGATGACAATTGCTATTGGAAACGAGCTTAATACTAGCACTGGTGCATTCGATATACTACGGTCGAGCGACAAGCCTTCGGCACTGGACATGGGAATGGCTCCGGGAGGATTCTCGGCAACAATAATGAAATCTTACCCCAAGACTACACTTCGAGCAATCACCCTGCCTCTTGCCAGCGGTGGCCATTCGGTACAATTCAGGCATAGAGGGGTGAAACTTGATCTCTGTGATATCAATACTCTTGCTGGAGACATGGGCTTGACCTCTATACCAGAAACCCATCCTGCCGCAAGTACATTTACTGTCACAAAGCTACTGGGACAAGAAATGTTTGACGTGGTCATCTGTGGTTGCCAGGTTACACGCAACCAGGAACTCGAAGAGTGGCGCGAAAATCGAGAAGCAGGGCGCCTACAGCTTGCGCAACTTGTGATCGCTTTGGAGCATGTTAAAAGCGGCGGAACATTGGTTGCCGTTATGCACAAGCCTGAAGAAATCCATACTGCCGAGCTATTGCAGATATTCTCGACTTTCTCTCAAATTTCTCTGTTTAAACCGAAAAGAGCGCATGCAAAGCGATCATCTTTTTACGAGTCTTCCTATTTGCACCGTAACGTATTCCTATTTAAACTGTAGTGCTTTACATCGTAAGCTAGATTTACCCCCTTAATCGTAATTACTACACCCGTATACTAAAATACAGTATAATATATTAGAAAGGAAGATTAATATATAAAATTATATATTACAACACTATTAATTATTAATCTACACTAATTTATTTAAAAATAATAATTCTAGTTTTTTTAATTAAAATAAATATACTTTTTATAGTTTAGTTAGTTTATTAACTTTATTATCCTCCTCAATCTAAGTAGCTGGGATAATAATAATGTCTTTAGCCTTAAACTTAATTATAGCCTCCGTTTTAGGGTTTATTTTAAGGGTAGCGGCGGTTATTGCAGCCAGCCTTATTATAGCAGAGGCGCCGGTTTATCTTTGCGATTATCCCTTTATAGTTCTTTTAATCTATAAATTTAGGCGCAACTGCGAGCTTTTCGTTAATTATAATAGAGTAGTCTGGCCTTAGCCCCAGCCCCAGCTACAGCTTTATAATGGCCTCTGTAAGTCTTTAACTTTAAATTATAATAGATTACAGTATATATTTAGCTTTATGCAGTACTTATGGTAATATAACTGTATAGTCTGTTTTAGCTTTTTTAGCTATATTAACTATATTATCTTTTTTTATTTAATATTATTTTAGCTATTAACGGCCTTTAGTATTAATAATATAGTTATTTTTTTATTATTTAAAAGCTGCGGTTAGTTATAAAGGTTCTGGATAATATTAAGGTCTTAAATTTAAAGTAAAGGTTTATTAATATTTTAATATTATATAGTTAATAGCTTTTTTATAAAAAAAATAAAAGAAAATATATTAAAGGTTTAATTAGCTATTATTATAGGTAGATATTATCTTTATTAAAGGCCTTATTGGCGTTAAGCTTTTTAAAAATTATATAGCTGTAAGGAAGCGTATATTATTATATAAAGCTACTGGTGTAAAAAGGTAGTAGCGGAGGTATTAAAGTAAGGTTTAAAGGTATTACAGCTATGGTTAGGTAATACTATTATATAAGGAAATTAACGGTAATATAACCGATAGTTATTAAAATATTATTTAATTAGTTCTATTATTAGATAAAATACTACTATAGCTGCTGTTATATTTTAATTACTTTTTTATTATAATCTTTTTTTTTCTTTTATAATATAAAGTAGATTATATTATAAAGGTAAAGAAAGTTATTTATATCTATAATAAGGAAAGATTTTATATTTTTATATACTGTTTTTATAAAACTGTTAATTTACTAACTGAAGTTATAATATTACTTAATATAATAGTAAGCCTACTGCTTTTAATATAGTATATATTTTTTTAAAATATAATATAAGATATGGTTTTATATTAAATTATATATAACCTTTATTTTATATTAAGCTTTTTTAAAACTTTTTTTATTTTTAGTATAGATAATCTGCTTTTAAGTATAAAATATTCCTTTATAAGTTAAGGGGTTAGCAGCAGGTAGTAAAGTAATATTATTATTTTTAGTAATCTTTTACTTAATAGTATAAGCAGTAAGGTTATTATTTACAGCATTAATGCTAGCTTATATATTAAAGAGGTTATTATTATTACTATCAGCGGCTTTAAATTTATTATTATTATCGCTACTATTTTTACTTTTTTACTTTAATTAAATTTATACCTTAATATTAGCGTTAATATAGTAAATATATAATTACTGCTGAGTGTTAAGGAAGACTAATTTAAGAGTATTCTTTAACGTTAACTCTTTATTTATAATTATTATAGTTAGCGCCAGTATATAAAGGTTTTAATAAAGGTCTTTAAACCGTTAATAAAACCACAAAAAGCTATCTTCTTTCTTTATATTAATAAGATTAAATATAAAGTTAATTACTAACTTTTAATCTATAATACTTATAACTTTAAAAAGATATATATAAAAGCAGTTAGTTTTATATATATTATTAAAACCTAGGACTTTAAGGAACTAACGCTATATTTTCTTTAATTAAAGATAAATCTATAAAATACCCTTAACCTTATTATTAGTGTTAAATTTAATATAGTAGTAAAGGTTATTATCTTAAAGTTGCTTAATTTAGGCTTAAGTAGCTAATAAACTGTTAAGTCTTTTAATTTAAATCTTCTACCTGTTATTATAGATGTTTAATTAATAAAAGAACGTAGGCTTAGCGGCACTAAAGTCTTTTATAATTTTTAATATTTTATATATAGGAAGGGCCTAGTGTTTAGCTAAATTTTATTTTTATTGCTACTGGGCTGGGGTCTATTAGTAATATATATTATACGCTAATAGATAAGTTAATAAATTATAATTATATTTAGTATAAGTAATATAATAGGATTACTTTTAGTTAGTACTTTTGGTTATTAATATTATAATTTTATAGGGATATTTTATTTACTGGCTTAATAAATGTTAGATTTTTTTATTTATTAAAAGTAGATAATTTATATAGTTGTAAATAAGAAAATAATAAGTAAGGACTTTTTTACTATTAATAATCTATAGGTTTAAACTTTTTTTAGTTTAAATAGTAATATTATTATTATAGTAGAAACTTTATAAAAAGGCTAGAAGTTTATTAAATATATTATATAGCTTTAAAAGTGGTAGTAATGGAATTTTTAGCTTTAATGTAGTCTTTAATGTAATTTCTATAACCTCTGCGGTCTCTGTAGCTTTTACAGTCTCTGCAGCTTACTATAGCGACCCTATTATATATAAAGGCGGCTGTAATAGCCTTTCGGTATATAAAGGCAGCAGTGTCTTTTTATATTTATTTTTAGGCCGTTAAAATGCAATATTATTGTTAAATTTATAATATTGCAGCTATTCTAGGTTATTAAATTTATTATCGTTAAAGTTAACTTTAACGGCTGGGGCCTTTAACGCTACCGGTGTATTTAATAAAAAAAAAGCGTTAATTTTATTAAAGCTAGCGTTAATTAATATCTTTAATAATAGCGGTGGATTAAGAATACTATTGCTGAAAAAGGCATTATTGTTGGGGGGAGGTATTATAATATTTAACTTTGCAATCTTTAATTTTATAATCTTAGTCTTATATAGAGTTTTTAAGTATATAGTATGCTAGGGCGCCGCACTGTAATTAGGTATGGATTAATGGGATCGGTGGTATATGCGCATTAATTTTAGTATGGGCACGGACCACTACGGTTTAAATAGGAATACGTTACGGTGTAAATAGGAAGACTCCTTTTTACATAGTAGCTAAAAACGTTGATGCTCGCAACGATCAAGCCATTGAAGCAGTGGAGACCTGGAGGAGAGAATGGATCGACAGCACGCTTGGAACTGCTGACAATGGTGCAAGGCCACCGAGTCGGACAGAGGATGATGCCTGCAGGTTGTTAGAGATCTATGGAGAAGAATTGGTTAGAATAGGACGACCCGTTTGGGCCACCCAAGTCGCAGGACTGAAGCGATGGTTAAGAGATATGTAGGCGACTGCGGTCAGTTGCCTTCAGTTCTGTAATGGAATGGGTTGCAGGTATATCGTGTACTGAAGCCACGCTGAATGGAAAATGGCCTTCTTTATACTTCAATTGAGATTGTATCTGGTGAAGTTAGACCTGCAGCTGGTCAGACATCTGGTGCGTACGGGGGAGAGTCCTGTGATGCACCTAAACGAACTTTGGTCTCCATTCGCATTATCGCAATGCCTGTTTACAGTGATGCATTAACCTACAAAAGTGTATTACAATCGCAAGTGATGCATTCCATGACCCTTTTACAAATATTAATCCAACATGGAAGCCTATTTATCCCTAAGAGATCCGGTCCTCCGGTCATCCTGCTTCCGTTTAGCCTACAGGCTAAAATGGGCCTTTACGGTCTCCGTCGCCCACATCGCAAAAGACGCAGATCAAGATGCCTCACCATGTGAAGAACGTACATGCACTCCATCTCAATGCCGATTTCCGATATTCTTTTGTTAGCTCTCATTACCTATTATTGATATAACGTTGAACGTCCAATGACGAACTTTGAGCGGGGTTTTCCCCCTCTCTGGGCAAGCTACGATGCTTATAGAAAGAAACCATCACATTTTCCGGATGCTTACCGCTTGTTGGATTGATATCCCTGCTAAAATGGACTGTCAAATGCATAAAAATGCGGAGTATCCTAGACAATACCAGTAATGGCTAGAGCGTATGTAAGTCCCGAACAAGTTATGGCAGTTGCAATTCTCTAGCGATGAGCATCGACGATGATATTAGGCTATATCCATTACATTGGTAAGGCTCATTGATGAGTCCTCGAGTGTATATGATGTTACATTTCATTATAACTATTATTATATACTGTGTTACATTTCCTCTATTTCCATTTTCCTTTGTTCTTATCAACGTAACTTAACCTATATTTCCTGCCAAGAAAACCTCTAAATATGCGGTCAATTCTGTTAATATCTAGCTTTGCTACGGCCTTGAACGCTGCTTCTCTACATCCCAAATCAGATTTCAAATATCTCGTCACATTTGGAGACAGTTATACTGACAATGGACGACTCAACTATTACGGATCTCATCAAGCCCATGGACCGCCACCAGGAGTGTTGCCAGCTGAGACTAACGTCACTGCCAGCGGAGGCTTGACGTGGCCGCAATATGTTAGAGGCAGCACGGGTGCAACTTTATATGATTATGCCATCTCTGGTGCCACATGTGATAACAACAATGTGGCAAGATGGGCAGCATTTATGAATGCTAATTTTCCATCAATTATTACCGATGAAATCCCATCTTTTAAGAATGATCGCAAGACGGCTTTATACCGTGGTGTAACTGCGGCAAACGCTGTTTATGCGCTGTGGATAGGCACAAATGACTTGAGTTACACTGGCATCCTCAGCGACTCACAAGTGGCTGGAACAAATATTACGACGTACATCGACTGTCTTTGGTCTACTTTTGACGCAATATACGAAAGCGGTGGCCGGCGCTTTGTTATCCTCAATTTAAACGCTCTTCAACTTGTAGGGCTCTACCGTCCCCAATCGGATGGAGGCGCAGGAGACAATCAGTTCTGGCAAAACAAGACACTGTACAACCAGACAGAGTATGCCCAGAAGATGCTCGAATACACTACATCAGCAAACACAATAATCGATTACGGGGTCCCATTTAATTTGCTGGTCAAAAATCGCTGGCCTGGTGCCAAGATTGCAATTTTCGACATACACAGCTTCATTACCGAGATCTATAACAAGCCAAAGAACTTTTTGGAGCCACCATACAATGTCAAGGGATTTTTCCATCATTGCGACGTAAATGGTGCGAATTGCCAGGACGGCCCGGGCTCCCTCGATTCCTATCTCTGGTAATTTTTCTGCGTCCTTGGAATGACAATACACTGACATGAGGGACAGGTACGATGAGCTACACCCTTCAAACAAAACAGGTAAATACATTGCTGTGATCTTTCAGCTGAAGTTTTTTTTTTAGTTGTGGATGCTAATGATACAATTGGCAGATTCTCTTATAGCGCATGAGTTTATTAAAGTCGTTTCTGGAGATTCCAAGTTTGGTACATATTGGGGTCATTGATAGTAAAACTGCTATGCGAAATAGTGATATCGAGATTCCATGTAATAGCTCAGCTACAGAATTACGATTGTTAAATTCCCAGTTGCCGCCCAAGAAAAATATTCCAAAACAGCTAATTGCCAATAGGTGGACCAAAAATCATTATCGTTATTAGTTCATAAATATGGAACCTATTTATTTTCTAGAATCCCACTGTTTGGTGTTTCCGTCCCGCTTTCGGTATCATCGTCCACCGTTTTGATACCTCTTAATCCACGATACACTAGTTGCAGCTGTCTTCTACCGTCGATAATGGGATAAAACCCAGCAATCAGCATGGTGCACCAAACCCATATTATCGCAACAACGATCCAGGCGACAAAAAAGCCTTTGCCAAATATATATTTTGAGCCGTACATAGGAAGTGGCCTGCCAGCGAAAGTCTTGTCAGATGATGTTACTATGAAGGGTCAATACTCTCAACTTACCATAGTACCCAATGGCCCAAGAAGGTTGCGGCTGCCCAGAAAGCAGCAATTTTCCCCCATTTCGAAAACTTGGCGGCATCTTCTGAGTAATCCGACACCGTGACCTCTGGGGTTTTGGAGTCAGTAGTGGCTTGAGCATCGGCACTGGCTGTTTTGCTGAAAGCCAAGCGTTCTTTTCGGAAGTCTGCCCAGTCATAATTGGCCGGCCTAATGAGCGAGATGACAATGGAATAAAGCCCAGGGCTTAGCGCTGATGCCACAGTTCCGTAAACGCAGGGCAGACTTTGTCCAGTTGAAGCCACAGTAACTTCACCATATAAGGCATGAGCCGAGCCGAGCCAAACAGCAATGCCAGTAGCCATGCCCAGCAGTGGCGATATGATAGCGGCAGCCCAGGACTGTCTCTTCCATAGAATCGTGAATACAGTGGGGAAGATTCCAGGGCATGTCAAAACACCAAGCATGTACAGTGTCCAGCCGAGATTCACGTTTCCATAGAAAAGCGCAGTGGAGAAGGCTGCAGAAAATAGTCCAAAGAATACGACTCCAATGTGACTCCATCGAATTGCATCCCTATCCGTGGCGGCCTTGTTAAAGTATTGGCGGTAAATGTCAAAGCTGATGATGGATGATACAGAGATGACTTGGGCACTGATGGTCGACGTGACAGCCATAAAAGTGACCAACAGTACTGCAACAGCTCCACCCTTTCCAGCAATGGCATATGCAGCATAAGGCATGACCAACCCATTGGAGACTTCTTCTGGAGTCATTCTCCGAGGGTATGTCGGGAACCGTACTGTGTTTTCTAAACCAAGAGCAGAGAAGCTCATTAAAGTGCCGAGGCACCACGGAATTGCAAAGTAAGCAATACCACCAACGATATATCCGGGGACTACCGCTTGAGGAGCAGCGCTGAAAGCTTTTGCGAAGAAACCAGTGTCCATGATAACGAGGCCAAAATTGGCCAAGATATGGATGATGCCAAACAGAATAGCCTATTTCATCAGTCAGCGTGAACAACAGCATCAAAGAACATGGCCATAAAAAAAAATAAACTGACATTCTTGCTAGTCATGGTCAAATAAGAGCCACCTTCGTTTCCAGGCACGGGGTGATCTTGCCCAGCTTTGACAATGAGCTCAAAGAGACCTGCAGGAGAACCAATCTCAGGAACAGCAAAAGTCTTGATTGTGAAGAAACAGATGATGACTGTGATGACAAAAGTGTGAAAGTAGTCGGTCAAGAAGGTTGCTTTGATGCCGCCGACGAAAGTGTATAGAATGACGCCAACGGGAAGCAAAAAGGTTGCAGCAATAATGTGCATTCCGGTGCTGATCTCAGACTTGATTAATAAAACATTCATTCATCACTTTGATCGGAACGTCACTCACAGCGCTGTTATAGCTGCACTTGCTCCAAGAAGCATGTTGGCAATGGCAATGATGTTGTTGATCAAGCATAGTGCAATCCACACAATGTGTCCCGCTGTACCATATCGTATTCTCACAATCTCGAGTAATGTGTGAGCTTCAGGCACACGCAACTTGCATGCTATGCCAAGTAAAGCAAAGAAAACAATCATAGGTGAGCATCTGATAATGGCATCATGTTAGTCAACAGCGATAAATAGTGTCTCAACTGTAGATTCTTACCCAGCAGCAAACCAAAATGGTCCTGCAACACCGAAATTATACCCTACAAGGGTGCTTCCTAACATTGCAGTGCTCCAGAGCCATGATGATACTACAGCCGAAGCTGTCAATCCCGTACCGACAGATCGGTTCGCCGTCATGAACATTTCAGTGGTCCTATTGTCTTCTCCAATCGTTTTCTTCAACAAGTGGGTCGTAAATATCATGATGAAAGCAATTAAGAAACCAATTGCAATCACAACGACATAACCTGCTGCCTGTGGCAGAGGCGGGCTGACGGCACCGGCATCCGCCGCTCTTTCAAAGTGAAGCATGGTGAAGTCAACAGCAACGAAGCTTGGTTGTTAACCCTTCAATCAACATCCCAATTCACGGAAATTGTTTCCCACAACGCCGTCATATTATAATTTGATAAAGACAATTTTGTTTAACTTTTACCACAACCATTTCATTCCCTCCTCCGAAAATCAGCCCTAAGCTGCCGGGGCGCGTTGTTTTTGGTGTTGCACCATTTAGCTCCGATGACGCGAGAGCTTGCTGCCAGGATGTTCAGCCTTAGTCGCATATAGCTATCTACCGAGACGGTAGGTGATTCGCGATCCAGTATCTTGGGGATTTGACAGCGCGATACCGGAGATGTCAGTGGTTTCTCACAGGCTTATTTCCTGATAGCGTGGAGTAAATCCAAAATAATATTGTTCAAGATCGGTTCTTAGTGTATATGGAAACACTCTCTTGAATGTCACTATCGAAATTGCGCAATTCTAGCTGCGCTTGACGTCATCTCATGGGTAAAGTGCGCAGGAACTAATTCATCCAATGACAGTTCTAAATCTGATGATATAAAGAATATTTGATCCGGGTGCTGCAGTGCTACCGGTGATATCATATGCAAGTCGCAACCCCGCGTGTTCGGATCTTGTTCAGTCAGCAGCAACTCTCTAAGCAGCTTGCAAGAGATCCGATCTATTGTAGCTTGAATATCTAAAGATGGCGTCTACAGCTAACCAAACCAATGGTATCCCCAAGAAGAAGCTTATTCTCAATGCCTTCGTTGAGTCATGCAGTGGCCATCAATCCCCTGGCCTCTGGAGACACCCTGAAGATCGATCAGCCAACTTCAACAGCATTCACCACTGGGTGGAGCTAGCTCAGTTGCTGGAGAGCGCCCATTTTCATGGCATCTTCATTGCTGATGTTCTGGTAAGTTGGATTATCCATATTCAGAGACTCAGACTCACACCGTTATCAGGGTCCCTACGATGTGTACAAAGGACCTCGTAACCCAGATCCTGCCATCATATCTGGGGCACAGCTGCCTGTAAATGAACCACTGGTTTTGGTTCCGGCAATGGCTGCAGCTACTAAAAATATCGGCTTCGGAGTTACCATCGCAACGACGTATGAGCAGCCGTACCATCTTGCCCGTCGTCTGAGCACAGTGGATCATCTCTCTGGTGGCAGAGTTGGCTGGAACATTGTGACCGGCTATCTTGATTCGGCTGCAAGAAATTTAGGTCTCACGGAACAGCCACCTCATGATGAACGGTATGCAATTGCTGATGAATATGTTGACGCTATTTACAAACTTTGGTAGGTATTCTTTAGAGTCTCTCTATAAGGAATTATCAGCTAACAGTGATTCAAACTTAAAGGCAATCATCGTGGAGAGATGACGCCGTAAAGCTTGATAGCCAAAAGGGCATCTACACAGACCCAGCCCTCGTCAGGCCCATCAACCACCAAGGGAAGTACTTTACGGTGCCAGGGCCGCACATCTGTCAGCCATCGCCTCAGCGGACTCCTGTTATCATGCAAGCTGGAACCTCAAAGGCTGGCAAGGCATTTTCAGCTAAAAATGCAGAGGCAATCTTTGTTGCTGGACACAGTCCCTCCGTCATAGCCAAGAACATTGCAGAGATTAGAGCTGCAGCACGAGACGAGTACAATCGGGACCCTAGCACCATTAAGTTCTTGGCTATGCTTTGTCCCATTATTGGAAGGACCCAGGAAGAGGCTGAAGCTAAGTATGCGGATTATATCCAATACGGCTCAGAGGATGGTGCTTTGGCCCTATTTGGTGGCTGGACTGGCATCGATCTAGCCCAATACGACGATGACCAAGAGCTCCGTCATGTCGAGTCCAATGCCATTCGATCTGCCGTAGAAACTTGGTCCAAAGCCTCCCCTTCCGTCCCCAAATGGACAAAGCGCGCTGTGGCAAAGCACATCCAAGTTGGGGGCCTAGGAGCCACAGTGATTGGTACACCAGAGAAAGTAGCTGATGAAATGGAGCGGTGGGTCAGGGAAGCCGATGTGGATGGTTTCAACATTGCATACGCTCTTATGCCCCAAACATTCCAGGATGTTATTGATTTGCTTCTCCCAGTCTTGAAAGAGAGGGGGCTATTCTGGGATGGATACGCCGTTGATGGAGGAACTTACCGTGAGAACCTATATGGAAAGAAAGGAGTGGCTCGACCACCAGCAGATCATCCAGCTGCTAGATACCATTGGCGAGCGGACTCAAGTTAGGGGTCTGCATAACTTTAGACGAAAAATTGTACGGGGAAATTGAGATGTTTTTTATATATGAAAGAAGAATTAGCGCGACGCATGATAAAAATTGGATGGCATCTCTCAACTTAACTGTGATTCTACAACGGGTGCGATTGGTTATCATGCTATTTGTGCCGCACTCCCCGCGGCCAAGCCTGTGGGTTTCATCATTACATGTAGTCTAGGATATATCCGAATTATTACCTCACAGAGGCTACTTCTAGTGTTTTATTTATAACAACATCGAGTGCCGGTATAAGGTGGGTGGGCCAGTTGCCCAGCCATATACTCTGATAGCGCCCCCGTTTTACAACAGGGCACTTTCATGTCGATGCCTGTCCTATGTAAGTCAATACACACCAATAAAATACTGTTAAAAGAGAAGCAAGTGAGAAAGAAGAAGTCAAAATGGTGAGATTGACTGTCCGGCTCTATGTGCAACGTGCAAGTGCGTAATTGTCGATGCCAGATTGCATGTATGTGAGGGTTCCCCAAATTACTTCATACAGTCGCGCAGAACAACAGCCAATATTATTGACCCAGTTGATAATTCATGATTAATTGAATCAGGGCTTCAATTTTTTGCGGGCACTTGCTCTTGCAGACGCTGCATCAGACTGGTATATCATCTCAGAAGAGACATTTGTCTGTTGTTGATAACTTGAAGTAACACTTGTGTCATCATGATCGTTGGCATAAATAGGTGGTACTGATAAGGTCGTGGCACATATCCTCCAAAGAAATTCCGCGATAAGGCATTTTATGCATCTATTTGCCAATACAATAAAGCTGACATATAACGGCTGCATCGTGCCATCGCCCAAGTCGATCACGACATCCAAACGCACGTGATAATTACATGATTGCCCATGATACGATGATCCTCATATCTTTGCACATCCAAACCCCCTCATTGCACTTTCTCTAAATAATATCAACTATTGACAGACCCCGAAACCATTAACAAAATGGGTGGAGGAAATAAAATCAAGTCTGTTGCAGTCATTGGCGCGGGGGCCGCAGGTAGGTCACAACAGAGCTACGGATGAGCACGATGACAATTACTAATGCAGCATCTAGGAGCGGTAACTGCGGCAGCGTTGAAGGCCGAGGAAGCATTTGATGTTATCCGTGTTTTTGAAAGAAGACAATCTGCAGGAGGAACATGGTAAGAGCCATTCAACATGCAATAATGAAGCATATACACGATGCTCAACGTCCGTGTCATCCGGCTTAGGATATACGATGCTGCGGTTCAGCCAAATGTCTTGGTGCGTCCCGGAGCGTTGCCGGCCGAAGTAGATCCTCCTTTGGAGATTCCAGAGAGTCTCCCTACAGTTACTCGTCCAAATCAACAAGAGCGATTCTCCACGACGCCCATCTACGATTCACTGACGTAAGTCTGCAGGTGGCCGAGTCTTTGCGGGAGTGCTGTAAGCTGACAAACGCTCCATAAGAACAAACGTGCCTGAGATTGCCATGTCCTTTTCGGATGTCCGCTTTCCGTACGGGCCATTTGCTCCACATCACATCCCTCGTCAGTACATTGAAAATTACTTTGCACTGCACAAGACAGACTCCTTCTTGGTGCTCAATACCACCGTCGAGGATGTTCTCAAGATTAATCACCCATCAAATGACGGCTCCACACAGTGGAAGTTGACTCTCAGAAGATACGATGCACTCCAAAACGTTGACATCTGGTGGGAAGAAATATTTGATGCTGTCATTTTGGCAAACGGCCATTACTCAGTGCCAACTGTAGGTTCTCTCGCTGACTAACAGCCAAAGAATCTACCTGCTTACAAATTTAGATACCATATGTCAAGGGACTTGAAGAATACATCAAAAAATACCCTGGCCGTATTGTCCACTCGAAGTCATACAGATCACCTAGCATTTACAAGTCCAAGAGAGTGGTTGTGATTGGCAACTCTGCATCAGGGACAGATCTTAGCCGAGAACTTATCTCCACAGCTCAGCTTCCCGTGTATCAGTCAAAGAGATCAAAGACATGGTGGGAAGGAGATACACCTCCAGCAGGCATTGAATGGAAGCCTGTTATATCAGAATATCTGCCCGATGGCAGAATTCTCTTTGATGACGGCACATACCTGGATGACATCGATACCGTCATTTATTGTACCGGATACAAGCCATCATATCCTTTCTGGAACGCCAAAAAGAATGGGCAGCCTCTGTGGGACTACAGAAAAGGAAGGCTTGTAAAGAGCTATTGGCACACTTTCTTCCAAGATTTCCCAAATCTCGGCATTGTCGGCCTGCCCCGTGTATTGACATTCCGAAGTTTTGAATATCAAGCCATTGCCCTCGCCCGCCTGTTTGCAAATCGCAACCCAATCCCACTTCCACCAATACCAGTGCAACAAGCGTGGGTATCTGAAAGAGAAGAACTTACACGAAAGGAGCACCGTAGGTTCCATGACATCTCATGGGACGAGGGCGAAACGCACGCATGGCTACAGGGATTCCTCAACTGGTCCGGCCTTGGGACGTTGACTGGACAAGGTAGAATTCCGCCTCCGCTCACAAAGGAAATGGTGTGGGCTATTGAGAATCTCAAAAAATATAGACCTGGGGGAGATGACGGTAAAAAGGACTCGAACGGTCAACCTACGGAGGCTTATGAGTGGATTATGGTGGAGAACAGAAAGCGCGATGTTCTTGGATTTATTTAAGCGCTACGAGAATGAGTGCGAGATGATGGAGATGTGCTTCACTTATTCCTCTATATCGTATTAGTAGATAGCCAAAGTATGATATTCAATGCTTTTTACACTGTTAGCAACTATGTTTATATTCTTCTTGTACATCTATATATCTAAGCTATCACCACATTCTTATTGTATCTGCAAGTATCGCCATCCGTTCTCATTATCTTATATAGAGCCTCCAAGTTTTCATGTGATGGACAGCAATAGTTCACTATATGATATTGTGGATGTTGAATAAACTGATACTATCTATTTTTCATCATCAGTATCCCCATACCTGTCACACAACTCTTCATCACTAGAATACTGCTCGACGATAGTGGTGGCATCCACATCAATAATCCGATGAACACGTCTCGCTAACTCTTTTGCCTGATCATCACGAATTTGCAGCTGCGTATCAAATCCTTGGTCACCCATCCAACTCTCAACAACCTTCATATCGGCAACTTCAAAATAAGTCGCCAACGCCTTTAGCATAGACTTCCTCATATAATTTCCGGGTGATGGAAATGGGCGCTGTTCGTAGTAACGAGCCCAAATTTCCTGCCAGTTTTCGCGCCCCAAATCTTTAGCACGTATAAGAGCCATTATGAAATGGAAGTAGAGAAATCTCGGTGAGGGTCGTCTTTCTCCTAAAAAGGACAGCTCTCTGCCATCTACATCCTTCCCGTAGATGTCTTTCCCTGTCTCATCTGTGGCGGCATGCGTATTTTCCAGTCCAGGATAGATGAATTCAGTCCGCCATCGTTTGATGGGTGTTTCAGAACGATCTACAGGAACAATGACGATTTGGTACTGTTCCAACCAATGCTGAATCCTAGGATACAAAAGTAGTGCGTTCGCAGGTCGCTGCAAAGACTCGCTTTCAGAGCCAAAGACGATTTCCTCCAACTTGTTCTCATCCATAAGAAATGGAATAATGCGCGCCACTCGTGGAGAAGAAAAATACCACATTCCGGTAACATGGCACCAGCGAGTATGTCCCTCTGGCTTTCTCCCATGATACTCCGGGAAGGCTGAATAGTATTCGAAAACATCCGCAATCCAGTTGCTAGGCTTTTTTCGCTCACCCAGATCATCTGCTATCCACTCGCCACGCTCTCTCCGAACGCGCAGATCATCCCGTGTTGTGTTATAAAGCGGCCACAAGAGCTCAGGAATCACAGAAGTGTCGAATTGCTTGGGCTCGAGTTGCATCAGCATGATTCCCTCAGGGTTTTCGAGATGCAGCTTTTTATTCAAGCTGCGCCATAAATCCTCTCCAGCACAATTATACCGCCTATTCAACGTCCCATAACGCTCCTCCAACTCGTTTTGTGATATCACATGGGTATCTCTCTCCCTCTGAGCAATTTGACGCTCTAGTAATATCTCCTCTTGCTTCTTTTTTGCGAACTCAATCCCGAGCACCGCTTGCGCATACTCGGACTGAAAGCGTATCTCTGCCTTTGCATCACTATTGTCTTCCTCTTTCTTCTTATTTTTGGTCATATGTTTCATCTTTTTGGCCAAGTCTTTGATCTGCTTATCAAGAGCTGCTGATGTCATGCGGACTCGCGTCAATTTGTTGAGATAAGCATCTGAGGTCAAGCTGTGAACAGGTTGTTCGACTGTCTCCTTTTCTGACCCTGACTCTGACTTGAAGAGTTTTGAACTCCCCCAAGGAGATGAGCCAATCAGGGAACCGTCCATTGAAGCAGCCAGTTTGTGAGTGGCGTAGTGGCCGAGTCGGTTCGGGTCAGAGCGAATGAAGGTAGATTGAGTGTTGTGAGCGAGGTTGTTCCGATCTGGATTCTTCACAAGAAAGAGTCGGTCGAATTACGCAGCTGAAAAGGGAGATATTGTCAGAAACAAAAAGAAACGTGAGTTAATGGAAAGGGGTTGGACTGCATTTATAACAGAGAGAAAGATCCAGTGAACTAATATACAAGAGTTCAAGCCAGCGAGGCCATTATAAAGTTAGTAATGGCTAATGTAAATGCCCGGTAAACTTTCCTTTTTTTGGAATTACTGGCGAAGTTATATTCCACTTGATAATTGCGTCCTGTCTCATTCGTTGATCTGATTCCTCAAACTCACCTTAGTAGTGTCCAAAAGTAAAACAGTAAAACCGCCTGCAAATTTATCTTCCACTGTGGCAAGACTTCAAAGAAAATTAATTCTTTAAGATAACAAGTGGCGTTTGTGTATGGCAAAGTCGGATGGTCAAAGCACATGTTGGCTGAGATGGCCTTGGAAATGGAATTAAAGCTTTTTTTTTTTTTTATAAAAAAAATGCAATGGGCTTACTTCCACGAACTCTTCCGCAGATGTACTTTATTTCTTTGAAATGTTTAAATACAGCCCATAAAACTGCAAAACTCGGGGCATTAGTGGCATAAGGTGGGAAAATAAGACTGCTGATGGTGCATGGTGATGTGGGAATGGAAATACTCAACACGGTGGGAGAATTTCCAAATGCAGTCACTCAAACTTTAATACCGTTTCAGGAAACATATTGTCAAAGAACTTTGGAAAAAAAAAACCCCTTTCATAAGAGCGCACTTTTGCAAACGACATTTGACAAAGGATGTGGGTGGTTGGCGCACGGTATAATCCTGTATGGGGACAAAGGAGAAAGTGATAGCGTGACTTGAGACGAGAAATATAAATTGAGGTAACATATGGGAAGTACTTGAAACCTACCTAGTAGTAATGACAATTTTTGGCTGATTACCATGCCATCTGGTGTCAGCTGCGAGTGAAGCCAACGTGAAACGATTGTGAAAACATTCCCACATTATTTGGACACCCGGTTTCCACGACGAGGCATCATCGATCGCTGTATTCTGGGAATGTGGTTTGTTTCATCTGCTGTTTAGAAATTAGGCATCCCAGCGTCATGTCCAATTGACAATCTGGGGCGTCTTAATACGGATACTGACCGTGGATGGCTTCATCTTCTACATTGGAATACTGCACTGCAACAGCCCTCTTTTTTCCAGCCAAAGGTCAATATCGACGCCGGCGTCTTTTGACATTTATTTTTTTCAGTGGCCCTGAGCTTAAAATGCATTTTTCTTATATTCTGGTAAGTGAAAATGCGCCGAAGCACCATCGTGGCGGCCCTTTTCTGTTTACGCCACCACTTTTCACTTCAAACTCACTTCGTTTGCTTTCTTCGTCCGAACTCTCTATTCGCGTTGACTCACCAAAACTTAGCATTTGCTATAAGTATGGCTCGCATCCCCTTTAATTCCCCTTTGTTTACTTTTTCTTTTCTTCTTATCACACCATTTCGACACTTTACAGCTGAAACACAAGTCTTGCATCGGCACTGTCCAGATACACACCAAAGCTCGTCTCTCTACGCATCAAATCGTGACAGTCAATAGACAACTCCATCAGCTATCCCTTTTTACCTACCATTTTTTTTTTTCCTTCAAACGAAATGGCTCCCCGCGCTACGCTCCGAAAGACGATCGAGAAGAAGGGAGGAAAGAAAGCCGCCTCCAACAATGCGAAAGCGGCTTTGCTCAAGATGCCGGTTGAACTCATCCTCGAGTTCTCCGATGCCATGCCCACCGTCGACAAGATCGTCTTCGCCCAGACGTGCCGGCCAATATTTAATTCGGTCGGCCTTATCCCATTCTCCAAGGACGAAGAAGAGTTCCGAGAGGAGAAGTTCGAGTATCTCGCTCGCAGATCCCGAGAGACTCTCAACCAATGGGTCTGCGAGCAGTGCTTGTGCCAGCACGACGTCGACCTGGCCGACACCCCTTCAAGGCCAGCTCTCAATTGCCCTGTTGGCGACCTGTATCGGTCCAAGCACAACTTGTCTCTGAGGCTGATTTCTGGGGAATGTTACCGCCTGGGACGACGCCATGTCCAGCTGGCCTTGAAGTACACCAGGCTGTACAACGAAACATCCTCCGTACAGCAACAGTACCTGAGGAGTCTCATGGCCGCCCACTCATATTCCCTGTCGTACTTGCACAAAGGCATCAAAGTTTCCCAGATGGTCAAGATCACCCCTCGTGTCGTCGATGGCAGATTCCTCCTTAAGTGCATCTTCGAATACCGGCAGAAGGCACAGCCAATCCACAAAGAGCCCCTCTTTGGCGAATTTGTCTGCCAGCACCAGAGCTGTCTGGGGGAGGGAGAAGCATATTATCCTTTCTCCCAGTTCAACACGGCGGTAGAAAAGGCCCTCGACAATAAGCAGCACGAGTTCCGCAGCCACTGCCATTACTGCTGCACCGACTTCACCGTCAAGGCATCGACTCATGGAATCAGAGTCACCGTTTGGCACGATCTTGGAACCGAGAGCTCTGCCTTGGACCCCGTGTGGAAGGCATCTGTATACAGCCCCGAGCTGTATTCAAGCGACGAGGGTCTCGTCAACAACGCGCCTGGCCGTGTGAGGGAGCTGTACGACAGCGAGGAGTAAGTTGTTGCATTGATTGTGGTGCAGTCAACCAGTGAAGCATATCGATGGAGGCATTTGAGGGGATTTTCATCAGCAGGAATTTGATCGGACGAATACAGAGACGTAATGAATTTTCATGCAGTAGCATTCCAGTTCCTTTTGATTGAGCATGAATTGTGAGCTTCAAGGGCCACATGTAGTACAGTTATCAATGCAAATGATAATATTGTTTGGCATCTCTTCTCATGAATCCAAGTGATTCAAGGTCTGCAATTCACATCCCAAGATAATCATGCACACGTTACCAAGCTTTACGGTGTTCAATATCCTTTTCTAGAGCTAGCATTTACACACATCTTTAACAGGTTGCAGTTACTTTATCTGCTAAGCTATTTTCCCTTCCCGTCCAATTTCTTAAGTTCCTCTTCCTCCACTTCCTCAGAGTCCCATCAGGATTCGTCGCTTCTCTACTCCATCTCTAACTCGTCTCTTCTTCATTTGCAAACTCTCGTATTCTACCGTCTCAGCTCTAATCTGCAAAGGCTTTAGCACCTTCCAGAAGTTTCATCAAGAATTCATCTGCAAGCTCTCCTTGCTCCTTCAATGTCAGTCCTCTCACTTCCTCAACACTCATCCCCTCCACAAACTTGATCAAGCTCGATACCAGATCTTTCGATAACTGGGTCCAAAGGATATGCGACTCCTTGTCCTTTGCAGATACGCACATCATGGCAACACAAGTGATGGCATGGCCTATTTTTACCGTATGGTCGCTGTTGTAGGAGAAGTTGGCTGGATCCCAATCTTGGAGCAAAACCCACGCATATCGGTTAAACGGTTGCCCAAAATAAGCAAGCAAGAATTCGTAAATGATCATCTCTCGAATATTGTCGGGATACCAGTTCTCTATCACCATCTCAGCTGGCATTTTCTTTGCCCACTGGGACATGCAAAGTCTCTCTTGATGGTCGTTGAAAGAGTTTGCCGCCTTGAGCATATGGCAAGTCACTGGCTGTGTCTGTCCAATCCGAAGGCTGCGGTGCACTTGCTTGAGAATCTCTGCATCGTGGGGGTAACTCATCATAATGCCCTTGCTGCAGCATGCTTGGAGATTGGCTTCTACTGTGATGGTGTGGACGTCGGTGAGAAATATCTCGCAGTTCGAGGTTGGGTCTGTGAACTCTGCGACTAGCTTCGCTCTCTTTGTAGACTTATCAGATGAGCGAATCGTGTTGACCTTAAATCCAGCCATCTCCATCGTAGCAAATGTAATCCTAAACATCGACGTTAGCGCTGGGCCAAATGTCTTGAGTAAACGTTTGTCTCGGGAAGTTCACTTACTATTGCACCCAAGGAGTCTCGCAAAAGACGGCAACTCGCTCTCCTCTCTTATGCACATATTCACGGCATAATTACAACACCCTCGTCATGATCGGGCTTCCGCCCAGCAACCACCTCAGCCATTGCTGGGGCAAAATAGGCGCCGGGATATTCGGGTCCATTATGGACTTGGAGAAGAAGAAATCAAGCCCTCCATGAACAGAATGCGTGGCCAATGCCTTCACATGCTCAACTCCAGCGATAATATCGTGGTCGAGTCCAGTACCATCTCTGAGCTGCTGCAGTTGCGACGCCGCAAGAGCCTTGTCAGACCCAAAGAGCTTATCTGCACCTCTGTCAAGTAATTGGATGTTGCGAACATCATGCGCACCAAGCACTCCTTCACAGTATGCACCAGAAATCGCCATTGTTTCTCCATGCTTCTTTACCATGGCGGCTGATTTACTGTCGTACCTGAGTTCTTCTGTAAATATTTCCATGGGAGCCAGTTCCAAATCCGAGCCAGTAACGACTACGTCGTCTTCGACCAGGGACATAAACGAATCAATAGCTCTCCTTGTTAGTTCAGCATTTGAAGCTAAGGATGACTGGCCAAACTTTTTGTTCAAAACCGTAAACAAGGTTTTAAAGTCAGAGGTAAGCATCTCCGGAAGATCATTGTATAAATCTGCACCCAAGTCGTTGGGATCGTTGCCTTTTCGGGCGACCTCAACATCCATTGCATTCGCCGCCATTGCATACAATTCGAAGAGTTCATCACCCGCTATTCCCTGAGAATTGATTGGCGATAACTGTGGCAGATTGGTGGGCGCTTGTGGTATAATGCCTGTTGACTTGTGTTCTGCCACAGCAAGAAACTCTTCGTGTATGGATTGCAAATGCATCCCTTGATCAGCAGCAAAACGAGCCTTGCTATCGTTTTCCTCCTCAAAATCGGGTTTCCATGCGTCTGGGTCGTAGTAGCCTCGGAAATTGGCAGGTACATTTCCTGGAACGCGGCCTAAAATATTTCTCTGAGGTGATTCTCTCCTTGTGTGTGCCATCCAGAACAAACAGACTGCCCGATGGAAATCCTCAAAACTGTAAGGGCCAATTGCGGCCGTTTCTCCACCACCATAGCCTGAATAGCCTGAAGGGGTAGGGTATCGGTGTTCGTATACGGCCAAATCGCGACTATATGGACGATCCTGAGCCCAGTCGATGGAGGCAAACATGAGAATTTGCAGCGCATGAACGGCTACGAAAGCAGTGGCGTCGACACAATCATTGTCGGAGTTTTTGCCTTTGAGAACAGATACTGTGATCGGCACAAGAGTCGGCTTCTTGCATCCAGCTTCAATGATGGCCAACAGGTCTTGGAGCATGACGTCCTCTTTGACACGTCTCAGAACAGTTGATGGTGACATGTGCTGATAAGTGTCGTCGCTGTCTGGAAGCTTTTTGCATGCTTCCAAACATTTCTCAATGCAAGAGTCAAATCGCTCATCGTGAATTCTGGGTGACTAGCCCAGTCTACCGGAAGCAATTTCGGTCTTGATCGCATCGTTTGTGAATTTTCGGTATGTGACTCTAAGGGCGGCATGATTGATATCGGCGACTATGAGCAGTCAGTCAATTGTTTACGGTAAACAGAAAAGGGCTTCGAAAAAGTGAGAGGGAAAGGGCTGAGTTCATTAAGATCTAGATCAAATTTGTTGATCTCAATCTCATTAAGATCTAAATTGAATCGGCTGACCCCAATCTCATTTAGATGAAACTAAAATGAAGAGATAGCCCAGGAAGTGGATTGGATTTCTTACCAACATTGTCGCAGAATGCCGACATAGAAGGAATGCTATTGAATGTGGTGTAAGCAGCCAATTCTGCTGTTGAGCTTACACTTGATGACCAGTCGTGCAAAACGTAAACACCAGAAATGTGGCCAAGCTTAGTCCACTCGGATTTGGCCTTGGAGGGGCGTCTTGAGCCTTGCTTCGGTCCCTCAGCCTTGAAGTGGCCAAAGGATGAGGTTCTCTGCCAGTCTTTGATCTCATGTTCCGGGTGAAGTCTTCTCACGGCCACAAACTCATAGTGGCTGCTTTCTCCCTTGTGTCTCTTCCTATTAAGGGTCGGTTGGCCCAAGCTGGTCCTCTTGGTCGGGGGCATGGCGAGTTAGAAGGAAGAGGTTCGAAGTCGTCCAACGAATTGTGGGTATGAATCGGCTTGAAGCTGAGTTATAACGGATCTAACTGAGAGATGGTGGCTCCCAGAACAGCGCATTGCTCAGAAGATGTTGGGGAGAAGAAAGGAAAGGGGAGGGAGAGAGTATATATAGGCGATGGCTCGATCAATCATGCGATTAGGGCCTTCGGGAACTCGATTATTCCGTTCAATTCTCATTTAGATGAAAATTGATCCTGATTGTTGATTTGACTGTTGTACTGGAGTTGAGTCTTGTTGTCTACCTGTATGTACTGAGGAATGTCGATATTGTTCTTTTGCCGAGGGGCGGTAGACTTTAACTGGGCACAGAATACTTGTACTGGATTAGCTAATACATGTTGAAAACAATACTCAACATAAAACAAAATTCGTTAAAAAATATCCATCTAAAGGGCCGAACAGCGGGCTTGTAGCATTATAAACTTCCAGGTCATCTATGGGTGGAGAGCTGGATGTTTCACAGGTGCTTGGGAACTTATGTCTTTCTGCATCAAAGAGGCTGGGCCCAGACCCTCGCCGCGAATAGTAGCCAGCTAAAATATCTCTTCCCGTAAAGGGGGGCATAAAGAGAAATGTGTATAATGTCACTAGATAAAAGGATAAAAGGTCGTCTTCATTTTCTGATAGAATCAAGTTGTATTTTTTGAGCCCACCTAAGGTGTAGGGTGAGCTGAGTTTTGGTTCAATCACCCACTAATTTGCTTACAGGTACCTGGACACACCCGCTAAATCCGCCCCAAGATTGACTTCATCCTTTATCCACATTACTCGGACAGCCTCAAACTCATTCATCGTTGACGCGTCACTCTTAGATTTCATCTATAAATTTGCTCTCAATCATCAATTACTCATAGATTGTGCATGTTTCTTCCTGAAGAACGCGCCAATCTCCCGCAGCTACCCCAATCCCCATAATCTCGTACTCCTCGCCATGAGAGCCTCTGCTTGCCTCGCCGCCTTCATCCCGGCGCTGGCCGCTCAGTGTGCTCGCATAGTCCAGTCCAACGACGATGGCTGGGCTGAATCGTATATCCGATCCTTCAACGACGCGTTAATAGCCTCTGGCCATGACGTCGTGCTATCCGCGCCTGCCGAGGACCAGTCAGGAACCGGTAGGTATATCTCATCCTCATCCTCATCTTCATTTCGCCTAGCCTGCAAACGATGCATATACATACATGTTGTAATATCACCCCTTAACATATGAGGAATATAGGCTCCAACGACTCACCACCAATCCCACGCGATGATGCCTGCCAGTATAATTCCTGCGTCGGCAGCGGCAGCACCACAGGCCACAATGCCACCCGCCCTGATCTCAATTGGGTCAACTCCTTTCCCGTCACCTCTATGAAATATGGCATCGAGACCTTTGGTCCACAACTCTGGGACGGCTCTGCCCCCGATTTTGCCGTTTCTGGTATCAACGTCGGCACAAATGTCTTTGTTCAGCTACCATTCTCAGGAACCGTGAACGCTGCGACGTTTGCTGCCCTCGCTGGCATCCCCTCCATAGCCTTCTCTGCAGCATCCGTTGGCAGACTGCCATTCGATGTGGAACCGGTGCCTCTTCGTAGCGTCCTATATGGCCAACTCGCTGCTCAGTTGACCAACAAGATCCTCTCCGCGGGAGCTCCGTATCTTCCCCCAGATGTCTTCCTCAACGTCAACTTCCCTAAAGTCGAAGGTAACTGCACTAACCTTTCCAACTTCAAGTGGGTTCTTAGCCGTATCAATCCTGGTATCATCTCCCCCCCAGATGTCGAATTCTGTGGTGGTAGGCGCTTGCCTACTGAACTGACCGTGATTACACACGGGGGATGTTTCGTTGCTGTCAGTGTCGGCAACGCCCAGGACAAGACTACGGCATCGAATGACAAGCAGGCCGTGGTGCTGGAGAAACTGCGCGATATGCTAACTTGTCTACCCAACTGAATCTATTCTTAATCAGAAGTCCAGACTAGCGTGCGTTCGATTGAAACATGAAGAATGTTTATAGAATAATATATAATACAATACGATTAAATTGCAAAGCTTACTAAAAAGTGAATATCATGCAAAGCACTCCGCTTAGAGCCATATGGTTTCCAAAGAGTCATTAAATAGTGAATAAAATCGCCGCTTTGTTTCCATCTCTTCTATCATGATAAGATGCATATTTTCTGATTTAGTCATCCCCCTATGACAATGATGATATTCAGGTACTCATTCTAAGCAGCGAATAATAGTTCCGTCGATGTCTCAGCGCTTAACGGCATCATTCTTTAGAAGCAGCTCAACGATAGCAGACTTTCCACTTATGGAAGCCAATGATACAGTCGACTCAATGTCTAACTGCCTCTGGGCTTTAACATTGAGAAGCAGCTCAACAATGGCTTGATGTCCATTCATAGCAGCCCACGATAGTGGTGTATGCCCGTAAATGTCCTTAGCTTCACCTTTGGCTCCCTTTTCAAGAAGCAGCTTGGTAATGGCTTGGTCTCCATTCATGGCAGCCCACGAGAGAGGCGTCCGGCCGGCCCATTCGTCCGCAACATTAATATTGGCACCATTCCGGAGAAGAATATCGACAGTGGCTTGATGCCCATTTATGGTAGCCCACAATAGCGGTGTACGACCAAGATTGCCTTCAGCTCCAATTTTGGCGCCTTTCCGAAGAAGCGCCTCGGCAGCAGCCTGGTGCCCATTCATAGCAGCCCACACAAGTGGTGTGCTACCAGAACTGTCCCCAGCCTCACTTATGGCCCCTTTTTCGAGTAACAGTTTTACTGCGGCCTCATGCCCGTTCCCAGCGGCCCATGAAAGTGGTGTGCGACCAGAACTGTCCTTGGCCTCAAAGTTAGCACCTACTGAGCGTAGCAGTTTTATTGTTTCCACATGCCCATTCCCGGCGGCCCACGAGAGAGGCGTCCGGCCAAGAGAATCGTGAAGCTCAGTGTCTGCGCCCCCTTCAAGCAGCAGCCGCACAGTGGATTCATGCCCGTTCCCGGCAGCTCCTAAAAGAGGTCTGCGGCCAGACCTATCCTGGATATCAACGTCCACCCCGACTGATATCAGCACTTCAACCAAGCCATTGAATGCGCCCATAGCAGCAGCAAGCAGCATTCCACTTTTTCTTTCTCTCAAACAATCTGGCTCCAAACGTGAACCATCCCAGCTCTCTAGCAAGAAACCGAGAGGATCGTGGGTACATTCAACGGCTAATTGAGTAACGAGGTGTTGCATATTATTATTTTTGCTCACATACTCTGAACAACCATCGATATGGTGTTTGAGGAAGCAGGCAGTATATGATGCTAGCGGTCTTTTATCGAGGTACTTGACATAGTGCTCGTAGTGGTCCGAATTCCAATGTTTAGAATTCGGCAGTCTCGCTAATAGAGAGGTGCTGGTTGCGCAAACCATTAGATATCGGATGCAAGTTATGGCGATGCAAATATGCGCATATTCTTTATCAATCCGAAACTCTGATTGCGCGACAATTCCGGAAGGATTGAGGAGAAACTCGTAGGCAGTTTGATGTATAACTTGGACGATCCTACGTCCTATGAGCCATTAGCTTAATATGCACAAAAAGTGGGCACAATTGTGTGAATACCATCCTGCTGTTGTTTAATTTCTATAAAGTTACCACCGCAAGAGATGATGATTCTCTCAGATGATGGAATGCGTTTCTGAAAAGACTCATCAGAAAGACTGAATCTCCAACCGGGCTCAAGGTTGTCTGGAATGGCCAGAAAATGGAGTAGTTCATCCACTGTAAGAGGTTGCTGTGCAAAAAGAATGAATCGAAACATTCTCAATCCATAGGATAGACATGACTTATTTCCTCTCATTTTATCCAACATGAGTCCGTAAAGTTCCTCAAGCTCCGTCGGAAGCTGTTTAAGCATGTCAAGTATATCTTGCTCAGAGTATCCATCTTCGTGGAACCTTAGCAGTTCCTCGCCAACAAGTTTGACCCAAAGAAAAACTCCTTGAGCATTGTCAATCATATATGCAATCGCTGGAGTAAGGTCATGACCATCAAGTAAAGAGTGGGTGTAGTTGGAAATATCGGATGCAGTTTCATCTTGTAGCCTAATGAAGTTCAGAAATGGGTCTCGACGGGCTTCTAACTGTGCCACCGGTCGACTTGCAATGAAAATTTTGATGACAGAATATTTCATCTTAGAACACAGTTCGCAAAGCAGATTCAGAATATCACGTCTGTCTGCCTCCTCAGACTCATCAACTGCATCAATGATGAAGTAGATTGCCTTTGGTGTCGAGTAGTTTTGCAATGATCTCAGAACTCTCTTTAAGGATGCATAATCCCATTTCTCGCCGGAGTGAAACTGAGCGTGATGATGAGCGCGAAACTCGGTTTGACAATTATGGTAAAAGAAAGCCTCGTCCTGATGCAAAATATCATATAGAAGCGAGAGAAGCATGTTATAATGGCTTCGTTGAAGCTCGCCCTCTCTATGACTGTAAAAGAACTTTGCCACGATTGCTTGTTTTGCAGCTGGCTCCCAGGTTTGGAGATTGGAGTCAAAATATTTCATGAGAGTGCTTTTGCCACTACCAGGTTTGCCTTGTATATAGAGAAGTCGGGAAGTTTCAGAAATGGACCAGCTCTTATACTCATCATGTGTCCAAATCCACTCGAATGAGCCGCTATGTTCTGGTGAAATCTTTTCATAACGCGTGTTCTCGAATCGGAGGCTAGATAAGCATTCTATGTACATTATTGTCAGTATGATTCAAGGCAGGGACACGCTAATTACAAACCTTTTCGCTCCTTATCATATTCAACAAACAAGCTATCTCGTGAGAGGCCCTTGATGTCACATGGTGTCGGACCTGCAAGCAGTACCTTGATATTTGAGTTTTGTTCCCGTAGTTTGTTTATGAGTATCCCGACGAGTTGGAGAAGTCGGCCACCTTGATAAGATTTTTCTATTCCATCAAAGACAACTAAGAATGGTTGTGGTGTCGCACGAAGCAGAGTGTCTTTGAACATGGTCAAAATATCTTCCGTAGCCGCATTCTCAAGAAGATTCTGTAAACTTTTTGATGGGTTCTTTTTGTCGAAGCGAATATCTATCCGATCAGGCGCTGTCGCGGTTTGAAAAGCCTGATTTTCGATGGCACTTTGGACCAGGCCACCCAAAAAGCGTCGCATCATAATTATCCTTTCCTCAATCGGCGAATAGTGTAGTATCTGCCTAAGAAATGCGTAAATTACGGCACTGCGGAGTGTAATTTTCGTTCCTCCAACATGTTTGCTCTCATTCAACTCGCCATTTTCTACTTGTGAGAAGAAAAAGTATAGAACAGGGCGGTTAGCTTTCTTTTCTTGGCTCACAATGTAGGATGAGATTTGAGATAAATGGTGAGCTAGAGAACTGGAGAGACAAAGAACTAGAGGGCCTTCGTTAGATCTCCAGGATTTATAGTCAATGTTTCTGAATACCCAAGAGAACTTGGGATCATCGGGCTCAATCTTCGGAATTGAGGATGCGTGGTTGCTTTGTTCTACTACTGGCAAAAGATGAAGCAATTGCTCAAGACTTGACTCATGAATGATAGACTGAAACAATTCCTATGCGAAGAGGAAATTAGCATATAATTCTATATGTCTTCATCACCGTCGCTCATGATACACATACAAGTTTAGTAGTAGCGCTAAGAGCGATTGAGGCTACTTCAACTGCAGGAATGAGCCATAGTATTTCTTTGGCGTATGCAGCAGCGGCCGCCGCTGCATATGGCTGCCAGCTCTTGTTTTTATGTGAGTCCGCATAATCGCAAATGCCCCGAATGACGAGGCAAGGGAGAATATCCATGAGTCCCGCGGCTTCCATCTCAAAGCAGAGAATACCCTTTTCTTGCCGGAGCCTCTCTCGAGTTATGCCATGCTTCATCACTTGATTGGCTGAACCAATGAGGCCATAATGGACAACAGGGTGCGTATCTGCGCGAGGTTTGCGAACCAGTAGAAATTCTTTGTCACAAGTATCACAGCTTGATTGACCTTCAATATGATTGTAGTCCTCCCGGAATAACTGATCGTGCTCTAGGCCTGGGTGACTAAATTCTTCGCGCATCTTCTCGTTGGACTGGAGGATGGAAGCAATAAATTGAGGGATTTGGCTATCTTCCATCCCATGATGGGCTCGCAATGCTGAAACACCAGTCCTCAATGCCAGGGATGTCTTGTTTAGTACGCCCGTTTGAACGAATTTGCCCTCGCTCATGGTTTTGCCAAAGTCATATTGCAGGACGCCGCCTATAATGAATGATATTAGGCCTAATATCCTGAACGCGTAAGGCATGTACACATTTTCTTACCAGAATCAACTGTAGGACAGCTAACAACCACGTCCCCAAGCCGGATATCGTCGCGCGGATTGTTGCTGGGCTTGGCTGGAGCTCCTCCTCCAATGCCTACCATCAAGCCAAAGCGAATATTCGGAAAGCTGCGCATCATATTGGTAGCTGCCGTCGCCGCAGCATTTGTGCCTGTTGTCCCTGCTGGAAGGCAGGCCAAAACAACATTATGGTCCCCAATCCGCCCTAGAGTATAGGTATTTGAATCACCTAGACTCTGCGGGAGGCTTGGAAATCTTTCATCAAGCATCGCCACAGACGCGGTAAGCTCGATTGCCAAAGCGCAGATCCATCCCACAGTAAATGTACTATTCGTCAGACTGCAGGCCTCAAAGTCATCGCAAAGTGTTGGAAGAGCGGCAGGGAAATCCGATGCCGCATCCACCTGCATGCGCTTCGCAGTCGGTTCCTCACTTGCCGTCGTGAGGCGTTTCCTGTTTTCCATAGACATGATACCGGAACTTGGTTGGGCGCGACTGAGGTGGCTGAAAACTGTATTGGGCAGATCGCAAGGAACGTTCAATATAGCGACACCCTGGCATCAACCGAAACGGGATGTGCAATAGTGTAATCTGAATGCATCATAACTGTTTAACTTGGTGAAGTTGGCGGAACTTTGGCAGACATGAAGTGCTGCGTAAAGAAAGCATCAAGGATGGAACGGTGCTCTATTTCCAGAAGATGAGGATGAGCCTGTGGCCCCCTGCCCTTACCACCTGCAATAATGATTGGCCATTGCCCTATCAGCTGCATATGGCTACGGTTTGCGTGCTACCTGCAAATACAGCCTATCATCGACGAGCAGTACATTTATTCTTCACTTTAATTTAGGGTCGCTTATTTGGACAAAATGCATTCAAAGCAGACTTACTTCGCCTCATTTTCATTTTGCTATATGCTCTCTTATTTAGGACCAGTCTTTCCGGTAGGGATGCTAAACAGGACCACTCTTGGTCCCTTCAATCCAGCCTCGCCCTCTGCCCAGTCATTCATACCCTTGTCTACTCTGTAGAATCCTCTTCGCTCAAGCTGGATAATGTCGTCCTTCTTCAGCTCGCCAACGCCGGCATCGCAGACGGCATCCTCCATGCTGGCCGTGTTGGGGTTCAGGAAGTCCTCGAAGTTGTCGTCTTCCTCAAGCTTGTCCTTGGTGATGAGGTAGTCAAACTCCCACAGTTCAGCGGGGACCAGCTTGAAGCCCTCGGCAGACAGCCATGTAATCTTCTTCTCAGTAGTCTTGAAGTCTCCCTTCAAGTTGAGCTCGAGCTTGAAGTTTGTGATGGGGCCATCGGATGTGGAAATGTCTCGAACAAAGGCATTGCCCCAGCCCATCAGAGTGATTTCCTCGTCTGCCTTGAAGCTCTTGGCATCGGCCTGGTCGATGTAAAGAGTGGGCGAGAACACAACCTTCTTCATGCCAACGCTTGCATTCTTGGGGTGCTTGGGGCGCTCCTCGACAGCAACAGCAGAGGGAGCCTCAGATCCGGTCACGGCAACGTTGGCCAGGTCCTTGCTCAGAAGAGCTGTGAATCGGGGGACGACAGGGTCGATAACCTTCTTGTTGTTGGCCCAGAAGGTGGTCCAGTCCATATTGACCACGTTTCGGCTGGGGCCCTGCTTGATGATGAAGTCACGCAGCGCTTCGATGGTCATTCCACGTCGTCGAATACCGCGAATGGTGGGCATTCTAGGGTCATCCCAGCCCCAGACCTTTCCAGCGTCAACCAGCTTCGCCAGCTTGCGCTTGGACAAGAAGGTCTTGACAAAGTTGATTCTGGAGAAGTCCCACATGTGAACCTGGCGCAGTTGAAGGGTATCGATGAACCATTGGTACTGAGGGTTTCGGTCGGTGTACTCAGTAGATCTCAGAGCATGAGTGACTCCCTCGTAGCTATCAACAACAGGGCATGCAAAGTCGTACATGGGGTACATCTTCCATTTGTTGCCAGTGCGGTGGTGAATGTTTTCGATGTTGCATCGGTAGATGACAGGATCGCGCATGGCCTTGTTGGGGTTGTCAAAGGAGATCTTGGCACGAATGCAGTGCGCAATACCCTCTGGGGATGCCACCTTCATCTCCTCAAAAATTCGCAGGGTCTCCTCGACGGTTCGGTCACGGTGCTTCGAAGGGATTCCGTCCATTCTCTGGCTACGCATGGTTTCCTGGTCGGTGTCATCGGCGTAGGCTTGGCCCATAGAGATGAGCTTCTTGCACATGTCATACAGGTAGTCGAAGTAGTCAGAGGTGTAGGTCAAGCTGTCGGGCTTGATACCCATAAGAGCGAGATCCTCCACAATGGCATCCTGGAACTCCTCCTTCTCCTTGGCAGGGTTGGTGTCGTCGAGTCGAAGGCGCATCTGGCCCTTGTAAGCAACATGGCCGAAGTAGTCGCTGAGAAGAGCAGCCTTGGCGTGTCCGATGTGAAGGTAGCCGCTAGCAAAAGAGTTAGATATACTGTAACGCATGTGAGTTTAAACAAAAGGAAAGGCGTATATCATACGAAGGCTCAGGCAGGAATCGAGTAACGACGCCCTTGTCGGTATCCTGGAGGGCGAGGTTGTAGTTGGCGCCGCCCTTGGTGGCTTTGGCAGCAGCGTCGGCCTTGGTGGCCTCCTGAATCTCAGGGTGAGACTGCTCGATAAAGGTGAACCATCGGGTCAGGTTAGGGAGGCCATTCTTGCGGATGAAGCCAATGGCGACCTTGTTGGCTCGGAGAGTCTGCCAGATCTTGGTCTCCAGGTCTCCAAGAGCGTAGCCCTCGAGGTAGGATCGCAGCGTCAGGTGCTTGTCCAAGTCCCTCAGGAACGGCTCAATGGTGCGGAAGTCACCGGCCAACTTGGCGGAGATGGCGTCAAGCTCCTCGTGCTTCATTTTCTCAGCTTATTTCGATACAAGAATGCAATGAAAACAGCAGAAGCAAGACAAGCTCCTCGTGACTCAAGCAATGATTTTCGGCTCTGGTGGGGGGAATGGAGGGGCTGAGCTTAGCAAGGACGAGGGGCCAGTCAATCGTGCCACACATTTTCTTATCGATACAGCGGCTGCTAAATTTTTAGCCTAATTTTCGAGGCACGACACAGCAGAATATGGCGAGGTTAGAGAGTCTGGCGCAAGACTGAAATTCCATCTTGAGCTGCGCTCCGATCCAGATCCAACCGCGAAAATGGCACCAATTGACCGGTGTTTGGCCTCTGTGGCCAAGCTGACGCTCTCCCAGCCATCAATACGACCGGCCGTGCCTCTGATACCCCGATTCCTAGCACCAGCGCTGGTTCAGTCCCGACAAGCCTCCGTGGTGCGGACAAAGAAGACGACGAAGAAGAAGGTTGTTCCGAAGGATTTCAAGCGACACAACTTGGAGAAGAGGGAATTTCCCCAGTACACACTATGTGATGCTATGCGGTATTGCTCACTGGTCTGCAAGAAAGGACCATTGTTCAGATTCACTGACTCGAATCTTACAGAGTTCTCCGAGCCGTGGAAGTCGGCCAGCCTCCCGCTGCGATCAAATATGAGATTCACATCAATTTGAAGACGGCCAGAAATGGTCCCGTCATTAAGAACAGCATCAGACTGCCGCACCCCGTACAGAGCGACTGGCAAATCGCCGTTATTTGCCCCGAAGGCAGCGATATCGCGACTGCTGCCACCGCCGCCGGTGCGGTCGCCGTTGGAGAAGAGACTCTGTTTGAGGCTATCCGCCAGGAAAAGATTGACTTCGATCGTCTAATTTGCCATGAAAACAGCGAGAAAGCGCTAAACAAGGCCGGTCTGGGAAAAATTCTTGGTCCCAAGGGTCTCATGCCCAGCAAGAGGATGAAGACGATCGTAAACGACGTGGTAAAATCCATTCGCGACTCAGCCGGTGCTGCGGATTATCGAGAGAGGCAGGGTGTCGTTCGAATGGCCATTGGACAACTTGGTCACACGCCTGATCAGCTCAAGGCCAACATCCAGGCGCTGCTGAAGAAGGTCAAATCGGAATGCGCCGAGATTTCTGAGGAGGTTTCGAAGGAAGTGCACGAGGTCATTTTGAGCACAACAAATGGTCCGGCGCTGAGTTTGAACGCCAAGCTGAATGATCCAGAGAGCGGAATCACTGTTGAATCGTTGTCAGGCGTCATGTAAATCAATAACGACATGTATAATTTGTACAATATCCAGTTCAATGCATAAAATAGAACGCTTGATGTCTGATGGGGTATCATTGCTTTTGTTTATCTTATTTATGGGATTATCTTGAATAATCATCTTCCGCGAAGAGCCTTGACCGCGTCACCCTGCGCATCAAGGACCCTGTAAACACCAAGATAGCCCAAAACTCGGCCCTGGCCTTTTGTCCCGGCAGCTCGAGCTTCTTTGAGGGCATTGTTCAAGTCCAGAAGAAGCGTGTTCCGGCATTTCATCAGCCGCGCTCTCAGTTTGGCAACAAACGCATTCTTCTCGTCCAGTTTTCCAATCAGAGCCCCGATCTGGCTACACTCACGGGCCGAGGCCAGTAGTTGTGAGGGGGGGCTTCCTATCAATCCTTCCACGGCCTCTGCTTCAAGCTCTTCATCCTCCTCACTATCATCGTCCCACTCTGCAGCTTCCTTCTTGGGCAAGCTGTCTAATGCCAGCGTTTCCTCTAGAGTAGATAGTCGCTCCGATACTTCCAACATTGCCCGTCCTTGCTCAATATCTGATCGTACATCTCGCAATTCATTCGTAAGCGACTCTGCGTCTCTTCTGCGCTCTGAGATTTTTTCCTTTACTTCTTCGACGGCTCTTCGAAACCCAAGGAGGGAAACTTTGACATCCTCTACTTTCTCATCGCCTCCTCGAAGCTCTGAGCCCAATGATAAAAACGCCGTGTAATTCGAGTTGACCAGCTCCAGGAGCTCGGTGCTGATTGTTGCTGTTCGCTCGCGAAGGTCGGAGCGCAGATCCTCTAGGGTCTGGTGGCGATGGGGAAGAGCTGATAGGTATTCTGCAGGTTGAAATTCGGTTGCTAAGAAGTCGGTTCGGGGGAGGGCAGCCGGGAATGGCAAGGGGACATCGTCTTCGGCATCTGACGAGTCGGAAGAGGGGAGGTTGAAAGTCGACAAAGCTGGCCGACTAGGGCGCGCTGGGAGAGAGAGCGGAGGGGGAATATTAGCCATGAGGAAAGAATGTTGAGGCAATTGAGAACTTTGTCGCTGTCAAATCAAGAAAAGAGAGTAGTTGCACAATAGAGATGTGACGACACTTGCGATACTGTCCTCAGTAACGAAGTGGACATCATGAGATGGAGCTGGTTAACGACACGGTCATAGGATATCGCATTACTGAATAGCCCCACTATAAGCATATACACCAGACCGAGGCCACATCGACAGCGCAACAGGTAAGGAATCACGAAAAGTTGTCCATTGAGAACACATCATCATGATCTTCACTTGAGATGATTTCATTTTCTGCTCCATTGTAGCATCTTCATCCAGCAGTGTGCAGCTAGCGATGTCGGCTAGGTCCAATATTGTGTGATGATCCCGTGTACGGAGCTTGAGTTGCTCCGCCCAAGTCTGGGCAGACACTAGTCATTGATCCTCACCAATCGGGCTACTAAGGTGAGTGAGTAGATGTAGCCTCTCTGTTGAGGGAACCGCGCGTAGAACTACTGTTCATACTGGGTGTGATCCGAATACGAAGATGGGTCGATTTGGCTATACTGAGGTGGTCAACACATGCCATGGGTTGCCTTGGGTATCCAAATATGGAGTCCAGAATTTCGAGCCAGATTCATGCAGCAGTCTCTATCGATAAGCCGATGCTAAATTGGTAACGAGATCAAAACCGGATAGAAAAGGTGAGAGAATTCACGCAGAATTGCGTACTCTTCGGTCAAACAAGTGCCAATATGGAGCATGTCAAGACTCATTGTGGAGATGTGAGCAGCTGGGTTAAGCTGATTGGCTACCCTAGTGAGAGTGGAGCGAATGGCGCATCAAATTTTTATCAATCAAATCTTATCAATCGATCAAGCCCACTCCCAGTCTCCTGGCATCGGACCAGTGATACCGTTATAAGGACCAGCCGGGTACGCTCGGGTCACGAAAAAACACAGCTCACAACTCTTCTCTAGCCCCGCATCCATCTCTCTTTCTACATCTTGCAATCTCTTCCATTTCTCATTGCTGAGTTTGTCGTTTACGCAAAGCAGCCTATCACCCAAGAACTCTCCTGAGTCGATTCCTTCAATCGTCGGGCGATTCTCGGTGTAAGACCAAGTTCGGCCCAAGGACATAACATACGGTATAACCACCTGCACGCCCTACACAGGCCCCATCGACTTCCGAGGCCTCATTCCGGGCATTTCACATACACTCAGCTTGCAATTCGGAGAATTGTTATCCCCAACATTCTATTTCTAGCCAAAGGGGAGATCAGAAGGACACAGAGTAGCGACAAAAGCCAGCCAGCTGCGTGCATAAACAGGCCCACTTTTCCCTTCTCGGGCTTCCGAGTTGCAGCCGACAGCGAATCACGGATCATCCTCGTCCGAACCCACTCGAACTCGCACCACCATGGCGAGCATTTCACCAACGTCATCTCCTCATCTCCAATCCAGATCCCTGGAATCTCGAACGGCCAGCGAGGACTCGCATTCCATTAAAGACGAACCTTCACCGCCTGAGGCTTCTTCAGCTCCTCGCAAACGAGCGCCTCTGCCCTCTCACCCAAAATCCGCCGCCCCGCCACAGGCTCCATTTGTGCGCATCTCACTTCCACCAGTCAACAAAATGTCCATGACGGCAGTCATCAGCCCCAACCCGCCAATGGAGCAGCCTCAGCCAAAGATGTCGATGACTTCCAAGGAATGGGTGATTCCGCCGCGGCCAAAGCCGGGGAGGAAGCCGGCCACTGACACTCCGCCAACCAAGCGCAAGGCGCAGAACCGAGCAGCCCAGAGGGCCTTCCGCGAGAGAAGGGCTGCGCGGGTTGGCGAGCTTGAGGAGATGCTGGATGAGCACAAGAAAACGCAAGATTCGCGTGAGAAGGAACTCACCGACAAGATTCACAGTCTGGAGCTGGACGTGCAATCGTTTAGGTCCAGATGCTTGCTGCTGGAGAGCATGCTCGAACGGGAGAGGCAGGAACGCATGCGCGCTGAGATGCAAGCCGAGACGCTCAGTCGCAGATATGAACAGGCCGCTTTTCGATCAGACAGCCTAAGCTCTTTGCCTCACCAGTCATATGGTCGGCAGCAGCATCATCAGCCTCCCCAGCAAAGGCACAGTCTATCGGACAACCTATCAGACAACCGATTGGCTGCGCAGCAGTCCGCGGCACGACATTTCTCCATCTCTCAAATAGTTACACCGCCTGAAACTATGGATGCACACTCTCCCAATGATCTACCTGAAGCACATCTCACCTGTGGTAGCTGTTCACCAAATGGTCACTGCGCCTGTGCCGAGGAAGTCCTCGCATCAGTGGTCGGTGGATGCGGCAAGTGCGGATTTGGAACATCCTGTCAGTGTCTAGACGACACTGCAAAGATTGCTAGCCACGTGCCAGACTTGAAGCGCCCTATATCACCATCAGGGGGGGTATCTCAAGAGAAGCGTCAGCGGTCAATGGCGGCCGCCAGCAGAGAAACAGACTTTAGCTCTCTATTCTCGAGGGCGACACAGCTGCCGCCACCTCAGCCCAGCTCCATTATATCACAGCTCCCTTCAACAGACTTCAGGGATAGTTGCGGGTTCTGCAAAGACGGAACCTATTGCGTATGTGCCGACACCGCCATGGCAACTCCTGCCATGACACCGGCAGATGCCTCACCTCCAGTGACAAGACAAACCAGGACACCACCTCCCATGGAGTCTGACGTTGTCACTCCGCTACCGCCCATGGCAATGGAGATGACAGCCGACGGAGCAGTCAAGCTGCCGCGTCGAAAGCAAGCGCGCTCCCAGCCGCAGACAGACACGGCCTCTCGCGGTAGTTGCGGCCCCAATGGCCCGGGCACATGCGCCCAGTGTCAAGCTGACCCTAAATCGGGCCTGTTCTGCAGACTGATGGCTGCCAGCTTCAACCGCGAGCAAGGTGCCAGCGCAGACGGCTGCTGCGGCGGCAAGGGAGCCGGCGGCGGCTGTTGCAAGTCCAAGTCCAAGCCCAGCCAGGAGAAGATTACGCTTCCTAGCCTGCCTAGTCTCGGGCTGAGCTGCGCGGAGGCCTACCAGACACTGTCCAGTCATCGCAACTTTGAGCAGGCGGCCGACGAGATTGGGTCTTGGCTGCCGAAGCTCAAGGCTCATCCGGCGGGCGACCCTAGGGCGGCGCAGACGGGCAGGATACCGATCGAGGTCGAGGCAGCAAGCATCATGAGCGTGCTCAAAGAATTCGACATTCGATTTGGAAGGGAGTGCTAGACGGTGGGCTGTGAGCTGGGCTCGGCGCAGTAGCGGTCACGGCGTATTGCGATTTGAGTCGTTGGACGAGCTGTGCAGCTTTACCTATGTATTATATGACATATACCTTTTTTTTTTTTTTTGGAGCGAGATGCTGCAACATTCCATGTTGGTTGGTTTGCTGTCGCATGCAGTGCTACGTTCATGGTAGGAGTTACATAGGTATGGAAAAGGAAAATCCGATTTCTCATCATATCATATCATATCATATTCCATCGTTCCATCTTTGCAGAGTGATTCGCACAATATCCAGGGTAGTCCACCTCATCACCGACACGATCCAGCAAACCCATCACAATATGCCGCGTCTTCACAACATACAGGAAAACAAACAACAAACAAACAAACAAACAAACAAACAAACCCAACCGCTTAATTAAACACAGAAGAGTCTTCAGCCCTCTCCCAACTTCTTCTATCCACACCCCTGTCACAAAGAAGAAAAAAAACGCTCCATCGCCACCGTCATCCCACCCCCATCCCCATACCTGTGCTCGTACGTATTGGCTCATTGCCGTTTCTCCTCCACCCTTTCACCGATTCCATCAAGGCAACCACACGCATTCCACTTGAATGCACGCATCCTGCTTAATTCACGCAACCTGCCCGGACGGGCGACGTGGAGAAAGATGCATGGCTGGCTTAATATGGGTCCTTTCGTTTTTCTTCACTTCTTTCTCTCCGAGTTACTCAATTTATTACAGCCCAGCCTCGCTTGACACAAGGGCTGTCGTGACGCAGCAGCTACGCGTGAGCCCGTTGTTACTATAATCGGGAAGGCCTCTTTTTTCGGGGAGATGCATACGAGTTACGAGTTACGCCCGTGTGGATATATGATTCACTATCTAAGCAGTGAATGAGGATGGCTATGCACCAAGTGACGAAAGGAAAAGGTGTGCTGTTGCTAGCACACTATTGCTTCTGTTACTGTCGTTGCTGTCCGTGTTGCCTGGATAGTCGCAGTGGGAGGCCCATGATAGCCCGTTGGGCTGATTTTGATATCGATCTGAGAATGCAACGGGCCGAGTGAATAAGTCTATTGATACCTTGGGCTGTAGGCCGCCCAATACCAGTACTGTACAGCAGGATTTCCCTGTTTTTAAAAACAGACCCCGGCCCTTGCTGCAGTCTAGCATGCTCTTACGGATCTCTTGTCATATGGAGACTGCCACATGTCGATGAAGCCCACGACGACATGTCATCACCACCCTCCAGAGACACACCGAGCGTGTTTAGCTCGCCGGAGACGGACACGAGATTGAGCCCAGATGCAAGCGGACAACAAGGGCTCGTTTTGAAGGCGTACTTGCTCCAGAATTGCCCAGAATATCAGCGCTTGGACGCCTTGCGACAGAAGGTATGTTATGCTACTTGCACTAAGAATATTACTCCCAACACCGAGCAACTTTATGTGTGATGCAGTCAAGGTTTCATACATGTAGCTAGTATTGCTCAATGTTAATTCATATGTTAGGGATGGGAGAACAAGGCCGGCGATGTGTTTTTCGAACAGCAACGACGGCGAGCGGACCACCCAGATAGAAACACGGTTATGTACTTCTATAAGATGATGAAGGGCATTGCCAGCGAGATGAACCAAGCCACCGGCGCGCTCCGAGTCCACGTATCCAGGCCCGGCAAACCACGGATGCTAGACTTTTGCACAGCTCCGGGTGGGTTCCTCGAATCAGCCATGAGGACTAATCCTGGAGCCGAAGCCACGGGGTTCAGTCTGCCACCCACCCAGGGAGGACATGAGGTCATCATGCCGCTAAGCTCAGCCGTAACGTTCAGATACGCGGACGTTACCATGTTTGCTGGAGATATGGGTTACACGGACATCCCCAAAGACCACCCAGACGCCGAGAGCTTCGTGCTGGCGCCAAGCATCGACTGCGAGCAGCGCTTCCATCTCATTTTCTGCGATGGGCAGGTTTTGAGAACCCATGTTCGAGCAGCCTATCGGCAGCCGTGGGAGGCGCGGCGTCTGACAGCTACACAGCTTGCCATTGGGCTCGAACACGTCTCGCTAGGCGGCACCATGGTGGTCCTATTACACAAGCTAGATGCCGTGGACACTGTGAGCCTAGTCTACACCTTTAGCAGATTCTCTTCCGTCAAGCTGTTCAAGCCCAAGAACGCACACGCCAAGAGGTCCTCGTTCTACATGGTTGCGACAGACATCCAGAGCAATTCGCCGCTCGTGGGGGAAGCCATAGGGTACTGGAAGCAGCTGTGGAAGGTCTTGACGTTTGGTCCCGATGAAGAACGCGAGAAGAAGTTATCAGAGGGTCACATGGACGAACGGGTGCTGGTGGAGCAATTTGGGCCAGACCTTGTAAGGCTCGGGAAGGGAATATGGGAGATTCAGGCCAGAGCTCTCGAGAAGGCGCCGTTCATGCAAGCCGGCTGAGAGACCCTCATCTTCTCATCTTGGCAATTACTATGTACAGTAGCTGGAGCTGTCAGCAGAAAACCACTATGACATGACAGCTGTATCGTATCGTCTCCGTAGCACTAGCAGCAGCTCTGTACTGTAGCGTTCGGCAAGGGAGCAGAAGCTTCTTTTCGCCTCCCTAGTGCACTAGCAGACTTCAACGTTGATTTGGGCTAAGCCACGTCCCAATTCAGTTGTGTCGAATATGTGAAGTCTCCTGGAACGGGGTTGGACTCGCCGAGGCAGGCTAGGTCCGTCTGCGGTGAGTTGTCAAAGAGGCCCCGTCGCGACAATTGTCAGCGCACCGACCAGAGCCTCGGAAGCCTCAGCAGCCGCTAGTTACACCGCTTGGGCGGCTGGACAATCGAGCGATTGTTTGGCTGTAATTGGAGGACGGCAGGCCGAGAGGCATCGGAAAGGAGGTCAAGACCGTTGGAGAAGATGGGGGTACGTATCAAATGCGTATGCCGGCGGCGATTTACGAAGTACCTGCTGGGTTTAGTCTGTTGCAGGCACTAGAAGACGCTGCAGCCAAAGGATCCCGGGAAGATGCAGAGAGCGTTGAGGTGCAGGTGATGAATCATGTGACGCGGAAGCAGCTCGACTGCGAGTCTGGAGTCTGGAATACGGGAGCAGATGATGGAAGATCAATGGCATCCAATCCATCCGATTACGATATTACACTGCAGCGGGCTTGAAGAAGGAAGCTGTGGAGCCAGGCTGCAAAACTGTAAGAGGCACTAGGCGAGGCCCGCCGAGAGAGAAAAAAAAACCCACCACTCGATTCGAAATGGTCGATTCCTGCTTCGCCTTGCTGACTGACGGACGGACTGGTACATGGCTGGATAGGCACGGCACAGGGCAAGGTAAGGTATTATTCACGACACACTCGCCCACGGTGGTTGCATGTCAGGCGACGCGGCGCATGACGGAAGGCGAACTGCCTGGACCATTGGCTGAGGGCGGTTGTCGTGATCGGGGCGCTCGGGGGGGCCAGGAAGAGCAAGAGGAAGCAGGCCGGAACAGACGACGAAGAGAAAGAGGCAAGGGAACGCGCCGATGGCGATGCGAGAGGCGGTTGGACGGCCATGCTTGGTGCTACTGCTGGTGCTTGCTGGGAGATGCCGGACGCTGGGAGGCAAAGGGGAGCCGTTGGGACGCATGGAGGTGTCGGGCGCGGCGCCTGATTGGGCCCTTGTGCGTGAGCTGGCATCCATCTTCTGCTGCCGCATGGCGTGGACGACGCAGATTGGGCGAGGCCTGGGGCCGTTTCGTGGTGGACATGGATTGGCCGGTGGATGCGATTGCGTCCGGATGGGGTTGAGCAGATGCCAATGCAATGCACTGCCAACTCATCTGCCTCCCGACCACTTGCAACCAGACAACCGCGCGCACCCTCGTCGCTTTGAGTCACTTGCGCGCACAGTCTGGCTCCCACGCTTGCCGTACGGCTGCATGCCATGTATGCGTGGTGTCTGTGCAGCGCGGGAAGCGTGTGAGAGAGCGTGAGGGCGTCATGAGCGTGTGTGGCCCAGCCCAACGCCGTGCAGCAGCAGCCTGTGTGTGCATGGATTGGATGTGCATTGCATCGCCCTCACTCATCCATTCATTCCCTCTCGTCGACTCGAATTCGAATACACTACGGCAGGGTAAGGTAAGGTAGCCATCCATCGTACCTAAGGTAAGTAGGCAGGTATTGCATCAAGGCCATGCTAAGGCACCGCACATGTACCTGCTCAGGCATAACTGTATATGCAATGTGCCATGGGATGGGCCACAGAACATGTAAGCCGCTGCGTGACGGTAGTATATCATGCCTCCACGCTGTTTGCCTGTGTAATTCAATTTGTACCTCGTCTCGTCTCGTCTCGTCTTGAAGCCACCGCCACTCTTCCCTCCTCTCTCCCCAAAAAGTATCGTATCCTAAGCTACCTGCTTGTACACTCCCGTGTCTGTTGTGAAAAGCTGCTTGGCTGCTCGTGCCCTTGTGTAGCGCCAGCCAGCCGTCGACTAGAGCGATCGTATCATATCATTGCCACTAGGCCGCCAGAGTACACACTTCCATCCTCGCACCGTCTGGTCTGGTCTGGTCTTGATTCGAGACCTACATACCGATATTGCCCTGCCTGTCCTGTCCAAAGTGCCAACGCCAGCGCCAGCACCAGCACCAGCAAAGCAAAGCTCACCGTTGGCGACTCGTGCCATCGCTCCCGTCGTCTCGTTTCGTCTCGTCGTCAGCGCCGATACTGTACACTCACGTCACTCCAGCCACTGCCTCATTCGCTCTGCCTACTCGTACACCTACACCTACACCGCACCTGCACGGAGAAAAGATGGCCTGGTCCAGCCCGGCCCAGTCCGACGTCTAAAATAGCCAGTACCTTTGGATACACGAGTGCCAGCACGCACTTGCAAGTACTGCCAGGGGCAGACAGCTGTCAACATCAGCGCAGCAGCCAGAAGAAAAAAAAAACACTCCACCTCGAGCCGCCGAGCCCTCGCGATCCAGCGGCGACAGGCCCTATAAACTCGACCCTAGCAGCCCCATTGCCGTGCTATCGGTGGGGCCTAGCCTGAGAGCAGCGCTAAGCACCAGGCCTGTTTTTGCTACCCCACGCCGGCTCCAGCGCATTGTGCCTTACAGCTTCACTTCCCTTCTCCCTTGGCACTCGACCTTGTCCAGCCTTCTCTCTCGCATCTCGTCTTAATAATAATAATAGCAGTATTATTATTAGCTCGTCAGCTGCTGCCCTCTGCTTTTCTCTGCTCTGGCCTCCGACTCCTATTGTTTTGCATCGGATAGCTCAGGAGCTGGCTCTGCGCCAGAGTCCTATTTCGATACCTTCACTTGGATTACCTGCCTGCGAAACCTCCGCACTCCGAGCCCCTCCAAAAAACTGCCGCCGAGCTCTTTTACCTATTAACCAGCCCACCACCCTCGACCTCTTTTTCCTCCCAACCTCCCACATCTCGCCGCCCTGTGTATCTCTCGCCAGCTCAGAGGTGATCTCTGCATCTGTCTATCCTGTCTGATACCCTCGGCTCTCTCTTCATCGCCCTCGATCGCTGAAGCTGCGGCCAAACAACTAGCTCGTCTCGGTAGTCGCCGGTCGAGCCATAGTCAACGGCCTTTGAGCCCTACCTATACCCACTCACCTTGTCCAGGGAACAAGAATGATCCCCATGCAACGCTCTCTCTCATCGCCAGACTGCATTCAATCCTCCCCACGTACGTTGCCGCCGTCCTCTGGCCCAGCCTTCTCCCGGAAGTTTGACATTGCACTCGTGTACTGATGGTTCATGCCACTGGTTCAGCCGTGTCACCCACGGTTACGCACGAATCGAGATCTTCTACTCCGTCACCGGACAAGAACAACGGCGCCAGCAACAATAATAACAATAACAACAATAACAACCCCAATAATAACGGCGTGGATGCCCAGCGGCCAAAGCGGTACGAGTCGCGAAGTCCCAGCCCGACGCCCACTCGCTCCTCCGACATCCCCCAGACCTTGGCTTTGCGCCTGAGCGACGATGTCCCTCGCCGTGGACGTCACCCCCGCCATCAGTCTCCCATGGCCTCTCGAAAGGCCATTGTGGCACAGCCCAACCTGCCAAACTCGAGCAACGCAAGGCATGGCTCCAACTACCGCCCGCTGACCCCGACGAGCTCGTCAAACGAGACCTTGCCGGGGTCAAAGTTCACCAAGAAGCCCTTGCTGCAGGATACGTCCATGTACACGAATACCCACCTGGTGCGGGACAGTGACAACACCACGCTTGAGGAGCTTGCCCATGTTGTGCGCCTCTCCAAGTACCAAGAGCGCAAGCGCGCCAACACTCGAATCCGCCTGCAAAGGAGCCTCATCTCTACCGCGCTGAGCGCCCGCTTGACGCGCTGCGGTGAGATGGCCCATCGCTACCTTGTTGAGAGCTTCCGGAAAGACGACAAGGACAACTTTGCAGCCCTGTACAATGCCATCCACGACGTCCGCAAGAGCTGCGATGAGCTCCGCCGCTATGCTCTCTTGGAGCCCGAGCTGGAATCTTTGTCCTCCTCTGCTGCTCTGGGCTCGTCCGAGAGCCTGGACACACCCACTAACTCTACAGTTGGCGTTGTCGATCCGCTCAAGTCCATCACCCCATTTTTGCATGACATCTCTGCCTCCGCCAGGGAGACCTTCATCGAGTTCCTGACACAGATCCGAACCAACCCAGACTACCTAGCCACTCGCATATGTGCCCTCTCGAGCTCAGAATTGAATGTCTTTTTGAATTTTCATAAAGGTTTGGAACCCGTGGAATCGGTCCTCCCATTCCCCACGCGGAACCCCAACCGGCCTCATGCAAGTGCCTCCGGACGTAGCACCTCTAACACTGATATCGAGAGGCTCCTTTCTTTCCAGAGACATGATCCCCTCTCGATCCTGATCCATGCTTGCTTTGCCAATTCGGCCGGCCCCGATAGCTCCGAGGACCAGCGGCGCACCGACATCTGGGCCACGGTCCTGGCCAGGCTGATAGCTGAACCCAAGTCCGCCGGTGAACACTTCCTGATTTGTGTGCTAAACATCTGGACAGCTATGCGCGATTGGTCTGGCAAATCCAACATGGAGTGGTACCTGATGAAGATCCTTGAAGACGGTGCTTTTCTGCTGGATCGCGCAGAGGATCAGCACGGCACCCGATTCAACCTCTCAGACTGGAACCAGTCGGACGAACTCGCAGCCAAGGACTTTTACGACCGCGCCGTCAACGGCTTGTTTGAGCTGGTCGACGACGAGGATGCTACCGGTATCCCTGAGGGCCTTCTGGAACTTGGAAATGCCATCCTGAGCAAGCTCGAAAACAAGTTTGTGGAGAACACCTCCAAGTGGCTCGTCTGGAGATGCCTCTTCTTTGTCTTTCTGCTCGGGGTCATCATCCACCCCGAATACTATGGCATGCTAGCTGAGTATCACATCACTCCCTATGCCAGGGAGAAGATCCTGAAAAAGGTTGCCATGAAAGCCCATGAATACGTTTCAAGCATGTGGAGCGGAAAACCTTCGGCCACCTGCGTTCCCGTGAACATCCCGCCCAAGATCAAAGGCCACGTGGAGAACATCCTCGCCAGGTTCCAAGGGACCCGATCCAAGATTCCTGCCGCCAAGCTCCTGCCGGCCAGATCCATCACCTCCCTGAGGGAGACTGTTGAGGTCCGCCCCTACTTGGTCATCAGCCCTGCCGATTTGGCAACGCTGGTGAATGCCCTCTTCCCGGAGAAGCGGCCCCACTCCGCACGTTCTGGCCCAGCCTCCATTTCCGGGCTGTCGGCCATCTCACAACCCATCTCCATGGCCAATCACCACAAGAACAGCTTTGATACGGCCTCTATTATCAGCACCAGTGCCTCATCCATCTTGAGTGACGCTACGACATCTCGCGACTTCATCTACGACCTCAACACTGCGACCCCGCGCTATTCTCCTCCTGCCGAAGACCCTGAGGAGCAGCGACGCCTGAGTAAGTACGAGGATGATGGCTATCGCCTCAGACTCGCCATCCACGAAATGCAGCAAAACCTTGGCGCAGATGCCGTTCGTGGATCAAGCCACCCATGCGCCGAGAGGTGGGTAGTTCTCTTTATTTCCCCTGACGGAAAGAGCTTGTCTACGCAGATGACCTACGATCCGGACGATGAGCTCGAGGACGAGGAAAACTCATCCAGCACCGATACAGATGAGGATGAGACGCCGCAGCGCCCCGAGCTGGACAAGGATTATCATCAGCTGCGCAACTCTGTCCTGAAGCTGGTGGAAGATTATGAGATTCCTCGCAGCCTGGAGCCCGAGCGCGGACGAGCGCAGCTCAGCAATCGCGCTTCAGGTCTCAGAAAATACACTTCGCGGAACAGAATCATCCAACCAGAGAAGACAGTTGCCAGTCGAAATCCTTACCGGAAGCAAATGGGCGTCGACGGTACAATTTCCACTACCGACTTGACGCCCAAGGAGCCCGAAGAGTCCGAGCCCGTCCTGATCACAATGCTAAAGGCCGCTTCATCTCAGTCAAAGGCTCAGGCCGACTTCGTCTCAGCACACATGTACTGGAAGACGTTGAATCAGCTGACGGCGCTGGCATCGAGCTCACTCCGACAGGACGGATTCGCTGCTCTGATCAACATCCTAGCAAGGGGACCGCGTGACGCCATTCGCCGCTCTGCATCTGCCATCGAAGAGTATGATGCTTGGCTTGTTTGGTTGAAGCAAAGCCAAGAACGCCACGAAGGCCTGATCGACACCATGATGAAGCGCGTCAATGCCATCCGCGACAAGATGTGGTATGTGACCGACGTTCGCAATTCCAAGGAATATGCGCACAGCCGTGACATTTGTCAGGCTCTCAAGACCATGGGTATGCCGCGTCGTTGGAGCTCGTTTCAGCGCTCAAGGGCTCACAACAACCGCGGTCCTAGTTCCTCCTACCTCTACCGCACCGAATCGCAGATTATGGACCTCCTGGCCGCTTCGGAGGAGCAAGGCGGGCCGAACAAGCTTAGCGACGATCAGGCAGAGATGACCTCCATGTGGCTGCACCAGTATGGAATCGAGAATTTCTGCCAAGGAGAAGAGAGGATCCACCGGTTCTGTTGTGAGGTTGACCGCTGCATCAATAAGCTGGTTGGAGAAACCCTTCGAGAGGCACCAGTGCTGTGGTCAAGCGAGTTGTATAAGCGAGACAAGCTGGTGTATGATCGCAGCAAAGCAAGAGACCGTGATCACTCATGGGCTGGCGATGACTCGACAAGCATCATCAGCGAGCAAGATAGGCGCCATACATCGTCGTCATCTGGACGATCTAGCTCATTTGCTCGCGATTTGAGGTCCATGACAAATAACAACACTAGCCATCACTCTTTGGACTCATCCAGGCATGGCTACTCGAGGACTGGCGGAATGCTGGCTGACATTCCCGATGGACAAGAATACTTCGACAAGGCGTCGCCTGTGGATTCTTCGGGCACGTTCTGGTCGCCGTTTCAACCGGCCATGTCTACCAGCTCAGCACCATCGCGATATTCGCCTACCACCAGTCTTACCAATGTGTCGACTACTTTCTCGGCTCCTCAGCACCACACGATTCCGTCAATTACAAGCGTGTCCACTGGCCGACCAAGCACTGCAGCCTCGTCCAATGACACTATCCAACAGCATCGTAATGATGATGAAAAGACCCGGTTTTTGAACGAGCTAAAGCAAACTCTCACTAGCTTGTTGCTGTCTGATCTGGGCAACCAAGTTCTTGCACGGGGCTCAGAGACTGATGGCTGGTTCCAAAAGCTTGGACAGCAATGCATCGACAGGAAAGACGCCCTGGAGAGACGAGCTCGTCGCAAGTCCGACAAGAAGTCCATGTCGAAATCAGGAGTGGCTAGGCCGAGGGGCCTTGAAAAGAAACGGAGCTTCGGAAATCTCAGGAACCCGGGTGACAACACTACTGACAGAACGTCGGAGCCCGCTGAGAACAGCCCTGTGGCATCTCCAGAGTCTCCCATGGCTACAATTGACCCACCCCCAGTCCCCAAGGAAACTTCGAATGAGTTCCCTTTCAAGAAGGCTTACCAGCGTCTTCTCAACATGTTCTGTGTCCACCCCAACCCCTACGCGAAGTTGAATGCCCTTAATGAGTTGGAACAGCTCATCATTGCTTCAATGATGTCAAGTGGCCCCAAGAGGGCGCGATGGAACAGATCTGATGCGGGCTCCAGCATCGTGGAAAATCATGATTCAAACAGCCGACCTACTCCGTTGGAGGGCATGATTGATAATGTTAAGGAGCGCCGACTACAAGCCCTTCAGTCTGGCCTTCCGTCGACCGGATTTTCTTTCACATCCCGCGGATCGAACTCGGAGACGCGATCCATTGTGTCTGGCGGTGCCTCCAACTCTGACCTCATCACCAAAGAGCTCTACACTCTCTTCCGAGACGCGTCAATCCGGCCAAAGTCTCTCTTCCGTGACTTGCAGTTCATCGCTGCCTTTGTCCCTGCCTCTATCCTTGATAGGCCCGAGAAGGGAAAAGCCTTCTGGAATACAGGACTCGCAGCGCTCAAGCTTAAATCGGAGGTGTGTCGAACCATGGTGGAGATGGCAGACGAGGTGGTTGCAGCCCATGCGCACGCTCGCCAGTCATCTACTGACAACGCCGCTCCCCTCGACACACCTCAGTCAACGACTGGTACTCCCCCACCCCCATCCACCACGTATGGACTTACCGATGTTGGTAAAATGTGGACCATTACCGCTAAAGAAGGATACCCCACGGCGCAGCGTGAGCTGGCCTTGTTCTACTTATCTAACCCCGAATCCGTTGAAAGAACAACGCTCCCCTTGTCCAAGCCAAGGGAAGTGTTCAAGCAAACGGTTATGGAGAAGTATGGCCGCACCAGAGGTGGCCTCGGCGGCTCTGGTGCCGGTGGTCTTGGTAGCGTAGGTGTTTCCTCGAGAGGCCCAGGGGCCGGAAATGGCAGCTCTGGCGATGGGCAGCTCTCCGGTGGCAACGAAGGTGATGTTAGAACTGATCCAGGTTTGATGTGCGTCGCTGTCCACTGGATGGAAGCGGCGGAGCAGGGTGGTGACGAGCTTGCCTCGAGCTTCCTGCGACAAAACGAGTTTATGGGGCTTGGTTAATTGGCTTTTCCCCACGGTATTCGTATACGAGTACGGTAGCCAAGTTGGAACAACAAAGGTCCTGCTTGGCTATCGCTCACATGATGATTTATCATTGTTTTTGATCCTTATTTCCGGCGTTTGCGCTCATGCTTAGGCGACACAAATGCATCCTTTCTCGGGAGGCATACTCTTTGCAACTTCCCTTTGTCGTCTCTTATCAATCTGACCTTCTTGCATCATGACGCACACAAATGGAACTGGCAACGCGGGTATGAATTCACGACATGGTATGATGGCATTTATAACGATCTCAAGCCTTGTTTTTCTTCACGAGAGAAAGATGAATTGTCTTTATTTGCTTGCATCTGAATCATGAACCAACCAACACACGCAAAAAAAAAGATGAAAGTCTTTTTTTTTCTTCCTCTTCCTACTCCTCTTCCTCTTCCTCTTCTTCTACTTCTTCGGCCGGTATAGAACATGAGGGAACAGCGGGCTAGCTGGCTGGCTCCTCTGATTTTATGATACCAATCAGTAACGGACGAAAAAATGGTGTTGGGATCATTTTTATATCATTTTTAGTCAATTTTTTTTTTACACATCGTGCGAAGCCTGCCTTTTTAGCTCTTTAGATAGACGGACACCCACGTTCCTTTTTTCTTTTTTTATTCTTTCGCTTTATTTGCCTCTTTTTTGACGCTTTCGTTGGATCTTACAAGCTTTGTTTTTTTTTTTTAAAACACGATGTGAGTTGAGTTGGTGGTGGAGGATATACCATGAGTTTAAAAACTTGTTGGATGGCATTTGTATAGCATGCACACGGAATTTTTAGAAAAGAAGAAGAGATGAATAAAATGAATGAAGAAAGCATCCAAGAATTATCGTGTGAATGATGCCATAATTGAGATATTGAGATGAATGCCTGGTAGCATCTATGTCACAGCTTGTAAAGTCTTTACGCACGAGGAAGTTTACTGATTAAAAGCTCTCATCTAATCATAGAACTTTACATAATGCTAAGACTGCCTAAGAAAGGTGAATAGCAATAGCTGTAGAGACTAGAAGATAGCACCGGCAGTAGAAAGATGCAAGAAGAAATAACCAGGGTGGAAATAGAAGCCGATACTGCTCGTCGAAGAAAGGTACAAAGCCGTACTATCTAGTAATAAAGTGATAAAACTTTTCTAAAAACCCTAAGCGACCCAAACCCATACAATCAGAAAGCTATCAAGACTCCTGGTCCTGGTTCATATTGTCCGCATTATTATCATCATCTTCGTCTTCGTCTTCATCTTCATCTTCATCTTCACCTTCGTCTTCTGACGGGCTTAAGGCGCTAGATGTGTCGGATCTCTCTTCTTCGTCTAGTGCAACAGGTCAGCAAAAGCAACACCATGCCTGCCTTGCAATCAAAACACTCACCTTTAAATACGGGGGTAAATATCCGAGGAATCATCTCGTGGGTCACAAAATGTCTCCAATCCGTGCCGGTATATTCCAACGTCCGACCCAATTCTATATTCTCCAATTCCTCATCGGTCGTTGTAGCGGTAGGTTTGAACTCTATTTCCTGCAGGTACTGTCTCCAGTTGATGACAATCCATTTCTGCTGCAGGTTGCCCAACTTAATGTGTCGAAGATTGAGGTCATTTTCATTCAACAGCTTCTTCAGGAACTGGACCCATAGAGTAGCTCTCCTTTTAAAAACTGTCCTTTCTTGAACGCCCAGCTCCTCGCATATCAGTTGGATCCTCCATAATTCGAGATGTTTGAGTGTGTCGGCAAACTTGGAAATGAAGAGCACAAGCTCATCGACGCCAAGGACCGTCATACCCAAGCTAAGTTTTTCTAGCTTGGGGAACGTTACTGGAGAACGTAGAAGTGAGTGATTGCTTGTTATTCCATTTGCTGGTGGCGGTGTGATCTCTCTTGGGCCCCACACTTCAGATCTCAACTCTCCCGTTGCGAGCCAGCTAATCAGGGTTTTAAGACTGTTGCGTTCCTCGATGTTGGCAGTATTATTCTTTCCATTGATGCGCAGTTCTTCCAATCCATCAAGGTGTCTCAGGAACTTGATCATATTGAACCACTGATATTCCTGTTTCTCATACTTGGAGAGGGGAGTATTCAAGGTAACCTCAAGGGAGAGATGCAGTCTTTTAAGACCGCGCAGAACAGGAATAGTGGTAGATTCGAGATCTGGTTGAATATGAAAGGCAGTGTCGTTAAGCAGATTGCCTTTCCTCTCCATCACTTCAATTGTTGGCGGACTAACTCCGGCCATTCCCAACGCGTGGATGGCGGTCTTGAACAGGCGGCCGGCAGGATGATTCCCTAGTGAAGACAGCCCATAAAAATTCAGAGGAGCAGGCCGAACACCAGTTTCGTTGAACATGGTCTCAGTGCCGTAGCTCTTCCAGTGAGCATAAGGGCCATCCCGAGATCTTCTGTTGGAGTTGAAATCACGGATCACCACCGACTCAAGGTTTGGCAAGCGGGCGAAAGCCTCAGCCAAGTACTTGGGAACCCGCCCGAGCGCCCAGAGACTCTCCTGCTCGACCAAGCATTGCTGGAACTTGTACGCTTGCTCTACATCGTTGCATGCCGAGTGGTTGCCGTCCAAGCCAATCTGGTCAATGCCAAGATGTACGTGACGCAAGCAGCCGGACAAACGGCTTTTGGAGATGTCTACGAGGGCTCCGAGACTGAATTCGGAGACCATGAATTGCTTGCGCGTGAAGAACTCGGCGGTAAATCTGAAGTAAAGAGCCTCTTCGACGGATTTGCAGGTAAGGCGGAGATTGCACAGCTCGGATGTTTTGAGATGCCATGTTATCCTATCGAGGATCTCTGGCGGGACGTGGAGAAGACGACAAGACTCGATGTTTTGGCTGGTGGCCATATCTGCGGGTTGCTGAGACATGATGGCCGCTGCCAATTGCTATCTGGACAAGCCGACCGAGGGGGAAGAAGCAGAATAGAGGTGTGGCCAGAGCGTGGATGTAAACAAACAGCGAGCCGTGGACAGCCGCAGCTGAAAGAGAGTAGTAGTGCTAGGCTAGGGGGTAATATAGTGAGTGGCTGTGATAGAGGGGGTGGGAGGGTAGGGGTATCTTGGTATTGCTCGTAGCCAAAATAGAAGAGAAAGGAGATGGTGATGACGATGTAAATACAAGGTGAATGATGAATTGGAGAAGATGGAATAAAATATAAAATAAGATAAAAGACAAGATATGTATTGTTGCGTGGTGTTTTATATAGACATGCTTCCTGCACAAATGCCCAGCTCAGATAAGGCAGGCTAGCCAATGATTGGTCTCCACTTGCCAGCTGCTGCCTAAGTCCCGTTTCAGCGCGGGTCTCCACTAGTAACTAGTAACTGTTGCTTGATTGGCCAGCCGTGCCGCGCTCTGCTACAGGGTAAGTATACCTCAAAGGACGTGCCAGAAGCAGGAGGTCGCGAGAGCAACAGATGAAGAATCCAGCAGGTGAATGCTGGAAAAGATATGTATTTTCTATTAATTAATTCTGCTGATCCGGTGAGGATTTAAGGCACTCTACAACATGAAGCACAGTTGGTGGCTGCATAGTAACGCGCCATATGCCGTATACCAAGCAATTGTAATAGGATACATTCATCATCGTTTCCGGCCAAACACTTGCTGGATAAAATGGATGAGTAGGACTCTGAATACATCTCGGTATGTGAAATGGAACGGCCATTGATTTTGAGTGCTTTGTGAGTATGTGAACTCATCAAAGTAGGATGGGGAGCAGGGCATTGGCCTTTACATTCGGATGGCGGGAGATTTAGTCAACAGTGCAACAGTATTGGATACCTTGGGGAATTCGCTTCTCTCTGGAACTAATACATCCCGCACTAAGTATTCGATACATATACCTGCCTGTACTTTAGCATGAGAAGAGATGTCCATTATCCCCACCAAGAGGTACGTATCGAAAAATTATGAAAAGAGGAGACAGATTAAAAGGCAATGCATTCTCCACCTCAGCCTTATTCTCAGCTGATGTCCAACTATATTGGCCAAGATTCCATGATGGAGCCCAAATTCTCCATCTGGTACTGGGAGATGATTCGCGTCCTTTACGATTCTCATATTATGGTTGGAGCTATCTAAGCGCTTCATCCGCCATATATGTAAAGAGCAAGTACATATATGCCCATATGAGGTCTCATATTCTGTATCGTGACAACGACCATAGACATGAGGGACTATAGAATCGTATCGCGTCAAAGAAGCTTTCCCCCAAGAGCACCCTGACCCGCTGGCATATACTATGCACGCGTACGTGGCTTGCAATCTCGTAAAGCATAAGAAGTTCATAATCAGCCCTCTCCCACCACGATGAGCCCTAGGCTTTTTCTGCTTTCCACTCTACTCACACTCTATTTGCTTTTCGGATTGGACAATCACTATGAAGGCCTCTTCAACCATCTCGCTCCTTAGCTTCGGGCTCTTGGGCCTAGCTCAGAGCGTAGTCCCTCTGCCTCAGGAGCCGCAAGACTTCAAAGTTCCCAGCGTCTCGGTGAATGGTGGTAAAACCGATGAATGGGTTGCGCCAGAAAACCAAAACCCTGCGATCAACGATGTTATATTCTCGTGGTGCCGGGATTACAACATGACCAGCACTTGTTCTCAGACGACGCTTAAGCACAGCTGGTGTTGTATGTTTTCCCCCTCTCGCATGAACTCCCGAGCCTTGCTGATCATGGGCCTGTAGATGACCTGTCTGTCATGGATGCTGCTATCAAGGATCAGTTGGAGGATGTTGGTGCGTCTGATGGTAGATGCATGCTGTTTCGGTAAGTTGGTGCTGATTTGGCTGTCTCTACTATTCCTCCCTACTCTTTCTTCGTCCACACATCACTTACTCTCTATTCTCAACCCACCATCTCACCCAATGAGCGGACTACTGTGCATCTGGACTAACAGTTGATCTCTTCCCACCATCCTCACAGCAAGCCGGATTGCAAGGGCGAACACACGGCCATGTTTGTTGGCCTGCATCTGTGGACAAAGGCCTTGTGTCCAAAGAGCAAGACGAGATGGTACCGCCAGGCAACGTCGGTCCGCTGCTGTGCTGGCTCGCCGGTGGCGCCGTGGTGTCATAGCTCGGTCAAGAAGCCTGAAATATGTGCCAAAAATTGATTCGTTGATGATTTCTCATGACCTGGGTGGATGGGATTGAAGCCTGCTTTGAGGAGAAGTTGGTTGGCTGATGCTCGTGTTTGTTGGGAACACGTAGTATCACCGCCTATACCAAGTCCTCATACTGTACTGTATCGTCAGATTGGAGAAATGCTTTTGATAACGAACCTGGTATCGATTGGATACTATCTCGACCTCGTGCAAACCCATTGGCCAATTGACTCCCTTGCGTCTAACTGACTCCAACATGATTGATTGATAAAATTGGCTGTTAGTCATCCCAGCTGCCAGCTCCCCATAAATCCAGGCAGCAAGACCACTCAGATCCCGGCTCTCGGCCAGCCACGTGATGCCGCGTTCTCCTCGCGCGCCTGTTGAGCGAGATCTAGGCGCGCTGGTGCCTGGAAAACCCGCTGTAAGCCTCCCCGGAGCCACAAAAGCTAGGGAGCTGCAGCTCTAACCAGCCCCGGCCGTAGTGGGACAGCTGCGCCGCTCTAGCGCCTGGGCTCCACTAAAAGCTAGGCAGCTCCGGGGCATTTACGCCTGTACCTGGCAAATCCGTCCCAACCCGAGCTAATCTGCAGACTATTAAAAAGGGCGTCAATTGTCGGCCTCAGCCCCAAGCATCAAGCTGCTCAACTGCCATCTTTTCTTCTTCTTTTCTTGCCATTGACGGCGCAATTGAATCTTGCCGACGCGTCTTGTTGATCTGTCTGCTGCGTTGCATTGAAACAAGCACAGCTTTTGAACCAAGCACAGCTTTTGAACCAAGCACAGCATTCACCTCGGCTCTCCCATCACAAAAGACGCTAACACGAAGCCGATCATTGCTTCTTCCTCTTCCACTTTCTCCTATTTTCCTCCTCAAATCCATCACCATTATGCCTCGAAGAAAGGCTGCGGCTCCTGCTGCTCCTGCAGTACCGCCGCTGGACGGATGCGTCATCGCCATCAGCGGCAAGTTTGACAACTCCAAACACACCCATGCCTCTCTAGAGCAGCTCATCAAGTCCCTGGGTGGCAGCGTCACAAAGAGCGTCACCAAAACCACAACCCACGTCGTCTGCTCTGAAGACGATTACAACAACGACTCTGCAAAAGTCGCTGCTGGCAAGGCCAAAGACTTGCCTTTGGTCAGTCCAGACTGGATCTTCGAGGCCGAGAAGGAGAACAAGACAATCGACCCACAGACCCATGTCTGGGGCAGCGACAAGCCCGCCGACTCACAGACCAATGGCAAGAAGCGCCCCATTATGGTGTCCAAGAGCGACGAAGACGAAGAACCCGAAACCAAAAAGGCCAAAACCAACGGCTCCAAGGCCAAGGGAGCAAAGAGCAAGGCCAAAGCCGCCGACCCCGAGCCCGAGCCCGAAGCTAAAGAAGAGAAGCAGGTGGCCGAGGGCCAATTCATCAAGAAGAAGGATGCAGCAATCCCTGTTGATGAGCATTGCCCGCTGGTCTATAACCAGGTGCACATTGACCCCGACACTGGGCTGATATACGATGCTTCTCTCAACCAGACGAATGCATCCAATAACAACAACAAGTTCTACCGCATCCAGGTGAGTATGGGCTTTGCTCGTGTCCGTGAGCCAAGTATTGATTCAATTCTGCCCAGGTCTTATATGATGCCAAAACAAAGGTGTACAAGACATGGACTCGGTGGGGCCGTGTTGGAGAAATCGGTCAAAGTGCCATTCTCGGCAACGGCGCGGTAGCAGATGCAATCAAGAACTTTGAAAAGAAGTTCAAGGACAAGTCTGGCCTGGCCTGGGACAACAGGGGCGATAACCCCAAGCCAGGAAAGTATGCCTTTGTTGAGCGAAGCTACAACCCAGACTCAGAAGATGAGGACGATGCCGACGACAAGGTCGTTGCGAAAAAAGAAGACGAGGAAGAGGTCAAGATTGCAGAATGCACCCTCCAGCTCGAAGTCAAGTCTCTCATGGAGCTCATTTTCAACCAGCAGTATTTCCAGGCCACTATGACTGCCCTGAATTACGACGCGAACAAGCTCCCTCTAGGAAAGCTAAGCAAAGCAACCATCACTCGCGGTTTCCAACAACTCAAAGATCTCGCAGCTCTGATGGACGATGCCACTCTGGCAGCGAGCAAATGGAACACGACCGTAGCCAATGCCACGGAAATGTTGTCCAACATGTACTACTCCATTATTCCACACGCATTTGGACGCAACCGTCCTCCCATCATCCGAGACAATGCTTCGCTCAAGAAGGAGATTGAGCTGCTGGAAAGCTTGTCTGATATGAAGGACGCTGCAGACATCATGAAGATTGACCGCAAATCAACAGACAACATTCATCCTCTGGATAAGCAGTTCCAGAGCTTGGGCCTCAACGAAATGACGGTACTGGACCACGACAGCAGTGAATTCCAGTATCTATCAGACTACCTGCACGGCTCCAAGGGAGAAAGCCACGGCCTCGACTACAAGGTCCAGGAGATTTTCCGAATCGAGCGACAGGGCGAGAACATGCGCTTCGACGAGTACGCCGAGAAGAGCACGATTGGCGCCAACCGCCGTCTTCTCTGGCACGGCTCGCGCGCCACAAACTTTGGTGGTATCCTCAGCCAGGGTCTGCGAATCGCACCGCCAGAGGCACCAGTCTCTGGTTACATGTTTGGCAAGGGTATCTACCTGGCTGACATGTCATCCAAGTCGGCCAACTACTGCTGCTCGTACATTTCCGGAGGCCAAGCGCTTCTGCTTCTCTGCGAAGCCAAGCTGGGTGATCCCATGCAGCAATTGACCAACGCAAGCTACGACGCTGGCAGCACTGCAAAGAAGGGAGGTATGGAGAGTACCTGGGGTATGGGTATGACTGCGCCGCCAAAGTGGATGGACGCTGGTGTGGTGCACGAGAGCCTCAAGGGTATCCAAATGGTAAGTCGATTCTCTTAGCAAGTTTTGCATATGTCACATATACCAGATTATGAGTATCAACCGCTAATATGTTGAATAGCCCGACATTACCGAAAAACCTTGTGCCACCAACGTAGACGGTGCATATCTCATGTACAACGAGTTCATCTGCTACGACGTCGCGCAGGTAAAGCTGCGCTACCTCTTCCGCGTTCAGATGTAAACAAAAATTCGAATTTCACGTAGTATTGTAATTGTTCTTCGTATTTTCCTTGACGGAAAGACTGGGTGTGCATGAGGGAAGCACTTTTAAGCCCATAGGGGGCCATTGGAGTTTCGGGGTGCGGCTTCTGTGTAAAAATAGCTTGCTAATTTGCTTTTAAGTATTCATGATGACTAGACGAATAAATTGATCCAATATTTTATGATCTGCTACTTCTCCCACCCTCATACCTCACCATTCGCTCTAATCCGTGAAATGCACTTAATCACCAAGCGGATATGCGTGCAGAACCTGCCCGTAATACAGCTCGGCATCCTTAGAAGCGAGAAAGATGAAGCTAGGGGCGATTTCGCTCGGCTGGCCAGGTCTTCCAATGCCAGATTTTGCCCCAAAACCCTCCATTTGCTCAGCAGGGCGTGAGGATGGCTGCAGAGGCGTATGGACAGGGCCAGGTGCAACGGCGTTGACACGGATGCCCTTTGGCATGAGCTGCTTTGCTAGAGACTGTGTAAACGAAGTAATTGCACCCTTTGTAGATGCGTAATCAACCATTGAAGCTGTGCCTCGGAATCCAACGGTTGAAGTTGTGTTGATGATGCTACCAGTCACATTTACGTTAATATAGATGAAGATACCTATCTACATGTAGCAAAAAGGGAGCGGGAATACTCACGAACCACCTTTCTCCATATGCGGCACAGCATACTTTGTAACAGCAAACATTTGCAAAATATTGCTCCTAAAAGTGCTTTCCACTAGATCAAGGTCGATTTTACTAATGTCGTCGCACATGACCTGCTTCGAAGCGTTGTTGACGAGGACGTGGAGGGCGCCAAACTTTTGCATGTGCTGCTCGACGGCCTTGCGACACGTTTCGTTATCCATCAGGTTGCCTGGGATGAGGAGGCATTGCTTTCCTTCGTTTTCGACCATTTTCTTGGTTTCTTGGGCGTCTTCCTCTTCTTCGAGGAGGTAGACGATGGTTACGTCTGAGCCTTCGCGGGCGAAGAGCACCGCGATGGAACGACCGATGCCGGAACTAGGAAACAAGTCAGGTGGCGTTCCGGAATATTGCAATTAGAGATTATACGAGCGCTTACTCTCCGCCGGTAATTAGCGCTTTGTTGCCCTTGAGTTTTCCGGCTGCTAGATATTCGTGGTGTTTATGTTTTCCCTCGAGAGCTGTTGGTTCACTCGATGGCTTCATGTCCTTCTCCAAACTATGGGAATCAAACGTTAGTGACAAGTTTCGCTGCATCGCGCGACTCGATTGGCTTACCCTGGAAGATCCTGCCTTTGAGCCTCTTCGACGGGCTTGAAGCTGCCTGATTCAGTGCGAGACATGCTGTGAAGCTTGGTTCTTGAGCTTGCTGAACTAGTAGTTGGTGTAATAGGGTAGATGCGTGTAAGACAAGCGACGTGCAATTGGCGTTTAGGAATAAAGTGTCTGAGAGAGATGCGGGCAGTGGTACCAATCATTATTTCAATTTTAAAAGACTTATTTATATCTATTTTACGATTTTTATTTCCATTTTATTTTATCCTGATTTATCGTGTTTGGAAGCTGACAGGGTTGCGTTTTCGTGATGTCACTCACTATGGTCGGACATGATGATTTTCACATGACATCAATCTTGGCGAATCCCGAATATCAATGATGATTTCAATTGCTATCGCCCCACTGGCACATGAAGGTTTTACACGGTTTAATGGAGAATTCCCTACTTCTGTAAGATTTCAGCCTTGTTTCACTGAGTCAAAGGGCTTTATTGCGGCTCCGTTGATCACGGCGCTAATATGAAGTTTATTTTTTTTTACTTGACACATGTATTTGCCGGAAGAACTAGACTAGTGTCTTGTATCCAACGCCACTGTTTTTTAATGTGAAGGCCTTCCTGTGCAAGTTTCGCGCCTCCAGGTCACAGTGAGTCTCTTGGTCGTCACCATGGGAAAATAGTTGGGCATGGTGTGTTAGAAAGAACGATTCAAAGAAAACAACGGCATGTCCCTCTAATGCTTTATGTGCAACTAAGCCAACTATTCTACTGATAAATCTGCCACCATTTCCCCAAGTCTGCCATAGCAAAGGAACGTACGGTTGACCATTAAAACTCGCGAAGAGAAACCTACCCTTACACCTTGATAACGAATCTACCCCGAATCCATGCATTTGATACGATCATTGGGAAGTGTCATTAGCCTCAAAATGAGTTCTCTTGCCTCAGTAATTAGACAGATACCTTTTTCTGAGGAGGTTTTGTCTATATGACCGATTAGAAATCTTAGCCTCATCATTGAAGGAATCAATATCGATGGAAATACCTCCCAAGCATCAACAAGCAGATATGTACTGTGACCTATAACACCAAGTATCTCATACATGGCTGTAGCAGCGACACTATTGAGCCATGTGTAATTAGTATGGCCTGATTCATACTTGACCCTCAGTATGCCTCGATTGTCTGGTTGACCTTCGTTGGTTGCCAGCTCTGACCCGGCTAGCTGCACGTAAATCAGAGCGCCGTCGTCGGTTTGTATGTTTAGGCGTGCATCCGGGTGATATATGCCCTTGGCATCAAAATACCCGTAGTCACCTCCAAACGATGAGATTGTTCCAGTGACTCTTGCTCCACGCACGGTGCCCCCAGTTATCGGGATTGTTACTTGCTGGCCCAGTCCGACGTCTCCAACAGTCAAGAATGATCCAAGGGTTATGTTCATAAAGCCAAGATAATTCAGGGATGGGAGACCAAGTTGTTGGCCTGCGATTGCTCCAGCAGAGGCGAGCACGTAGGTAATATAATTGCCGATTCTCATTTTGGAATACTATAGGCAATGTTATTCGTGAGAGAGTTCAGGAGTGTGTGGTTTGTATGTCCAACTTCATGTCCATCTTGTATACTACCTTGACCACTTTTATAGTTGGAATATGGCACTCAGCATTTTTTGTTTCTTCTCCTTTTCTCGTTTTTCTCCTGTTACTGGGAGCCCGGAATTAGAATCAACAGATGAATTACCAATCGAAGAACATACCAATGACTTTGGAGCAAACTCCTCTTATGACAAGGAATTACGGAGCGACAATCGATTCGTTAACTCCGGACATGTGGTAACCTTTCTCTCGTGTATTTAGAATGAGCTCTTACTAAGCGGAAGTTTGAAAAAAGCATGGCGTTGATACATGTGAGCATTCAGTATCCCTGTAGGATTGGAGTAAGCTGAGAACGGACCCCGCCAGTTGGATAAAGCTGTCGACGATATTTGGCATTATTCTTCGATTTCCAAAAATTTGCTTGCATGGATTTGTAACCAGCTGCTTCAGCTCTTCTTTCTAGCACTTTTTTCTATTGTTCTGTGGTTTCAGAATAGTCGTAGACGGAGCTGTGCTGGGGCTCTGTAAGGTAACATTTGAATTGGATTGATTGCATCGCACACTATTAGTTGATTTGACTTAGACCTCTGGTTACAACCCGTCAGCGAGTGTGTGTCCTCCGTCAACGACGACCCTCTGTCCATTAACAAACTGATTCCCAGCAAGAAACAGCACCGCCTGTGCCATATCCTCATCCTTTCCCGGACGACTCCCAGGAATCATGTCCTCAAACCTGCTCTTGTCCAACTGACTCTTTTGATCCTCATTACTTTCGCCCGTAGTCATCTCGCTGGGGAAAACGCCTGGCGCAATGCTGTTGACGCGGATCTTGAGTCCCGCAGCAGCAATTTCCGCTGCCATCATGCGTGTCAAGTGTTCCGCTGCGCCCTTGGAGGCGTTGTAGCTGAAATGGTGCTGGCTTGTTTTGATCAGGCCGGAGATGGAAGTGATGTTAATGACGGTGGATGACCATCCAGGATGCGTTTCTGTGGAATTCTGCAGCAGCGGCAAGAAGGCAGCGGTAGTGAAATACATGGCTGCGACATTAGTCCGATAAACATCGATCCAATCGTCAAAAGTAGCATCATCACTGTCAAACAGTGACTTCTTCAGCTCCTCAGCACAATGCGCTTCCGCGGTGGTAAACTTCGAGCTACTAACGCCGGCATTGTTGATAAGAATGCACAAGCATTTTTCCCGCGCCTTAAGCTCGTTGACAAGAGCTTCGATGCCTTGTTTGGAGTTGACATCCGCTTGGATGGGAATGATTTCGCCTGCAGCGTCTTCGCCGTGGGTAGATGCCGCCTTCTCGAGCTTTTCCTTGGTTCGGCCGCAGATGTAGACCTTGGCGCCGTTGGCAGCCAGAGCTTGTGCGGTCATGAGCCCGATTCCAGAACCCCCTCCTACCAAATGTATTAGAGCCGTGATTCTGTGATAATTTTAGAAAGAAAGCGATCAGAGGAGACGAACCGGTGACAAGAGCTACCTTGCCGGAGAGGTCAAAAAGAGATTGCGCCTTGAGAGCATTTGTATTAGCCATAATTCTAGGTTTATTTCATAAATTTCAATGGTAGTTCAATTGAGTGAATCTTCCGTATATCATTTATATCTGATTCATTTATACAAACTGGCGGCTTATGTAAAACCGCCTGTTGAAGCTCTGTCGCTGCAACGACGTCATGATGTTGGCATGGGGGTAAATGTGGGCAGCTCTCATATGTAAGTGGCAATTTTGAGATGCATCGACTACGACTTGATTGCGTTGAGGCGGCGCAACTGCTCCGGAAGGCTTCTATTGAAACGTTTGTGCTTACATCATATAGGTCTTCTATCGCAATTGGCTGGATCCCTGTACTCTATCCGATGTCGTGCAGAATATTCTGCGTTGTGTAGATTTACGTGGTGTGCTATTTACACAAACCTGCTTGCTTCTTGTCAGCACGGCTCACTCATCTTAGCTCTTGTATCAATTCAGTAAGGTGAATAACTTTCTTTTTGCTATCCAATCCTATCGTAACTTATTTAGGTCATTGCAACATATATACATCCTATGTACAACCATAGATAGTCCATCTACAAAGGATTCAATCTTTTTTTTTTTTTAACTTTCCTTCAGAGTTCAAAATAAAATTGAGCTTATTGAACTCCTTGTCTCGTTCATATCATACTCGTATTCCTTATGACGAAACAAAGCGGAAGCCAGCGGCGGAAGCCTCAGTAGCTCCATTGTTGATGAGCGATCCATCAGCAGCCAGGGTAACCCACAGCTTGTTGCTGCCAGCCTTGATAGTGTACACACCAGAGGCAGCACCAATCTTCTGGCGAATGGTGAAGACCTCCCAGCTAGAAGCCGTGGCACGAGCAGCCTGCAGGGCAAAGTTGCCCGACTGGTCGGCCGTGACGTATTGGTTGTTGCTGGTGAGCTTGAGGGTGCCGGCGTTGGGGGTGTAGGCGCTGACGAAGACGCCGGCGTTGGCCTGGGAGCCGGAAGCGACGAGGTTGGAGGCGGCGGTGTTGGGAACAACCCACTGGCCGGTCGTGGCAGACTGGATCTTGAAGTTGCCGTAGGGGTTCTGGGGGAAGTTTTGGCCGCAGATGGGCTGGCCGCTGGGGTTGGGACGAGTGCCGATGAAGAAGAGCTCGTTGGTGAAGGTGTTTCCAGAGCCTACGCGTAGTTGGTTAGTATTGACATCTCCAGGTTCGTTTGTCATATAGGTGAATAGAACTTACCCCAGGTGGTGAGGTTGGCGCTCCAAGCAGCAGCAGTCTGAGGGTTGGCGTTGGAGTAAGCGGCAATCAAAACGCATCGCCTAAGAGAGTAGGAATGTCAGCAAGATATGGCAAATTGTCCATGCAGTTGCATCAACATACCAGTCGTCAGCAATACTTGGGTCGAGAATCTCGTTCTGGGCATAAGACCAGACGTTGTTAACCCACTGGGAGTCGTACAAGACCTCGTTGATGGGGGTAATGGGGAGCATCTGGATGGCGGCAATCTCGCTCTTCTGGTCGCCCCAGAACAGCCAAGCACCAGACTGCCAGTCCTCAACATTGCCCATGGTAATCAGGTTTCGGACCGCAGGCTCGGGGTAGGGGTTGGTGGGGTCGGTCTGGCTCTGCTGAGGATACAGGTGCCAGTAGACCTTGGCGCCCTGCTGCTCGGTGGCGACGAGGAGCTTGGCGTAGTTGACGTAGTCCTGAGACAGAGCGACGGAAGCCCAGAGGAGAGCACCGTAGTAGCCGTTGACGGCCTCACCAGTAGACTCCTGGTCACGGCTTCCGGCTCCGTTGGCGATACCAGAGGCCCAAGAGTGGCCGGCGAACCAATCACGGCATCGGGTGATGGGGAAGTAGGGGTCCTGGGGAGATGGGTTGATGATGTCTCTGTTTTTGCTTGTTAGGAAAACTGTACTATATACCTGTGCTCATCAACAGAATAAGACATACCGTGCGAACCAGTTGATAAAGTCCTTGTGCTGGGCCAACCAGGTAGCATCGTACTTGGCAATGACGGCGGCAACAGTAAGGAAGTATCCGTAGTGGAAGTGGTGGTCGTTGTAGTAACCGTTACCAAAATCGACACCGGCGTTGGTGGCACCGGCCTTGTTAATAACACCACCCCAGGAGGTCTCGTACGCGGGGAAAGCTCCAGTAGTAGGGGCAAACCAGTTGTTGAAAGAGGCCTTGAGGTAGTTGGTGACTTGGGGGATCAGGTCAGTACGGCCAACAGCCTCACTGTGAGAGCATAAGAGTTAGTACATCGTATCACGATGGTGGAGAGATGAATCTTACGCAATGAGGGCAAGACGGGCCGTCGCGGCAAGGGTGCCACCCCAGTAGTAGAACTCGTTGGGAACGGGGGCGTTGGCGACGTTGAGCTGGCCAATCTCGTACTGGAGACCCTGGATAACAGCAGCGTTGCAGGAGGAGTCGAGGGCACGAGGAGGGTTCCAAGAGATGCTGCTGAGCTGGTACAGCAGGTTCCACTGGTTGCCGATGATGGGGTACATCCATCCCTTGGTGGTGAGGTAGCCCAGAGTCGAAGTCGCGGGCTGGTTGGCGTTCTGCAGCGACACACGGTGGTGGGGCCAGGTCAACATCAGCAGCTGGCTGCCATCGCCAACAGTGGCGTAGTTGAAGATGAGGGTGCCGGTGGTGGTGGTGAAGCTGTAGTCCAGGCCAACTCCGGTCGGGTAGACGGAGTAGTGCTGGTCCAGGATAGTCTTGTGGCTGGCCTGGATGAGTCTGACCATACGGAGCACGCCGTTGTAAGTGCCGCTGGCTCGGATTGTGCCCTGGGCACCGTTGGTGGCAGTAGCAGTCAGGGTGATTTGAGACAGAGCGTAGATCACGTAGGTGGTTCCGGTGGTGTCGACGACGGTGAATGAAGTGCCGGTAGCAGTGACACTCTGGCCGTTGGCAAGGTTCTGGCCGTTAAAAGATGCGATGCCGCCGTTTCGCGACGTCAGCAGAGGCGTGGCAGCCTGGTACTGGAGCGTGATGTAAGGAGATCCAGGGATCAGGGGAGAAGTCAAGGACGCGCCGCCCTGGAAGTACTGCACCGTCACCGATTGGGTGTCAAAGGCCGTGGCCTTGTGGTTGGCAAAGTTGCCCGAGTGCTCGACAAAACCAGCACGCCAGTCGTTCTGCGTGGGCTGCTTGATGGACGTGCCGTCAAATTGGCGGCTGTTGCTGACACCAAAGTTGATGCCGAAGCCGTCGAGCTGCGACTCGTACGGGAAAGGACCCGAAGCGGTGCCATTGCCGGGAGTTGCGGCATAGGAAGCCCACCAGGTGTTGGTTGGGAACTAGAAGGACAATGTGAGTTTCTAGGGCTACAATTGGTTGGTTGACAACTGCTTTCGTACCGGAGGCTTCAGTCCAGCAAAGAACGAGGCCACGGGAGCTCCATCAGCGGCAGTGGCGATGGTTCCTCCAGAGATGCCAGCTGGGTTGCTGGTCGCGATAGGGGCGAAGAGGCCGCGTCCGGCGATGTTGCTGAGCTTTCCGCTGTTTGGCAGAGCCGCAACGCCAACCGCCGAGGCGATGACGAGGTTAACAAGAGAGGCCAGCATCCTTGAAGCTCGAGCGATGAGATACTAAGGAAAAGACCGCTGTGCTTGACCACACCTGGAGAGATATCGCCAAGAGAAGCGAGGGCGAGCAGCCTCCTTATACTTGTTTCTGCCAACGACGAAGATGAAAATGCCATTGCGTCACTCGACGATATTCTTTCTCTTTCCCGATGGCCCCCCTGGTTTGCAACCCCCCTCCAGCGGAATCTCGCTCCGATCTAGGTCCAACCCCGGCGGTAATTGAACCTGCGTTGCTGCCCTCTCTCGGCGGTATTTGCCATCGTGGAATGGGACCGGGCCCGGCCACTTTCGAGCCGCGAGGGTTGTCTATACCACTCTAGCAAAGGGTAAAACCTCCCAGGGTTTTTTTTAACTTGCGCACACAAAGTAAACCTGCTCACGGCAAGGCTCGATCTTTTACGAGTAAGCCGGATGTGTGTGTGCTTGGGCAATCTCCACTTCGCCGATGATTCCGATCAATCTCATGTTTGCTTCCTTGCCTAGACCGGGGGACGTGGCATGGTCCAAGGCATTTAGCATCGGACCGAACTGTGCAAGACGTCAAAATTGTCAAGTAATTCGCAAGCCTCTGCATGGCGAGATACCATCAGGGCGGCGAGATGCATTTCCATCAATGGCGTCGACCGAAAGATGGTGTTGGTGTTGATGGAAGGCAACGAGCCATGACATCTGTTTCGCTCTTGTTTTGTTTGATCCTTTACAAGACACTTTTGCTTTCTTCATTCCAACACATCAAAGTTCCATGAAGGTACCGGTAGGGGGTATTCCAATCCTAGCCAAGCTCATCTATTTCCCGAGGTCACGCGTCGTAGTGACAGAGAGACGTGGGGTTTAGCTCTCACATGCTGGCTGGACGGAACATGAGCCTTGTCAAAACTTGCCAAGTATTATGTCAACACTTGCCAAGTATTACGGGGCCCCCTCAAGTCTGAATTAGAAAACATAAGTAAGCTTGTGGCTAGTTGCCTATAGCCTCCATCTCGCTATTTCTTCCCTATTTAGCGCTCCTCTGTCTCGTTGTTTAAAGAAGAAAAGTTGAACGGCTGCACGCCACTCAGCCACGAAGTTATCCAATTGCCTAATCAGGAAACCCCCCGGCTCGGGATGGTGGGCCTGGCATTTCTGGAAGACAAGGTTGGTGGCTCGATCTATCTGCCCTAGGGCTTAAATGTGCTGTAACCATATGGCAGAGGCCATCATTTTAAATTGCTGGGGATGTTTCACGCCCTTGGTGAGACGCTATGCAGCGCGCAATAATCATGCTGCGTCATCTGAGCACACGTATATAGTTAAGAAGCTTCTTCTTCCTTCTCCTTATTTACCGAAAGCTTCAAGGGAGCGAGAAAGTTAAACGAGTACGGGTAATCAAGATATGCGCAGGGCTCGGCGTTTATGGTCCAAGACGGACAAGTCGTCGTGATTAGGTGAAACGGGAGAAGCAAGCATACTCGGCTCTTTTACCCTCTTCCCCCACAATCGACTGACCTTGTCGGTGCGGAGAGAGTAGGCCGCACAACAGCCACTCGCGCATTTCGGCTCCGCATCTCCCCGCATTCAGTCATACCCGAGAAGTCGGGACTTTGACATGACAGGTTTGGCCTGAGAATGCGGGAGAGCACGCTTGAACATGTGGCTTATCTCGGCCTTGAAAGCGTATAAACATGGTACATCTAGGAGGACTTTAGTATAAAAGTACTGCACATGAATATGCTCTTGAAGCAAGAAACACGCGATCATCTCGCAAAGTCACCCCATCCTCGAGCTCTTCTATATTATCTATCAACCGATTGAGGCTCAATTGTAAAGCGCTCTGTACTTAAACAGCCCTAATGACCGGGGAGTCGCGGCATTTACCCGCCATCTTCGCCCAGTTATGAGAAAAAAAATTGCCAGTGGAATCGGCCGCTCCAGTATTAATGCCGCGACGCTAACATTTTTGCATCATCTCCAAGGCCAGGGGGGTCCGGATACCCGTCGGCAATAGGTTGAGGGCGTGCTCCGTATCTTGTGACGCCTTGCCTCCCCCACAAGCAGGGGGGAACACAAAGCCTACCAATAGGAAGGGACTTGGTACATCTTGATGCTCGTTCAACAAGGAGAAGAATCCTCCAGCGCTACAGTATTACTACCTCTACTAGCCCGGGTGTCGAAGGAATCTGATTAGCTGACAAGGCAGATCCGGAGTACGGAAAGACGGCAGGCATTATGGAGGTCAAGCGCAAATCCTAGCACCGCGTTGTCACTCTGCCAGAGCGTGTGGAAGCCTGCCTTGGCCAGTCAGGTTCCTGAAAATCGCGGGAAATCTTGTCGCCTTCAGGTTAGGCTTGGGGTGATGGCCCTCGTAGCGCAAAGGGTTGGGAGCTGATGCGCGGGGCCAGGCCCCCGGCTGTTATATTGAAAGGGCCGAATTGGTATGGGGATAGATTGCTCCCATACGGGCCTACTTGGTCTTGGGATGTACTCGTAAATGGTGATGATTTACTCTATAGGGGAGATTCATTGGTCGGACGTTTCTCGTAGAGCACGTGGGAAGGGGGTAATGACTTGTCTTGGAGGGCTTGGCTATTGCTCATTATGTACTATGTACTATCTTGCGATGATATGCCCGACGTGTAGATGCTATTGTTGTCACAAAATTAAATGACACGGCGAAACGAACAACACAAAATGATTGAACATCGGCTGCAGGCCTATTGCGTTACATACCTATATCGACGCATCTCTCTTCTGTATGACAACCAGCTGAACGGGGAGGTTCACCCTTTGTCCCCGAGTTGTCACCGTTGCATGCTTCGACTGATATGTGAAGCTATATCCGTGAACTTCGTATTGGTAATACATTGTGATCAGCCCAGAGAGGTTCCATCGCACGCAACTATGTACTAACCTGTATCGAAACTTCGTATACTGGTATTGTAGGTGGTATCGAAGGAATTGGCTATACTCCTAAAAGACAACAAATGTAGACATCAAAGGATAGATCGTTCTCGATGGCATGGACGTATTACGCTCACTGCCATTTCTGGAATAATCTCTTGATCGGGCCGTAAGCTTTGATGTGACGAGATGTCAGTTGGGGATACGAAATCGGTCCTCCTCTGATATGACTGATCCATTAGTCACGAAGGAATACCCTATATATATAAGTTAATGAATCAATAGAATAATGAGCTCATGAGCTACTTCATGGTGATACTTGATAGCAGTTTCTTCTCTCGAGATAATTGCGACATTGTTTGCTATGTGCTGTTCATTGTAATGAGTATGCTCAACTTCTGGTCAACATCGACAGCAACATCGGTGGACAAAATCAAGAAACTAAGAATGGAAACTTGGCAAGAAAACTATATGTAATGTGATAAGATTGGAGAATCCAAGAGCGGCTATAGTCTGCTTTTGTTAAAAGCCACAATCAGGACAGCCACACACATTATAGGCAGGACTCGTATCGATATCTGGAGCAGCACTCTAACTAGTTAAGGCACCTGATCATCTGCACCACCGAGGCAGACACATTGTATGCAGGAACCTTCCTTGGCATTACTCGGTAGTTGGTAGCATCTGGCCGTAGTAAGGAATCGGTTATTGTTGGCACAATGTCTCCTGGCCTAACTACATGCAAAGTAGTGTCGCAAAGCAATGCCAAACGTCGTCAGACTTGGACTGTGGCTGTTGTTCGGGGCATACAACTGTTGCCCGAGCAAATTTGCCACTTTGATATGACACCAAAGACGATGAGATAGAGTAGGGGAAAGAAGACTACGTGGCTCACAATTAAGGTTCTAGCAGCAAGGCAGATCTGCGTTGCATGAGTCGCCTGGATCTAACGGTCACGGTGCCGAAATTCCAGAGATCCATCTTGGATAATCACGGCTTTGGCCAAGCTGGGAGCCAAGTACAATAGTTCCCATCACAGATCTCCCTTTTCTTATCTAGTGCCTTATGCCAGCAACAGAAGCTAGCCTCAGTTTGTGGGAAACAGGTCGACATAAGACGATAACACGGCAAACAGGGCCGTCCTATGACGTCTCTCTCACAGCTGCCGGTGTCAGAATCGGGTTTGGACTCGCGTTTGGACTCGCGTTACACAGCCCGACAATACGGGGGAAAAGATGATATCAAAGCGAACGGAGACGGAGTGCAAATCTGGCGTACCGGACTTGACTCGGGGATCCTGAGTGGGACCGGGCCGGAGATTTGGGGATAGAGATGCCGGAGGAGCCGGGACGGGCGACGCGCACACGGCCATGCGGTGGGATGGTCAGCGCTGAAGCGAATGAATGGCCGGCAAGGCTTGCTAAGGAAGAAGTGATTGATGGTATCAGTGTCTATAAACATTGCCTCACAGAATCGCAGATGCATATGATGAGGTAGATTGCCTACCGCTACACACCGAATGATACTTGTAGATGGCATCATCACTCCTGAGTCGTGCACAGCTTCTAGAACGGCGACAACTCCGTCTGCTCAAGCTACATCCAGTATAGTAGCCTACGCAAACCCGCCCGCCAGCCCGACAGCCTGCATCAAACGACGTCTGTTTCCCCAAGGCCAGCGGTTAGACGTCGCCGATAATGACGTAGGGCGGATTGTTTTCCACGCCGCGACTGAGGCTTTTGTCACAAGCCAGCGAGGCCAAAGCTGCCGACACTCCCGTGGATTTCCCGCAAAGAGCGCGCTGCGGGCTGGGTCTTGCAGCGGGAATAACGACGGAATCCAGCGCCTTGATTGATGGAAATGCACAGGATTGCCACCAAGTGGCGTTACTTAAGCCAACTTAAGCCAACTTAAGCGATGAGAAAAAAGCAAAGAAACCAAAACGATCCACCGCGATAAGGCTGGGGATCCAGTAAGGCTGCTCTGCTTTGCTGGGAGGATTTTCCATATAGCCGTTTTGGGTGGGTCTCGGAAGTAGCTCCCGACTTGCAGCTTATTCTCCCTGAATCGTTCAAATTTTTATGGAGTTTTTTCTCTCGTTTTTTCTCTCTGCCCCTTACTGTACGCCCAATTCCAGGTTTTTTTGTCTCCTCCCCCATGTATTTGATTTTCTCGCGAGGTCCAAGCGCTGCCCCGTAGCCGAACAGACAGCTTGCTGGCCAATGCCGTGTAGGCGCTGTCGATTCCGAATGCCGGGGAAAGGCTGAGCACGGAATCGTCACTTTCTGGGGACGGATTCTACTTTTTGCATCCTAGACAGTTTTGACTGAGACTCGCGTGGCATGAGGCTCGTACGAAATGCTTTGATGTCCTGAATTGTATAAGCACCACGTAAGGGCGCATCAAAGTGTCTGCAGCTTGTGATGGCGTCAACGCGGCATGGGATGGTTTTAAAAGGTCTCAGATGCCCATGCATGACCCCATGAGCCAACAGGGAAAAACCCGCGACATTGACCCATATTGCATACGACTCTTGATCGTTGTTATTCAATCCAATTAACTATTACTCCGTATATAACAACGAATAATCAAGTAACAGCAACTAGAGCTCTGCAGTAACAGTAACAGTTACACGCAAATCAGCTGCAAAAAGCTGGCCATCGGACCATCGGCGTCGCCTCAGCTCGGGCCGTCGGCACAGCCTGCAAAGACGTGCATCTTGTTGCTTCTTGTCCCTGCCAGGTATCTCCTGTGTCGAATGCGCTCCAATTGCAGTGCGCTGCAGGCACAATGGAGGGCACAGGCCACGACGCGGGTACCTACGTGTACCCACAAGTAACCGCCGCGCAAAAAGTTCCTCGGCCGGTACGAGCCTCACCTCACTTCTCACTTGTCACTCACCTTCCAAAGCACGACTCCATCTTTCTGCCTATCTTGCCCTTTCTGCATCTTCATCCTCATCTTGGCAACTTGGCTCATCTCATCTAATCAATCGCTCCCGCGTCCCCAGATCGGCTCCTCCTTTGACTTGTATCCTCCGCTGGCCCCGGCCTTGTCCATCTCTAGCCCCTTGGCCTATCGCTCTTCACCGAGTCACCCCCAGTTTTTCCGCTCGCGGCTCGAAGCCTCCGCCTCAAACTTATTTCCTCCTCCTTACCTCTTCGCCACGCATTACGACGGCTCCGATACCCAATCGCCCCCCTCGCTCTGCTTTTCGCCGTCCATCTCGTCCTCGCCCTTCTCCGGCTCCGTCGCCGCAATGGACCTCGACCCGCCCGCCGGGGCCGACGTGCCGCCGTATGGCCTCGCCGGATCGTCGCTCCCGGAAGCCCAGCCGAGCCTCGCTCATCCCGCCGACGGCTCCGGCCTGTCGCTCGACCGCCGGCCCAAGAAGTCGTCGACGACCTGTGCCGTGTGCCGATTCCGCAAGGTGCGCTGCAACGGCGCGCGCCCCTGCTGCGGCAATTGCCAGCGCCTCGGCTTCCCCTGCTCCTACGATGATGCCGATGTCGACGCCTGGTCCCTGTCGTTGCCGCGCCGTCGGGTCAAGCAAGCTTGTCTGAGCTGCCACAGCCGCAAGGCGCGGTGCTCCGGCCATCTCCCCTCGTGCGAACGATGTCGAGTCCAGGGCATCGAATGTGTCTACCGGCCAAACAAACGTGCCAAGCCCTCGTCAGCTGGAGCCGGCATTGGAGATTCCAAGAGCCCCAATAGCCCGGACAGAGAGTCAGATCGAGACGGTGCTAGGGAGAACCGCAGCCACAGAGAGAACCGAGATCACGACGAAGGACGCAACGATAGCCCGGCGTTGACTGAAGCAGCCAGTTCTGCGAGTCCCGGGGGAGATAACCATGAAGGGTAAGCTGCAGCTGGCGAGATTGGTAGGTGTTTGTGCTAACTTTTGAGGTTCTTTCTTCAGTCCTCATATAGATGAAAGCTTCAACTCCATTGTCAGCCGTGCATTTGACCTCTTCTTCCGCCACGTTCACCACATGGCCATGTTCACCTTCCTACATCGCGCCTCTCTGATGGAGCAATATCACACCGGCAAGGTCGAGAGACCGCTTCTTCTGGCCATTGTCGGCATCACGTCATGCTTGACCAACATGGGGCCCGGCATGCGCGAGTACGGAAACCGCTGCATCAACGAGGCCGAGGCCCTTCTGCTTGCCGACTACAGCCGTCCGTCCATTGTCAAGATCCAGGCGCTCGTCTTCGTCATCAAGCATCGCATCCTCTGCAACAAATTCTCCAGCGCCTTTGTCCTCCATAGCTTTGCCTCTCGCTACGCCACTGCTCTGCGTCTCAACTATGAGGCGCCGCATCTTCGCTTCCTGGCCCAGGAGTCTCGCCGACGCCTCATGTGGGCCATGTACTGCATCGACACCAGCATCTGCGGCGGATATCCCGACTTTGTCCTCTGGAGGGCCGACCAGATCCACGTCTATCTGCCATGCAACGAGCGCAACTTTGAGTTCGACCTGCCGCAGCATACAGAGAAGCTCGTGCCGGATACACATCAGCCCCGGCCACCACTCGCCGAAGACGTCGGGACTTTGGCTCTTCATGCACGCATCCTCCACATCCGCCAGAAGATTATCGAATTCACAAAGGTGGCCCAGTACGACCGTGGCATGGAAGCCGCCGAGCTGCAAGGTCGCATCTTTGCGCTGGACAAGGAGCTCAACGACTTTGCCACCAACCTGCCAACCTCATTCCAGTTCTCCGAGAACTCGCTCCGTCTCCGCGCCTACTCCCCGCGACTCTGTGTCTTTGTCATGATCCACATCTGGTGGCGCCAGTGCTACTGCGATCTCTACCGCCTCGCCCTGGTCGACATCAGCGGTGGGCTGCCGCAGTCCATGCTCGACATGTTTGACCAAGGCTTCCTTGAGCACTGTCACAGGCAGTGTGTGGATCACTCCCTGGCGCTGACTCTCATCTTTTCGCTCATCCAGAAGCTTGATGCGAAGCCAGTGGCAGATATTGACCTTGCCATGTGCGCTTATCAGTGCGCGCGGATGCTCATGCATCTTTTCCAGTTTGGCATCTTCAGCCGTTTCGGCGTCGCGGCAGACACCGTCATGGAGCAGGCCCAACTGTGTCTGCAAACCATAAAGGACTGCTGTGTAGGGCCCGCGGTGGACTGTATCGTAGCAGATTTGGAGAGGCTAGTCAACCGAGACGCAAGGGCCGTAACGGGAGAAGGAATCGTGTCCGCCGACTTGTCGCAGCAGACAATGCCTCAAAATATCCAAATCACAGACGCATCGGATGTGCTCGGTGCCCCCACCACGACCGGTCTGCAGCCCTTCAACCCTCCCTCAAATGCCGTCAACAACACCGTCTCGTCTTTTACTCATCCCGTCATGACTGCTCCGTGGATGTCGGAAACGGCCTTTGCGCCAGGCCTAGATCAGCAGACTCTCCCTCCAGAGGTCCACGCCAATCCCAGCAAGAGCGGAACTCCCAATCTGTCTGCACCGCGGTCCGAGTATGGACAGTCGGATCTGAATAATGAGTATGACGGTACTTTTGCAGGACTCGGGCTGGATGATGGATTTGATTATAACATGGGCATGGACATGAACATGTGGGCTACGAATGGAGGCAGCTGGACTGCGCCAGGATTTGGGAGTACCTGGATGGGATGAAGAGAAAAAAAAAAAAAAAGGGGGGGGGGGGGGGGGAGGGAAGAGACAAGAGAAATCTGTGGGATTTAGTCTATTGACCACATGCACATATTATAGAGAGGGAATCCTGGAGGTTTTATTGATCAAAATTGGTTTTGGAGAAAAAAAAAGGCAAGGCGAATGGAGCGGGCAGGATGGCGCAATGACAAGGGACTGACTAGACGAATAGGAAACGATCATGAATAGATTTAACAAGCGTATTTTTAAACTAGCTTAGTGCGAATACCCAGAAGTGCAGAGTGTGACCTCGTCTATTCAATAACTGTACCCAACCAAAAGGAAATGCTCATTTTCATTATTACTCGTTAGAATGCTATAAAGATATGAAAATATGAAGATATAGAGAGATTATTATAGCTGGCCGAATACTATGCACCTCCAGCGTGGTCGGAGCCACTGGCCACCGCCAACCTCCCGCCCCCTTGATCCCACAACCCAACCTTGATCCTCTTGATGCCCTCGCTCTTCAACTTGTCGCCAATCTCCTCGTCCGTCGCCGCCGTCGCATCCTCCAGTATCGGCCGAATCTCCGACCCAGCCACCAACTGCGCGACGGCATGCCACACGTTCCCATACAGCGACCAGTGCGTCCGCCACAGGAACAGGCCCGTCACCGCAAACACACAGATCAAGTTGACCAGCACCAGCACGCCTACTACGATGAGACCGTTGCGGCCCACGGGCACCAGCGCCTCAGCCGACCAGGTCATGGTGCTGTCGTTGCCCATGTCGAAGCCGGGGATGGCGTTTGAATACTGCGCCTGGTAGAGCCAGAAGAAGGTCGCCTGCATGGCCTGCGCGATACTTGCTGTTCTGTTGGCAACGGCGTGAAAGACGAGGCTGATGTACGGGTGCGTCTGCCAAGTGGAGCTCGAGATCTGGGAGCCCCCGAGCGGGGAGCAGACGCCGCAGATGTAGACGGAGAAGTTGATTCCCCCTTGCTGATAGAAATCGTTGGTGTTGATGCCGTCGATTACGGCCTGGAGGAAGCGCCTCGTGACTTCGGTGCTGCTGGCCAAGTCGGGGTTGTAGTTGGGCGACTGGGCGTACATCTCGTTGAGCTCGTCCGACGAGACATCGGTCCACGAATCAAGGGACATGATGCCGCGAGAGACGTACGATGCGTTGGCCGTTGTATCCACCATGTTGACAATGGCATCGGTAGACCAGGTCTTGTTGGAAGCATTGTACTGAATCTCCGGCTCCAGGGGATCCTCTGTGGTGCTGAGAGAGACGTCCTCCATCGTCAGCGTTGAGTTGATGAGACACAGTGAGGCATTGAGAGTAAAGTGGTCTCCAAATTTCATAACGGCCCATTCATGCGAGTTAGTCTGCGCCGGGAGATGAATGCCGCTTTCGTTTCGTTGAATAGCCGCTAGAGACGCATTGGCCCAAAAGTCGGTGTTCACGTCGGTATTAAACACCAAGAACAAAGCTGGGACGGGCTCATTGGGAAGGAAATTGTACCTGTAGCTGCGGATGTTGCATAATGAAGTTGGGTTGCGCGGCAGGATGGCCTGGTCGGAATCGATATAGGCATATGGCACGCCGCAGCTGATGGGAAGGGACTTGCACTTTGACCCCGTAGGCCCACAAGACAGGCCATTTAAGAAGGGGATGTCGTTTTGTGATTCCCAAGTGATGCTGCCAGATAGATTCGCATCCTCCATCTGATGGGATATGGCCGTAATGGGTGCGATGCCAGTGATACTTCCAGAAATCGTAGGACGCGTACAAGCAGCGCGAGAGGTGTAGACGGCCGAAACACCCTGATATGAACGGAGATTCTTGCGGCTCTGAGCCTGAAGAGGTATCAACGACCGCTTAATGAGCCCCGTGTCGGCGAAACCATCCCGAACAGTCGGTGGTTCCATGGTGGCCTCTCCAAAGGTGGGATACGTCTGTAGGGACTGCTGCCAGATCCCCGGGTCGGGCCCCGGAGTAGATAAACCGAATGGACCGACGAGCTCTGCAGAGGCCTCGAGCGCTGGAACAAGAGAAGTGGAGGAGGAGAGGAGGAGTTGGACATTGCGAAAGTCGGACAGAAGGATGGTCGATGAGAAGGAAATGGCCATGGACCCCAGCCAGATCACGAGGATCAACACCGCCGGGAAAGACGTGAACAACTTGGCCGGCGTTCGAGCGAGCGGCGTGACGAAGGAAATCGGTCCACCGTTGACAGCACGCAGAACCGAGAACGTAGCCGCGTTGCTCATGTCCACCACGTTCCGGGCCTCGAGGACCAACGCGGCTGCCAGGCCGGTACAGACCGTCGCCTGGAGCCCGACGATGGAGCGGATGATGAGGGCGCAAACGGTCACCACCCGGGTGCCGGCGCCCTTGAGGAAGATGTCTCGCCAAACCGACGGTGCTTTTGCTCCGCTGGGATCGGAACCGCGTGCGGTCCAGAGGAAGACGAGGAAGCCAAACGTCCCGAGCTGCAGAACCGTGCCGAGTAGGATGGCTGTGCCTGCCAGGCCTCCTATCCGACCCCAGGGCCCGGGCCATGTCAGTGGCTTTGTAGAGGCATTCGAGCTCGAGTCCTGCTCGAGTTCGACTTCTGCGAATCGGCTTTGAGGCTTGGTGGCGCTCACGGGTCGGTAGATTTTCGCGAATCTCGCCATTGTGGTGGTGTTGCTGCCGGTGCTGTGGCTATCGGCTCGTCAAGAGCATTGAACGTAGTAGGCGCCAATCGCTGCGATTTTCCGTCACTGAAGCCCAATTGAATTGAATTGTCTGGGCATCTCATCTCTCTACATGCAAGGGGCAAACCACCTGCCTGAAGATGCGCCGCAACTATATACCCGTCTGCATCTCGCATCTCACCCCCAAACACAAACGAGTGTCGCAGCGCGTGTAAATCCTGAAGCGGGGCGGCGAGGTCCTGATCCTTCAATACCTCCTTGCATGCAAACTAGGCTGCTTTCGATGGCGAAATGTCACCCACCGAATCCTCCTGTGCTCGAAGCGCCAGGGAGGGCCCGCAAGGCATCCAGTCGGGAGCCTCCAACTGCCGCCTGAATCTCACAAACGAGGCTTTCCATGACGGCAAGCGGCAGCGATCTTAGGCGTTTCAATGTCTGAAAATAGCCTGGGCGACACTAAAAAGTGCAATCACCAACAAGGCAGGAGAAACGGGAGTACAGTAGCCTTTCGTTTGTTTGCCGTCCTATCCGCTATTTGCTTTGATGCCCTCAAACGCGCGCTGCCCGCTCTTTTTCCAATTTCCCCCCGTAGCCTCGCCCAACATCTCATACAAGCGCGCGTGAGTTTCGGTGGGGGCTGGAAATTACTCGGCGCATGTTTTTTTTTTTTTTTAAGCGAAGGCGAGGTCGACGTGGGGGAAACGGGCTCCCCTCGTCTCAGATGGTGGTGTCGAAGGTGGCATGAAGGATAGCTTTAGCCTTCCCAAGGTAGGGATGCTCGATATGGATGGTTATGACATGAGATCAGAGTCGGGAGTGACTATTCGGCACCCCACGTCAGCTGTTCGTAATGATGGCGGGTATCAGAGGAATATATGGATAGGAGTAGAAAATAGCGATAGCATCAGGCAAAAAGCGATAATAGCAGAAAGTACCTATAGCGAGAGTAGCAGAAAATAGCGATGGTAGCAGAAAATAGCGATAGTAGCAGAAAGTAGCGATAACAGCAAATACTCCAGGAACCGTGCATCTATCTAAGTAATGGTGATAAGGTTTCTATTATGCCATGGAGACGGTCAGAGATCTCATCAAGACAGCCACGAGCAGAAACTAGGCGGAGGAAAAGCGTGAAGAAATCCGCACGGCACTGACGAAGCAGATGGTCTCAGTGCTTCCTCAAGACGTCAAGATACAGCTGGGAATATTTGCTGGGATGACGAATGTTCCCTAAAATTTGTTACCAATAGAGAGGTCGCCTTTCACATTTCAGTGGCCATGATATTATCCATATTAGAGTCGATAAATGAGCCATCAGTGGATAAATAGCCACTGTATATCCAAGGTTTTTGGAGACTTCATGGCCCAGGTAATACTCTGCAGAGAAGAATATGTACCCTCTATGAGCAAGGGACAAAATGCGGGGAACCAAAAGCAAGAGCACAGGCCATTGTTGGAGTTGAGTTGAGCCCTACAAATGGAATCCAGAGCGCCTGGCGTTATCGATTAGGTGCTAGCCAGGGTCCATCTCTATAGCGCTTCAGCGCCCCAATAGCGCTCGCAGTTAGCGCTACAGCTAGCGGGTCTAGGCTCGGCTCTATGCGACGCCATCGCCAGGCCAGGCTTAGCCCCTGTCTCTGTCAATCGAACATGCTTGCAACATTTGAACTCAATCTGCCTCGATTCCATCCTCCTCGTCTAGCGCCACACCAACAAGGTCATGCAAGCAACATAAGCTTCACCACGCAACATGCCTCATTGGCGCATCCAGCAACTGGGTGCTCGTCATTGCCACAGGCCTCAGCCGCACAGCCGCACGAGATACCGCTAGTCTGAGGGTTTGCGGTTCCTCCCAGCTGCGTGTGAGAGGACGGCATGGCAATCAAGTGAGGCTGCAGTTGAAAATGGGCTGGTTATCCGTTTGCTCGCGGCTCTCTGCATATTCGTCCTACATGCTTCGTGCTCGTACGACTCCTGTTACACTGTAGGCATCGATGGCACTGCGACCATGCGTCTGCTAGATGCCAGAACGCTGGGGCTCGTCGACATCACCGACGATCGCGTCCCGCCTTATGCCATTCTGTCGCACACCTGGGGCGATGAGGAAATCACCATTCAGCAGCTGCGGCGCCTTGGCGGCTGTTCGCAGAGCACGTTGGCATCCCCCAAGACGCTGGACAAGAAGAGGAGGGCCACCGTCTTGAAAAAGGGCTACGTCAAGATCGTAGGCGCTGCCCAGCTGGCTGTTAGTCGAGGGCTCGACTACATTTGGGTAGACACTTGCTGCATCGACAAGACCAGCAGCGCCGAGCTGTCTGAGGCCATCAACTCCATGTATCTCTGGTACGAAAAGTCTGCCGAGTGCTACGCCTACCTCGCCGACGTCGAACCAGTCGCCGCTGCTGCGGATGCTGGTGAGTTCCACGACAGCCTGCGCCGCAGTCGCTGGTTCACAAGAGGATGGACGCTCCAAGAGCTTATTGCCCCAAAGATTGTCCTCTTTTACGCCAAGGATTGGAGCTTTCTAGGACAGAAACATGACCCGCCTGAATTCGCAGAGGCGATTAGCGAAATCACCAACATTGACGAAAATGTCTTGAATGGCAGGATAGACCCTCTCCAGCTGAGCGTGTCTGCTCGCATGGCTTGGGCATCCCATAGGAATACCACGAGGCTCGAGGACACTGCGTATTGCTTGATGGGTTTGTTTCAAGTCAACATGCCCCTTTTGTACGGCGAAGGGCGCCGTGCATTTACACGCCTTCAAGAGGAAATCATACAACGCACTGACGACCAGTCCATATTCGCCTGGAATTCCTTTGATGACCAAGACGAAGATCCGGATGCTCTTTTTGGCTTGCTCGCGCAATCCCCTGCCCAGTTCAAGCTTGCCGGCTCCTTGCAGGTTCTGCCGCCTTTGCCTGTGTATGCAAGTGCGCCGTCGGCTATGACGAACCAGGGTCTCCGCGTGCAGCTATATGTCCAGCAGCAGGTATTTGAGAACCAAGACACAATGGAAGAGGATTACTATGCAATTCTCGATTGCGTAAAGCGAGATGGAGACGTCTACCAGTGTCCCACTCTCTACCTGCGGCGGCTTTCCGAGGATCAGTACGCGAGGCTGAGGCCCAAGTCGCAGCACTTTATGCCTCCCCCGTCCACTCCGCTTCTGCCACAGGACGGCTATCGCTCGGTGTACGTCAGGCAACAGCCAGTGTACTTTTACCTTCCGCAGTTTAGGCTTTCTCCTTTCAATGTGGAATCAATTCTCGGCTCCTCCGATGGCGTTCAGTACCGACTGCTCGACAAACATCCCGCGCAGAACTGGAATTCGGCCACCATGACTCTCAAGGTGCAATACTCTCGTAAGCTGCAGGCCATGGGAATCTTTAGATTTCAGAGCGTCGATAAGGCGGATGACAAGGTGGATGTTGTAGTCGGCTTGCGTCGTTTGAACCCTATGGAATGGGAGGGATGGTGTTTCCAACTATCGTATCGCGACGTCTCCCTTGAACACACCTTTCATCAAGTCAACAACCGAATAGAAAAAATTACGTCCGGATCAAATAACAGCGAAATTACATCAAAAGCTCTTCGTGATTCGCTTGGGGAAGACTCTTCATTGACGAGCAGCGCGACAGTCGAGGGCGTCCAGCTTCAAGGACGTCTCTACATTTCCATCCAGGTGACACAGACAGCCGAGATTCTAACTGAGAAACGGGTATCTATAAAATCAAATGGGTCCATGCCACTGCTTAAATTCAACCGAATACTGAACTCCGCCTTTCTCGACTCGGGAGTGAGGGCGATGACGGAGATATACCATCTGGCTTCGAGCTTACCGTTTGCACCCGACGAAAACACTCCCTTCATGCGGATGGTACAGCCTGTTCGGTCGAGCTTGTTAGCAGACGGAGTCCGCGGCGATTTTCTGAAGCCCATCCGCGAATTCGTGAAATTTGTCAGGCATGAAAAACCGGCAAAAGAGTTGAGCCTCGCAGACCACCTGGCCTTGGCCTTGTTTGCTGGTGATGAAAAACAAGCCGAGGTACTTTTGAATTATAAAACGATAAATCTCGAGGCTCCAACCGCTGATGAACACGGGCTCGCACCGCTTCACTGGGCCGTCGTGGGTGGCTCCGCCAGCTGCATCAGGCTACTCCTTAAGAAGAGAGTCAATACCAAGAGGTTGACAAAGCGAGGCCTGTCGGCGATTCACGTCGCCGTGCTCTGCTACAATAAGGTCTGGGGTGATTTGGCCAGGCTCCAGGGTCCGCTGGAGCGCGAACGGCTTGCGGGCGCAAGGACGGAACACTTTTCCGAGACGCCATTGCACTTGGCCGCAGCTTTCACCCCCGACAACGAGCCTGGTATCGCATTCTTCAAGGAGCTGATGGACTGGAGCCTCGATTATACCGGATTGACGCCTAGAAATCTGTTTGACGAAACTCCGCTTCACCGTGCTGCCGCCGGAGACTGCGTAGGCGCCATTCAGGCTCTCGCTTACCACCGCTTTGTGGACAATGGAGATCAGTATGGCCGGACTCCTCTGTGGCACGCGGCTGCCGCAGGCGCCCGCCATGCCATTACGGCTCTAATTCGTTTGGGTGCATCTGTTAATTTGACGGATGATTTTGGAAGGAGTCCATTACATGCAGCTTCCAGGGGAGGACACTATGAAGCCGTCTCCCTGCTTCTTCAGCAAGGCGCAAGGACAGACACGGAGACTAGTGTCCTCAACCTGTTACCGATGGATCTTGCCGCCATGTTTGGATTCACCGAGTGCTTGAGGCGCCTTCTTGACCCGGACTGGCGAAAAGTCACCCAGGCCAATCTCGACAGATCACTTCAAATAGCGGCCTCGTTTGGGTGGTATGAATGTGTCGATTTGCTTTGCCAGCATGGTAATGCCAACCCATTCGTGACTTTTGAGAACTACCTGCAGCCCAAGGATGGCCATGCTGTTATCGTCAAGGAGGAGGCGGACGCTTATGCCGCTGCGCTTGCAGAGCGGCAGTTGCACATTGTTTACTTTTTCAATACCTCCGATAAGTGTAAACACCACCGACAACTCAGGTATCCTCCGGCAGACAACGCTACCGACAAACCGCCACCGCTGCCATCGTTCTATCCCCCTGCCGGCGCTGCGCCTCCATCCAGCATGCCTCGGCCTGCAACAGAATCAGCACCGGCTATTATGCCAGGAAGCGGACAACAGTATCAGTATGCGCCCCGACCAGTGGCAGAATCAGCGCCGGCTTTTGTACCAGGAAACACACAACAGCAATATCAGTACGGGCCTCAGCCTGCGGCAGGATCGGCACCAGCTGCTACACCAGGAAGTGGACAATATCAGTCTGCGCCCCGACCTTCAGCGGAATCCGCGCCGGCTTTTGTACCAGGAAAAACACAACAACAATATCAGTATGCGCCCCGACCTGCAGGGGAATCTGCGCCGGCCATGCCAGGAAGCGCACAATATCAATACCCGCCCCGGCCTCCAGTGGAATCGGCGCCGGCCGTTGTTCCAATTACCGCACCGCAGTATCAGCAAACGCCTATCTACAACAGCACGCCTTCTTACAGCAGCCCGGCCTATGTGAGCACGCCATATTCCCGCCATGAAAGTGCCCCTTCATCCTCGGCACCTCTGCAAGCCCCTGGGAAATATCAGTCTCCCGGTCGATATCAATCCGCCGCCAACTTGCCTGCCCGGCCAAGCTCCAACACTTACCCTGTCATGCCGCCCTCCCAATCCCAACGCCTCCAAGAGATGGTGAACCCATACGAGCCCTACCAGCCCCAAGTTTCAGGCCAGATACGTCCGGCAACCTATGCGTATTCATCAGCTCCAGCAGCAGCGGACACTGCCGGCCAGGGCTCGAGCGCCACTGCTCGGTTCACATCGGCCCCAGCGTACACGTCGCCTTACCAGACTTCGGAAGCCGTTGGACTGCCCCCCTCTTTGCCCCGTCAGCAACATCCTCTGACATCGGTGGTGAACGTCGTGGGCACAGTGACTTCGCCATCGCCGCCACCGGAGGAGAGTCTTGTGAAGAGAGATTCTAAAGTAGAGTCGAGTGGGATAATGGACATGCTCAAGGGGAGAAGGCAATGAGGCTTGTTTGGATGTGGCTTTTTCTTCTTCTTGGATGTTTATAATGATGTAATGAGGATACACAATGTAATGCTTTGGTTTTTTTCATACCTCTATTAGTTTCTATGCTTTATACAGTGAATAAATAGATACACCTATTTAAGCTGAAAAAAGTTTCATATATGTAGCTTTTCCAGTTAGTTACTCTTCATCACAAAGTCTCATTTCATAATAAACCAGCAGTTCCATTAAATTGCATTTCACATAGCTTCAAAACGTTCAGTATGCGTATCAAGTATCTTGATCTAGAAATCTATGTATTGCCTTGCGTGGACATGAAACCTCGCGCGTTCAATCTAACACACGCAGGTCTCAACTCTCAAAAAGGGAGCTATCAAAGTCGATCTGGCCAAAACCATGGCCATTTGGCATCTGTTCAATCAAACTAAAATCATGAATAGACACCCCATCGATTCAACGCCGGCAACAAGACTTTTTTTCGCTTTCCTCCGAAAACTTTTACCTCGGGCACCCATTTCTTTTTGTTGCCATGCTAACGAATGAGCAAACAATACGCGTGCCATACCCTCTTCATAGATCTCAATCAAATGCGCATGCATATATGCATGTCTGATTTACGCAGGCCACCCAACAGGAGGCCATCTCTGCTTGTATCCCCGTCTCCGGCATCAATGCCTGAGACCGCAATCTATCTGTAAATGTAAAACTACATGCTGAACTTTTCAGGTGCGATTCCATTAATGGTGATTAGGCTTTGTCGATAAAAAATGCACTTTTGTCAAATGTCATAAAATCAAGGCTGTACTGTCGATGCCGCGAAAATATAATGATTGGCGACTGGGGCATGAAAAAAAAAATGCCTCTCAAGTCGCCGTGCTTTTTTCCCTTCCTTTTTTGATAAATCAATTCGATTTTTGTTTGGCAGACAAGACAAGTTCTTCAGGAATCCATTTGCGTATCCTATGCTCTTCCTCTTCCATGAGGAGTCGGTCGGCATTTGGAATGCAATTCGTTGGATTCTTGTCCAAAGCTGTGACTCCTGCATTTCGTTGCTAATACGAAGCAGATTCGGATACGTCTTGCGCCTCGTTTCTTCGTTGCGTCGTCATAAAGCGATACCAGTCGGTGTTGGGTAATCGCAGCTCTTATGCCAAATGGCATTGACGGCTTTGATGCTGTTGCCGTGATATCCATATTCAAGCATAGAATACGGCGGTGACAAGCAATGCCTAGAGCGGCACGCCTCTTCAAAGCGGTGACAAGTACAATCCACTCCGTAAACAGCATCAAGCACGTCATGAGATTGCCGGTTTGCAGAGCATGAAGAGTGGCAAAACATGGCCAGTACTGCAAAAAGTACCACGTGGCAGCTTGCCTTGCTCTGCAATCGGCGTCAAAGAGTATTGTACACTAATGGCTCTGAGACTAATTGAAGATGGACGCAGCCTCGAGAATTTTTAGAAACGCAGAGTTTTGGATAAGATAGTCGTTGTGGCCGTTGTTTTCCAGTGCTCCCTTGGAAGGTTCTCGCAGGCCGCAGCCTTGCATCTGGGCAATGATGTGGGCAGCAGCATCACAGGACATAGTCTGGGGCGCTTCAAAGTCGACATCCCTCGGTGAGGGTGCGTTGAGGTTACTTGAGCTGGGAGTCACGGGCCCTGTAGAGTCGTCCGAGGTGATTGTGCCGTCAGAATCGTGGCCAGAGGCGCTCTGCTGCATGCTGGCACTGGCCAGAACAGCCAGCTTGTCGACATGGGCATGCTCCGGGAAGAGCGTCGCCACGGTGGACGAGCGTCCCAGGGCAGCAATGGACTCAGCAGTGGCAATCTTGGCGGCGTAGTGCTCGGCCTCGCTGGCGTCCTGGCCCTTGAAGGACTGCAAAAAGTTCTCCACGGCGTCGACGGTGATGCCGTTGTGGGCGAGCAGCAGCCTGAGGCGCGAGTTCTCAATGGCCACCTCGCGGGCGGCCTGCTGCATCTCGAGCGTTGCGGCAACGCCCTTGGTCTCAAAGTCCTGCAGCTTCCTCTGCATGCCCTCGACGTATTCTTTCCGGCGGGCCCGCGACCGACGCTGGTTTTCTCTGATGCGGATGGCTGCAGCACTGGACTTGGCTGAGCTGTCGGTTTCCTGCTACATGATTGCGGGTTAATTGGAGTGCTTGTGGGCATTTGCAAGGCAAAAAGACGCAGAATGTGGGAAAATGCAATTGGTGAAAATTTGGTGACATGCTGCCAAAAAACTAGGTGGGCGTGGGGGTGTGTGTGGTTGTCAGCAAAGTGTCTAGTAAAAAGACACAACTCACCTTGGCTCTAGGCATGATGGGAAAAAAGAAAAAGGCCAATTCGGAAAGAGAGATAAATAGACGAAAAGAAAGAAAAGAGAAGAGGAAATAAAAACACAGGTTGCAAACTGTCACAGCGAAAACCTGGTGGCGGATCCAACGAACAAGAAGTTGGTTAGAGAAGAAGGAAGAAGGACGGGCGAGCAAGGCGAAAGATTTTTGTCAGCAGTCGCGTGCGCGCTTCGTTTCTTATTACACACTCATTCTCGCATCGTCTGCACTGCAGCAGCAACGACACCGAGAAAAAAAAAATCTGTCACTACTAAAGCTGGCAGCTCCACCGCCGTGGCCCCAATTACGGAGCCGCACTTGCGACAAAACGGGCAATAAAGTCTGCAGACTATTAGCTGTGCGTCATTCTGTGTGCTGTGCTGCAACTCGGGGGATTATTGACAGTAGGAAGTAGTAGCAATTAAAAGGTAGGTAGTTGAGCCAGATGTGTGTATGTGAGTGTGTGAGAGAGTGTGCATGTAGTATCGTTGTCTCTATTCCTCCGAGGCAATTCATCTCGTCCTCTCCTCTCCTCTCTCTCTCTCTCTCTCCTAGCCCAGTCGTGGGCCCCCGAGACTATTTGCCTCTCCCATGTTTCATCATAATAAAAAGAATAAAAAAAGAATAAAAAAAGAAAACACTAAAAGAATAAAAGAAAAAGAAAAATCATCCATTGGCCTCGCTTTTTGCAACTCCACCACGCCGTCCCTGAAAAAAGAACAAAAAAATGGGAAAGAAAAAGTAAAACCCCCCCCAAAAAAACAGCCGCTAGCGTTGTCACCGAAACAGCCTATTCCGCGTCCTTGTTGAAAATCTCTCCACCCCGGTTCCCTGCTGGGCGTGCCACAACTGTTGCACTCCTACGCCTCGGCTCTCGTGGCACAGTTTATAACGCCTCCAGGCCTCTCGCAAGTGGTCTGGTCGAAGTGGGCCTCTCCGGAGATCAGGCTCTTCGTCGTTTTCGGCTTCGTCGGTCGGTGGCGGTGGTGTAGCCTCATCGCTCTGCTTCTCTCCAGCGACAATCCATTCGGCTTGGACGTTTCGTGCTCCCTCAATGATTTCTCCAGCAAAGAGCTTGGCCACTGCTTTTACGGCGGTAGCCACCATCTGAGGCACTGACTGCGAGACGGTTGCATTGACAACCTAGAATACCCAGTTTGTCAGTTCATGACTTGTCCACTCATCATCAAAAATCTCAAGTCTCATCGGGAAAGCTTACCCTCTTGACAACCGCATCCGACAGCTTGGCCGCTCGCCAAAACTCGTACCGATCATACTGCAGCGGATCAAACGCCTCCACGAGCATAGCCCTCAATCTTATTTCTTCTTGCTTCTGCTCCTGTGTCCGCGCAACCGCATCCTCCAGCGCCATCTCGGCCTTGTCGTCATCCTCATCGTCCTCCAGCTCCTTATCACCGCCCTGCCCGCTCGCCGTCGTCGCCGCCTTGCCTCCTACCAAACTTGGCGTCTTCTCCGCTGCGTCATCCCCCTTGGTGTTCTTCGCTTTCCTACCGCGCTTCTTCCTGGGGGCGCCGCTCGTCGTCGCGCTCACCACACTGCCGCTAACATGGGATGTGGCATCGACCGATGGCGATCTGGGAAACGGCGAGCCTGCTTCTGGCGGGAACGACGTCTGCCGCAGGGGGTGAATCGGTGGTTGTGAGATGACGGAGCTCTTCCTGCGCTTCCCAGGCGGCATGTTCATGTCCATCGTCGACGACCGCTTCTTGCTGGGAATCTGCACCGGCGATGGATAGGGAGGCGATGTAGCCAATGGCGACGTGGCATAGGGAGGAGACGCCATATTCGCGGTGGGTGATGCTGTGATTCTGTGGAGATGCGCTGATGATGCCGATGGTAGCCCAACTTGCCGTGACGAAGCACGCGTAGGGAATTGTAGATGCGTCGGCTTGCGGGATGTCACGTGATGAAGAGCTCCGCTGCTTTATGCAATCCGGCTAAGCCATATCGGGATTAGCAGCGCATAGATCTCTTCCAATCCCAATATTGCTTGACCTCGTTACCTTTCGAATCCAATCTGAGCACTGTAAAATAAAAATCTCCGAAATCAACTGCAAAGGCTTCGATGATTAAGCAAAACAAGATATTCTTTTGGTTTATTTTTTTTCTCTTCTCTCTCACCCGGCAACATTAAGTCTTGCCATTTATTTCCCCCCATACATGTCTCCTCTGCTAGACAAACCGCAACTAAAACTATCGAGTCGTAAAACTGAAAAAGAAAGAAAAGACTGAAAGAAAAGAAGAAAGAAGAAAGAAAAACAATTATTTGCACACACACGTACACATATTCTCTCCCCTCAAGTGCAGTGGCTTCCCCTCCAAAAGATAAAAGTATTCCATCCGGGCCCTCTTTAAATGCGCCCATGTCGTCAAAGAGAAAGCAGAAGAAGAAGACACGCCGCGTCCTGGTATTACAAGCATACACATGGTCCTTTCCGGTTGGTACCAATTACCAAAAACTCCCAGATCCTCCCGATAATAAAAAGAAAAAGCACACATTAAAAAGAAGAAACAAAACAAAGGGTCCTCAGTCGCAGCACGACCAACCTTTTTTTTTTGTCGTTTCTTCCATTTCCCAAGAACAAACCAAGCTACTCTCCGTCCAACATCGCATCCAACCCATTCCTCTCGCTTTCTAATAAGTCTGCTGTGACGTTTCCGTTCGTCATCGTGGTATCCTTCTTCTTTTGATCTTCGTCTTCGTCTTGATTCGTCATCTCTTTAAACATTTGGTCAACCTTGCCGTCGTCGTGCTTCATGTTTTCGTCCAAGTCAGCGGGAGTCATGGACCGTCCGTGCTCACTCATGGATCTTTGTCTGCTACTCCAATCTGATCCCCATACCCCTTCGGCCTGGTCTCTCCCCAGCTCAGAGCGAGTAAACATTCCAAGGCCCTTGTTCTTCTCCGCATCGTCCTGGCCACGCGTAAACCGCTCCTCAAGTGACATGCTTGAGTCATCACCCGCCAAGTGCAGGCCACCAGCGCGCAGGAAACTGGGATGCAAGTTACTCTCTGCTTCAGCGGACCCCAGCTTGATACCACCGCTTTCCGAAGGCGATTCAGACTTTTCATCTGCATGCCCGTGCGAATTAGCAGAGATGCTTGGAGTTGTTGAATGGGACGCGCGAGAGAAGTAAGCCTGCGGTCCGTATGCTGCATTGTGTGGATTGGGCACGCTGGGCATAGCCGTTGGCGCCTGAGCCGCTGCCGCTGCCGCCTCCGCATTCGCTGCTTTCCGTCGCAAGCTATTCGCCTTGCCTTTTGCGTGCTCCGGGAGGTCGTCTGGATTATCGACTCCGTATTCCACCAGCATCTTCTGGAGCTTCGTGGGGCGAGGTTTGCGCGTGCTCAAAGAGACCTGCAGAATTGGCGGTGGCTCTGGCGCGACCGGACACCACTTGTGAAGCTCTTGACGGAAGAAGTTGGTCTCGTATGATAGCAGAATCTCTGCGCCCTCAAGTTTCCGGAGGAAAAATCGCTGGGTTTCAGCCTCGGCTTCCGTCGAAAGAAGAGGGTTGCAGTACTGGGCAATCTTGTCTCTAAAGTTTTGTGCGTTATCTATTATCGACCGAAGAACCTCTTCCTCTTCCGGTTGGAAGGGTAAGCCTGGTATCTCGTCGGCAAGAGAAATGAGATCTTCCAGCTTGGGCCGAGATGCATCGCGAGGAATCTTCATTCTCCAGTCACATATCGGGCAAGTATATTTGTCATCTTCCTTTACTTTGCCACGGGCAATCTTTAGGCATTTGTAGTGGTACCTGGTTATATCAGCGCGTGCTCCTCCTTCTGAATCGCGTGTATTCCAAACTTACCATTCGTGGCACAACTCGCACTCAATCATCATACCGGCTTCGATTTTTCTGCAGATACAGAATACCTGCCTCGATCGTGGATCTTCCCACCGATTTCCTCCCGCCTCTGGGCTGGCTTCTCTCGAAACGGGCTCTCCAGGAAGGCGGGGGGTGTCGTGATCCGTATCGAAGCAGTCAGTGTTCCGCTCAAGGACATGTTCTAAATGGCTTTTGAGAATATGCAATGGTGCATTAGACTTCCCAAAGAGCTTTTTGCCCCTTCGCATCCAGTCCTCATGACGCTTTCTCTCATTCTCCAGGTCGACAGTGCCGGTGGGTTTCGAGTTGAGGTCATCCAGCTTCCTCGTGATTTCGACAACTTCGGAGTACTTGGGCCGCTTTCTGTAATCGGGGTCGCGGCACCGATCGGTAAGGTCGATGATCTGGCGGTGCGCCTCACGCTGCTTGTGGAGTATCTGGTCGACTGCAGCCAGCGTCTCGCGAGAGACGGGGAGAGCATTGGCTTGTACCTGGGCCGTGAGTGCCTCCAACTGAGGATAGTGGACAAACTCGGCATGGGTAAGTTCTCTAGCCTTTGCCTCCCAGGCTTGGCCCGCCTGCAATTTGTCGCAGTAGTACTTTAGGTGATCATTGTAGCTAGGGATCTCTAGCCGCTTCCCTTCTTCAATGATTTCTTGCACTTCTGCCAACAGCAAAAACTGGCCACGGCTTGTCCTGGCTTTCTCGTTCCAGCGCAATTCTTCGAGTCTCCGACACAAGGCCTCCAGCTCCGGGGTGTCTATGTTAAAGCCACGTCCCTCTTCAATCAACTCCTCAATCGCTCCGATGGGATGGGCGATATTTTGTTTGAGAATGGTGGTGGCGTTATCCTGGAACTGCTTCACAGCGGCTGCCCGCTCTTGAAGCTGTGCTATCTCGGGGCAATCGAAGCCAATGTGCTCTGCTTCCGTAAGCAGGCGGTGGATGTTGCTTACGTGGCGCGACTCTTTGTCTTTGTCCTTGTCCTTGTCCTTCTGATCATTATTGGCACTTCCACGACGCCCGTTACTTTGCCAGACTTTCTCGTTTTTGCGGCGATTCTGCTGCTTTCGGACAATGTAGTTGGTGGCTTCTTCGACCCAGTCGTTACATTTGTCCACAAATTCCCTCAGAATAGGAAGAGAAGTCAGTTCATAGGGGATCTTCTCGCCTTCGTGCAAAAGTGTCCGAAGAGTTTTAAGCGAGGGAGTAGCTTCCTCCTCGAGGAGCTTTTCATATTTTTCCTCCCAAGCTTCGGGTGTGCGAGCTTTTTCAGAAACTTTTTGATATATCGATATCATGTCATCATCGGTTTTCCGATAGATGAGCGTATGCTCCTCGCCCCTCAACCGCTTCTCTTCTGGCATATCGCAACAGGCATGTGTTCCCGCATGGAAAATGCACAGGATTTTCCCTGAACGATGGCACTTGAAGCGAGACAGATATGCAAAGGCCTTGCAGTAGCTGCAGCACTGCTCCTCTTCATCCTGAACATCGCTATCGTCGATCTTAAAGGTAAGCGGGCAGGAGTCTTCGCTTCCTCCGAGGACTTGGCATCTATGAGGAGACGCCTCGGTATGCTTCGTAAGGAACTCTTCTCTCTGTACTCGCTCACGGTGGCTTATGCGATCAAGAGCTGGTGCCAGCCATTTTGCCGTTTGAATGGTAAGGCCCGAAGACACGCTGCCTTCTGCAGCCGTCCATAAGAGCTCGTCGTGAGAAAAGCATGGCTGCCGGCGGAATAGCTGTAGTCTCTCAACTCCAGCCTGTCCGAACTTCTCCCAATCGCAGGGGGCAAAGTTGACAGCCTCATTGAAGTTGAAGCCATGGTTGAAGCCAGCATGATAGGCCTGAGGGAACGTAATGACAAACTGGCCTGCCCTCTGATCCAAGGCGTAGACGCGCACGCCTGCCTTTTTCAGCTGCTCTGGCGTGAGAAGTGTAACCAACTGGAAGAGCAAATCCGGCTGGGTCTCAAACAGCTCGGGCACAGCCTCCTTCATGGCCGTTTCAAACTTCTCGGCATCTTCTCCAGGTATGCCATACCACGTTTTGGTCGCGCCCAGGTGTTGGTAGTTGGCTGAATAGGCATAGTGGTCTTCATTGTGCCAACAAAACGTTGAAAAGATCATGCCAACATACACCCAAGGCACGGTCATGCCTGAGATGTCAGACTTGATGTGTCTAAAGAGGCTGTCTTGGTGGAAGGGCAGAACATTGAGATTCCATGGATCAGTGGCGTACGGGTTATTCGGATGCTTTTCGACGGTAGGGAAGCCCGAGCCGTGTGTGGTGCAGTGGATGTCAGCACCGTATTCAACTTCGACAGTCTCTTCCAAGTCTGCCACCAGGCGCCAGAATTCGCTTTCGACATCTTCTTCAGTGACCGGCCTATGGCAATGAAGAGTCTCGTCAAAGGGCATCTTTTGCTCAAAATAGCCCTGCTTGAAATCGTTTGCTTTTTGTTGAAACTGTTTCAGCGAATACAAGCCGCCCTCTTCGAACCCAAACTGGCCGTCTCCCACCAAGCACCGCGGGCAGTTCCACTCGGCCTCGGGCTTTCGCTTTAGCGGGGGGTCAAGGCAAGGGCCGTGGTACGCATGGTCACAAGATTCGCAAACAAGCAGAGGTCCGCCGTCCTCACCGCGTCCACAATTCTCGCACTTGTTTCCGGCAGCAGTGCCTTCTTCCCGGGGAATTCTGGGGACAGAGGGGCGAAACACGGTCATGTGCGAACCGGCCACTGTAGGCACGTTATCCTTCTTGAGGCGCTTGCTGCGCCGGCTGGCCATATCAGCGTCATCCTTATCGGTATCCCCTTCCTTCTTGATTGAGTCTGCTGGGCTGCCGACGCTCAATTGCCGTTTCAGTGCAACAGCGGAGCCGAGCCCCGATGGCCGAGCTTCGGGGGTATTTCTTGTAGAAGTGGAGGGGCTGTCGTATCGCTTAGAGTCTGGGGTGTAACTCTTGCTATCACCATTGGTGGAACGGTTGACGCTGGTGAAGCCCGAATTGACTGCAGTGAAGCCGCCGTTGGTGTTGATGGCTGTAAATCCAGAGGTGGGTCCTGCTGAGGTGGGAGCAGGCGGCGCATCGGCCATGGGGGTGTCTCGATCCATCTCTCTTTTACCAGCGACGCTGCTCTGGAGGGCATCCGATGCTTGTCGGGCAGGTGAGGCTCCTCGGGCGCTGCTCGGGGTGTTGACTGAAGATCGCTTCACGGGCGTCGGTGCGGGGCTCGGTGTTAAAGGGCCGCCATACTCTTGTTCAAGTTGCTGGTGAACTCCAGGTTTTGCCAGTCGCAGATAGTCTTCGTAAGGGCAAAGCCATCGCTGGAACGAGTTCTTGAGCGACGTGGACAAGGACGACATGATCTTGCCGCTGTAGCCAAGATCTCTTCCAATCTCGGCCCATTTCTTCAACTTACACACTTTATCGAATCCACCTCTAGATTCGACGGCTTTCTTCAGGCGATAAAGGTCGAGGGGCTTTTTGTCGACATATGGCAGACGATGTAGATTGTTCCCCTGCTGTTTGTGAAACTTGGCAAGGCCATCTAAATAGGTAAGATTGGCCCTTGTACCTAAATGAAGAAGAAAAAATTAATAAGCAAATTCCGATGTTTTTATTTTTATTTTTTATTTTTTTGTTATTTTATTTTTATACGACTCCCTCCTTGTGGGAGTAGAAGGGGGGGTTCTGCTCTGCAAGGTAAAGACTTACTGCCTTCCACAGAGTTCAATTCTTGCTTGCGAGTGCGAAAGTGGAATTTCTGTCGACTTGGTCAGCAAATTGTACCGCCAGGCACGTCACTAGACGCCATGTCGGCGCAACAGCACATACTTCAGTGTCAATTGCAAATTCGGGGTTCCATGAATCGGGTGGAATAATTTTGCAGATGCCATACTGAGATGCTTCGGAGGTAATTTTTTGGATATATTGCAGCGGGTCACGCCATTCGTATTCTGTCGGGCAGTAGGTTGGGGCTTCTGATATGCCGTGTGGTCGTGTTTTCTTCTTGAGCGGCTCCCGCACCGCCGTGGGCTGGCCGCGTCTCTCGACCGAGGTCAGATCCAATGGCGCGCTGACCATGGAGCTCAGTGGCACGGGTGGATTCGTAGGATGATAGCCGTTGGAGTTGACCTTGTGCTTCGGCTTCGAGGATGAGGGGACCGCGGACGCCCCAATCGCAGGCGAGCTGCGCGAACTGACATTGGCACTTCCGGAGGCGGCAGCGGCTGCGCTGAGCGAGGCAATCGGTGCCATGGCGCAAACGGATTCCGGCTCCGAGATGTCGGAGAGTCACGGGCGTGGTTGAGAGCAGGCGCAGGCGTCGTTGTCGTTCGGTATAGACAGGGAGGAGGCAGCCAAACAGGCTCATATGAAGAGACACCTATCGTGGAGGCTCAATCCGCATGGCATCATGTATGCGAGGGACCATGCGTCTCGGGCCGGGGCAAGTCGAGACGTGATGGAAAAGCGGCCGCGGCGGTTCTTGTCTGGGCCGGCACAGCAGAGAAACAAAAGAAAAGGTGGCGTCTCGACTATCGGAGTATAAGCATGAGCATTCGGTGTTGCAGAAGAAACGGGATGTAAAACAAAAGTGGTCAAGGACGGGCAGCTGGAACATGGAACATGGCGCAACTAACACGAAGGGCAGTGCAGTGGGAAAGACAGAGACGCAGACATACATACAGGGCTGGGCCTTGTCCTTGTTTTATTTGGTCAAAGGTGCAACGTATTGAAAAGAGAAAAGACGGGCAGAGGGCCAAGGGAGCCGCAGAATCAGAAGCCAGCGAGTTTCTGCGAGTCTCGTTGGCCCTTTGGGTGGTGCAGATGCCGGAGCGAGATTGGATTTAGAGAGTGGGCGGAAGCGCACGAGTGGAATGGGTCGAGGCTTCCGGCGTGAAGGTGCGCAGGACGTTCCTGGCAGAGCAGCAGAGGGACGGGGTCAGAGCGACCGACAGGTACCTGCTGCAGAGCGGTCCTCCGAAGTACAGGTACGGGGCGAGCTGTACTAAGTACCTGTGCAGGCCTTGTACAGGCGCGGCTGCTGCTGCTGGCGGATGCCTGTGGGCGACCTGTGGGCGGGACTTGTACCTGGGTACGGCGCTGGGAGGATTCTGGCGCCGGCGACTAGCGTGTGCGCGAAGTATCGGGGACTTGTGCTCGCAGCTGGACTGCACTTGCCCTGCCAGGAGCTGTGCGCTGCAGCCAGCCAGGTGGTCTGTGTGGGTGGATCCACATCGGCGGCAGCCAATGGGTGGCTGCTGATTCGATGGACCCCGGGCGTTTTTAACTGGGCAAGTACCGCCGCTACGCCGTATGCAGCCTATCGCTGTGCGTTTGGACTTATGCGCGTGGTACGGGGTACTTTGGAGGACATTTCTGCGCTGTTAAAGGCGCTGCACCGGTGGTGGGTTTGCAGGTAGCGTTCTTGTGTCTCAGCCCGCAGCCACAGGCACTCTATCCTATTGCGTGCATGTACTCGGTACCTCCCTTGGCCGTCCCGCTGCGTACCTTGATACATTGAAAATGGAGCCGGTCATGATGCAACCTGAAGCTGCTGCTGGGAGAGGCTCTACGGTACAGTAAAGCGGTACCTGTACATGCCGCACCTTGTGCAGCTTTTTCCCTGTGCGGACGATCCGGTCGTCTCTTCCTCTCGGGTCTGCTGCAGTGCTCCCACCGGGGCCCCCGATTGAGAGGCATCAGCCGGATCGCACAGGGGGTCCAGGTACTTCTACTTGCATGCACTACAGCACAGCACATGTCCTATACAGGTAACCTGTGCCATGCGTTGATTGCTGCACGTATACATGTGATGCGATGCATATGAGCAATGCTCAAGCGCGAGGCAGCTCTGCTGGAATAGCGAGCGTCATCCAAGGCCGGCTTTTTTTTTTTTTTTTACCTTTTTTTGCCTCTTTTTTTTATTTTTTCTGCGGCGTTGCCAATAGCGGCCGCGCCACGGATACATGTATTTCGCACAAGCAAAAGTTGACAGCCCCACCCCAGACGACATCCGGCTCTTGTCGCACTACCAGCTTGCAAAATGGCCAATTTGCGTTTGCTCCCGCCTTATGCCCGCGTCTGGAAGCAAATGGACGCAATGCAGGCTGTACTTTGTACATTGGCCTTGCTGACTGTGGGTTCGACTCGCATTGCACCCTTTGTTGCCATGTCGCTCCGTCAATTTCTCTTCCAAGGCTACTTTAGGACTTGGAGCTGCTTCGCTTCATAACAAACTTCCTCTGTGAGTTTGACGTTGCTTCGACGGCTGGCAGACCACAGCAGCCACGTCGTTGACCAACCGCAAAAACAAAACGCGATGCCTCCATGCATGTACGAGTACGCAGCCAGAAAAGAGAGAGGGAGAGGGAGAGCGCAGAAAAAAAAAAACCCGTGTCGCGCCGAGTCAGCCATGTACTCTCAATATCCGCAGCCAACCCTGCAAGCCGTCCGATGCTGCGCGTATTTTCGCATTGATGCGTCCAAACGCAGCCGAAACCCCCAGTCCGTCCAGCCGGAAAATCATTGTCGCGCCCTGCCTGTGCCAGTCGAGTCCAGCTTGTAGCGCAGAAAAATAGCCGATGGTTTGCTGACCATGCCCATATTTTTTTTCTCTCTCTCCCTCTCTCTCCAGCCAAGAGGCAAATCTGATATGAGTGGTTGCACCGACAAGGGTCAGGCCCGTGGTGGCCAGTGCCGAGCCAATCACGCGTCGGTGAGGTTGAACGGGCGTGTCCACAATTAGCAGCTGGCTGAGCAGCCTCGTGCGGGAGCCAGAAGGATTTGATGATGTGCAGCTCGTAATCAAAGGATTGAGGCCTGTATCACGCATCTCACATCTTACCTGAGAATATAGTGGCCTGTTGTTCTACCGCGCGCTGGAACCCCAGATTCGGGGCTTGTGCTTCGTTGCAGCGTCTTTTGCACGCGCCTTGCAAAGCTCCGAAAGCCCAGATTACCGAGTCTTTGGTGCGCTGCCCCCACTGAGCCGGTGCCGTCATCACCCCACCATCACCAGATCAGTCCTGGTCTAGATACAGTGCTGTGTACCTACTTGTAACTCGTATATTGCCAGATGCCGAACCTACGCCGCAATAGCTAAACTAAACAGCGGTTTGGCTTTTGCCGTACTTGAAATCAATTTTGAGAGAGCCAATAGTACTCTTATCATCACTATTACACATCCATGATAGCAAATACATGTATGGATATAAATGGAATATAGTCTAGCCGTCTGTAGCCAATGAATCACGCGCAGGATATGCACAACTCTATCTGCACTACAGAGCCTCACCCGACGAATCTAGTAAATCTTAATCACTAACAGCAAAGAATCCAAACATCCATCAGTGGGTGCTTATACTTTCCTCCACATGCGCCGAATCCCAAGAAGCCCCGGAAAACCCCTCCAATTGGCGCCCACTCACCATCACGAGTCCTTCTTCGCCCGCCTCTTCTTCTTCAGCAGCTTCTCCACCTCTTTTGCTCCACGCGTCCGCAGACTCAGCTCCTTCATCATGTCTCCCCATCGTATCTCACCGCTGCATGCCGGGCATTTGCAGCTGGTGGGAATAATGGCCCCGGGCTCATCATCACCCAGGGCGTGCTTGCTCCAGCAGTCGACGTGTCCCATTGCCTCGCAGCCGTCGTTGGGGCACATTGCGTATAAACCTTGGTCAGGTTGCATTTCTTTACTGCAGTGAATGCAGTTGCCTTGCCTCTCAAACGATACCACGTTGTGTGCCTTCTCGATATACTCCTTCATCGGAGAGTAATCCAACGCCAGGGAGTGAATCCCCCAAGATGTCGTCGATGAGTCCTCTGCAGGCGGACCAAAATCGGTCAAAATCTTCAGACTCGACGCAACGGGAGTCTTGCTTGTTTCGCCCCAACCCTTCCAGGCTTTGTGGGCGGACTGGTTAAAGAAATGCAGGTTCAATGGCCACTTTGAAAAACTTGAAACACTCGTAAGAAGGTGAAGATTAGGTATGATAGACTTGAGGCTGTGTGGCGCTCGTCTCGGCATGCCATTCCGTTTCCGCTGCGTGGCCACCGTAATGCGCTCTTCGTTTGGGATATGAAGAGTAAGGTGAGGATTGTTTAGAGCCCATCTTGCCATCTTCATGTCAGCGCACGACGCCAACCAGTTGTTTAGGGGCGGTTGGGACCTACTCAAACTTGAGGGCTGCCGTCGAGCTTGGGAACCCAGAGACCAACATAATCATCTCCCAGGGACGAAGACTATCGCGTGACGTTCGCACCGCGCCACCTTTGGCCTCGCCATTGTGCTGCTTCAATCGCCTGGGCGGATTTGGCGTGGATCCAATGTATATCGATGCAGGCCTCACCGTTGAGCGCAAGACATAAACAACATATAGGGCCGGTAGAGGTTTGAGAAGGCCTGACATGCCTATGCTTGCTCACCGCATGGAAGTCTAGGATGCTTCATCGATATCGGTGCCGATGTTGGACATGCTATTACAAACAGTCGAAGCATGAACAAGAGAAAACGTCTCCCGGAACGCGCCGAGATATTTCATTCTTGATGATGCCTAATTCGATGTATGACTAAGCAATTCCGCCAGCCAGAGACAACAGCGAACAACTGAAATCCTGTGCACTCAAAATCCAAGAGGGTCAAATAGGTAAGGTAGACAATAAGTTGGTAGTCTTTATATACTCTGGTTATAGCATCCAATTCCTTCAATTAACTCTAATTACCTACAATATCAAGCAAGTTTGTTCCCTACGCGTCCGAATAGCCATATCCACAAACTCCCAAACTATGTATGATACATGAACCGTTCAAAGCAAGCCCTGCTTCTGTAAATCGTAGTATACCTTCTCTGGCATAACGTTTCCTTCGCCGTCCTCCATCTGAATGACGCTGCCGTCGTCAATCTTGCCCCTCTTCTTCTCTTTCTGCATCTTTTCCCAGAGCCTCATGGCTTCGTCAATCCCCGTGATGTCTCGGAAGAGACTGGTGTTGGCAATGCCCAGGCACTTCAGGCCGTACACGTGGCGTGCCTCGTTAAAGTGCTTATCAAAGGCACGTCGGCCCATGTAGACAAAGTTTCCACAGATTTCGCACGGGAATTCCACGCCCAGTCCGTGTAACCGGTACAGCCAAAAGGGAATGGGCTTTCCATCCCAGGCCAGAGGGAGCTTGAGAGGGTTGTAAATCTTTTCCTCGCCGTCCTCGCCTTCACCGTCTCCTTCATCCATCGGCTCGTGGCGGGTATCAGACACGTTGAGGAGGTTATCGAGTTCCTGCTGACGCTCACGTTCTGTCATTCCTTGCTTGCGTTCAACGTTGACGCGGGTATCGCCTCGCTCAGTGCTCATGGCACTGGCCAACCGCTTGACTCTGTGCTCGCGTTCTGCTACGGCTCGCTCTTTTAGTCTGGTTGGGGAGACGACCCCCTTGCCATTTGCCGATGGCTTCGATTCTTCTTGTCGCTGGCTTCGTTGCTCCGCGGCTTTGATATGCTTTCGTCCATTGAGGTGATTCTTGTATACATTTTCGTTGGAAAATTCTTTCTCGCAGTCATCGCACCATATGGCGTCTCCCGTGCGCTGCTTAGTTGACGTCGCTTGCTCAAGAGTCCACCCCTCCACTTCGTCCTTGGTCCAAGCCTCATCAAACTCCTGGTCGAACGACTGCACAATCTTGTCTACATTCTCCAAAGGCCGTGTTCGTCGCATGAAAGACTCGAGATAGCCGCTTAAATCTCCGACATATTGGAAATACTGATCAGTCAGCTTCTCATTCCGCTTTACGCCCGCAAAGCCCGGCGCAAAGTTGTCAAACAGCTCGAGATACTGTAGATAGCTCAAGCGCTTTACGTTTGGCAGGTTGAGAAAGGACTCGTGGCAAGTATTCAGGTCAAAGAATCTTCCGTAGGCCTCCTCTCCTGAGAAAAGAGAGTCGACAATGGAGGGCAAGGCTTCTGATGGATCGCCATGTCTCGACACCTTGTATCGCTGCTCTGAGTTCTCCGCCTGCTCATTGGGGTATCTTGCGTGATGATCTCGAACGTCCTTCCACTGACGGTAAAACTCCTCGAATGGATCTCCAGTGCCGATTTGTTGGATCTCTTGAGCCCTGCTGCCAGATTCGTCCCCGTAGATGTTCAGTAGGTTCTGGGACTGGGCCTGGATCTGATCCAAGAGCTGTGCAACTTCGTGGTCGCGGTTGAGACGGTCGCGAATCTAAATCAACAGCATTCGTCAGACATCGTCCGGAATAGAAACTAAATCACAGTTTGAGGTGCTCACATGCTTGGGGTCCTCGCGGATACGGTCCGCAATGCCCTGTTCAAGGCGCTCTAGGTCCTCGTGTATGTACCGCTGCTCTTCTAGGACCAACATTCTGTCAGGCCGTGATGCGAAAAGGAATAAGTGGCAGAAGAGAGAAGAAGATTGTCGGCGCGATACCAAGAGGAAATCGCTGCGCTCAACCAATGCATGAGGTAGCATTCAGGTACTCCATAAAAAAACACCAAGCAGGTCGCGTTTTGAGAAGAACTGGGGGGCAAAAGCGTCTTATCGGTTTTGCCGGGGTGTTTCCGACGCCAGAAACGTTATCGATCGGTCCAAAAGTTTTGGAGCAAGATCCCCAACTACCGACCTCACATCATCCCGGAGCTGCCAGCAGGTTCAGCAAAAGCATCTATCCTTAACAACACCATCACATCTTGCTACATCATGGCTGAGGGCGCTGGAGGCATTGACCGCAAGGCGGATGAGAGGATGGAGTTTTCCACCTCCAAAGAGGTGACGGTGCACCCAACTTTCGAGGCCATGTCGCTGAAAGGTAAGCCCAGTCTACCGCCTCTGTCAATCGAATCGTGGCAGTTTGTCTGACAGTGGCCATCTAGAGAACCTTCTCCGCGGTATCTACGCTTACGGTTACGAATCCCCTTCTGCCGTTCAGTCGCGAGCCATTGTCCAGATCTGCAAGGGACGCGACACCATCGCGCAAGCCCAGTCCGGCACGGGAAAGACGGCCACGTTCTCGATCAGCATGCTGCAAGTTATTGACACGGCCGTGCGCGAGACCCAAGCTCTTGTTCTGTCCCCCACACGAGAACTGGCTACTCAAATCCAGTCGGTTGTCATGGCATTGGGTGACTATATGAACGTGCAGTGCCACGCCTGCATTGGCGGCACCAACGTTGGGGAGGATATTCGCAAGCTCGATTACGGCCAGCATATTGTTTCGGGAACGCCTGGACGGGTAGCTGATATGATTCGACGACGCCACCTTAGAACGAGGCACATCAAGATGCTCATCTTGGACGAAGCAGACGAGCTCCTTAACAAGGGATTTAGGGAGCAAATCTATGACGTCTACCGCTACCTGCCGCCGGCGACCCAGGTCGTGGTCGTCAGCGCCACTCTTCCCTACGATGTCCTTGACATGACGACCAAGTTCATGACCGACCCCGTCCGAATCCTGGTCAAGCGAGACGAGCTCACGCTGGAAGGCTTGAAGCAATACTTTATCGCCGTGGAGAAGGAGGACTGGAAATTCGACACTCTGTGTGATCTTTACGATACCCTCACCATCACCCAGGCCGTCATCTTCTGCAACACACGCCGCAAGGTCGACTGGCTGACGGACAAGATGCGCGAGGCCAACTTTACTGTTAGCTCCATGCATGGTGATATGCCTCAGAAGGAACGTGACAGCATTATGCAGGACTTCCGGCAAGGAAACAGCCGAGTTCTCATCTCGACAGATGTGTGGGCACGTGGTATCGATGTGCAGCAAGTCAGTCTAGTTATCAACTACGACTTGCCCAGCAACCGAGAAAACTACATTCACCGAATTGGTCGTAGTGGACGATTCGGCCGCAAGGGTGTGGCCATCAACTTTGTGACCACGGAGGATGTGCGCATCCTCCGAGACATTGAGCGTACGTTGTATAAAACATGTCGTCCGCTTGTGGCAAATACTAACTCGCTTGTCCCAGTGTACTACTCAACTCAAATTGACGAGATGCCAATGAACGTTGCCGATCTCATCTCATAATCTACCACTCCCCTCGCGCACAATGAGGGCACAGCGGAAGAGTAGCATACCGAAAAACGAAGCATAACCGGGGCAGGGTACAGAGCCGAGGACCAGGGGCATGCCCGGCTCGTTAATTGTGGAGGAAAGGGGTACTAAGTATGATCAGGTGAGCCATTTCTACTCAGTTCGGGTTATGTTGATCTCGCTAACTTTTAGTATCAAGATTGACTTTTTTTTTTTTTAACAGAGCACTGTTTGGACAATTGGTTTATTGATTTCAAATGGATTATGCCCTGCAAAAGCTGTCAAGTAATAGCAAATGTGCCAATCGACACCAATTGAAAACTGAAAATGAACATGTCATATCGGACTTGTTGCGTTGTATCACAGATGGCGAAATGAACGGTTCTAGTCATAGTCTGCATGCTTCAATAGTGTATCAAGGCTTATTAGCAAAAGATAGTGTGAGGAGCAATCACTAGCATTCTATCCGATATGCTTTGCCCATCCAGGTGTTTCACCTAGTGTAATTATATAGCGACCCCTTTGCTGAGCGATGTGGTTTGGTTTACTCTAGGGTATCTCTATAAGAAGCCGCTTGGGTAAAATGAGCATCTTATGTCAGTGACATGTAGTCATCAAACGCGAGACGATGGCTTGGATAGTGTCCAGGGAATATTAAAATAGCATCATAATGAGAGCCAACTTGGGTTTGAGAAATAGAAGATCGTTTCTCATTCTACATGTAAGCTGTTGATAGGGAGCCCGCCTTGGCGACATGGGCAGCCGCCCTGGGGCTTCTATTTCAAGCTTCCACGGGGAAATCCATTGACTAGCTACCTGGCATCACTCATTATGACGCACGTGAAATATGAAACATGTTACCCTTCTCAGCACAACCAAGGTAGTATCAGAAGAAGCGACTGTAGCAGCAAAGGTAGTAGGGTGAAGGCATGGATCGAGATATTTACGCAGGCGATGGATGATCTTGCTGCGCTTGACAGAAGACATCCATTGTTAGACGAAAACCGAAAAAGATACTTGGTAAAATACAATTTCTGTCGCGTGACACTTGACGTCAGTGGTCACTTGGTGCGAGAGTCACCGGATGTGTGCAGATCAGTGTCTTGGTCGCGATACCGAGAGACTGTCTCAGTTCAATACGACCTCGTGGGTGAAAGTTTTGGCGCCATTCGCTGTCCTTCTGCCCAGATAGAGGCTCCAGATGAAATCTGAGACAGCAGCTGGGGAAACAAGCAAGGTGGGCACTTAGTAATTGAAACTAATACATCAGGTCGGTGTCGGTATTAGTCGAGCTTTGTGTCGGCTCGTCTTCATTCCGGCAGCCATCTCATCTCATACCTTATTCAGCACTGACCGTTGTGCCTGAGAAAGCACAACACCAGGGTTGGAGTCAAATCCAAAGCCTCGTATTACACACATCACGAAAAGGAACAATTTAGAAAAATTACAAAAGAATTCGCCGATAAAAGAACCCTTGCATGCAACGTGACAGACGGTATCTCCTAAATCCCGTCTCAGCTTCAGGGTAAGCTGCAACGTCAGACGGGGTACGTACCTGTACTCTTGCTTGTCCTGTACCACACCTGGAATCAACACCTCTTTTGCAGGTCTGTTGATGGCAATCTTAATTAATTTGCCGCGATATTACATTGCTGTTGTGCTCTGTAGTATGAGGCTAGACGAGGTGCATCACTCGAGCATCCAAATAGGTCACCTCCTACCTCTACGGGAAGTGAGCAGCACGTCCCACATCACACCTTGGACGTCCGTATCAGTCCCAAATGAGGCGTTTTCTCGAGAGACGAGATGCCTACTAGAGGGAGAGACGGTTTCTGGATGCTACCCTGTCTAAAATGAGTCTGGTAAGGAGCTGAGCATGGTGTATCAAACTGGCAAGCCCAAGCGTGTTGGCCGTATTTCCGGGTCTGGAGGCGGCTATTCGAGATTGATGCATCTCAGTTCCGTCGGCTCCATTTTCTAGAATGACACCAAGCCTTGCGGAAATAGTTGCGGGATTGATTTTTCTTTTTGAATCTCGAGACATGGGAAACTCCGCAGCTGAGAATGTTTCATTCTGGAATTTGCAGCAGACGCCGATTCAGGTACGCCGAAACCGTACAGTAGCAGCAGCCCTGGACCCTCCCCCAAACAAAGCAATATCATATTATCTGTAAGGAAACCCGAACAAAATTATTGTGACAGAAAAAAAAAAAAAAAAAAAAAGCCTCCATGTCCGTGTGGAGCTGCGTAACAAAGGACATTTACGGATACCGAGATTTGCTTTTTGGCCGGGGCAGCAGGGCCCCTCCTCACGGGTTCTCGGGCCCGCGATAAATCATGTGAAGGTGGAAATAAAAGACGGGCGGAAGAAAAAAAAAAAAAAATACTCTATAGGTACGGAGTAGATATAGTGCCAACTACAGGGGGGATACAGCAACGGAAAACTGAATGCGGCGCAGCAAACCACGAGCAAAGCCGAGGCCGTGAGCTGTGCGCACTATGTACTCTGTGGTGGTGGACATGAATCGTCGAGTGCTGCTGCGTGTATGACTACGAGTACATAGTATGATTATTATAGGGACCCCATCCGGAAGGGCAGAGTAAGCAGTGATGGCTTGTCTATCCGTCATCCGCGGAATTTGAGCTAGCAAGAGAACTTGTGATGACCTTTTGGGTCGCCTATTGTGCTACTCTCGGCGAATTGGGGACTGTGGGCCTGTTCGGTCGCAGGCTGATTAAATCGATCCATGGGCGAGGGAGAGAGAGATTTGCATCGACGGAGCAGACTCCGTGGTGGTGGGAAGAGGAAGGGGGGGGGGGGGATGGAAATCACCGGGTGAAAGGGTAAAGACGGCCGACGCGGAAGAGGACAGTCTTGACGGTATAATGCATTAACATCCAACCACTGTACTTGGGTATGTAGGTAATATTCGTAGACCGAGAATCAATGACTTGGAGACACAGAGAGAGAAAAAAAAAAGAACTTGAAGCAGCCCAATTCGCTTCGCACTCTCTCGTCGTTTCGGGTTAGTTGGCCTTGCACGTTAATTAATATCCGCGGTCCTAGGTGCTGCTAATTGACACTCTATACTATACCGTACTAGCAAGCATGCGAGATGGCTCCGCTGGAAATTTCTCGACTCAGGCTAGCCGTTAGCTTAGGGATGTGACATGTGAGAGAGAAGCGGCTGTTCATCATGACGACGAGACGAGACGAGATGAGACGAGATTGATCGGCCAAGTTCGAGGTGCGATAACAGCCGCTCGGGCTACTGTACTTATACTGTGCCCTACCCCGAGTGCTTGCTTGTCTTGGTAACTGGGTGGTATCGAAATCATTTCCCGGGATGCTGTTCCTGAATTACGAGCGTCTACCAGCACATACGAGTACTATTATCGTATGGCCCCCATCTGTGACGCTGTGGATACATGCCGACCTGCCTAGGTACATATGTATTTGATCCATTAATCGCCAATCCCCCAGGCCATTGAGGTGAAAAGTGGCATCGATGAAACAAAAGACAAGACGGCACTCGCTCGCTGGGCAGGGCCTTTGCTTTCCATTATCTCTGTTTCCACCGCAGAGCCGCCGGCAGGACGCTGGAACCAACACGGAGCCACCATGCTGTACAGTAGCCGTACACATCAGAACTCACAATCCATCACCTACTCACTTGCCGGAGTCTGGAATTCCAGTCCGTGATATGCATGCCCTGGAGCCATCTTGAAACGAAGCGCCCATTGTGACAGGTCCCCTCTGCGCATTATAAAACTTTGATCGGATAAAGTCTTTTATCGCCTAAAGCCAGTCGTCTAGATTGAGAAGCCCTTGCCCCCAGGCTTGTCAAAAACGAGAGCACCACGCGGACCAGGCCTGTCCTCTACAGGCAATCTTGGGCGTGCCGGGGGTCAGAATAGATTAGGGTGGTATGATGTTGATTGCCTGACCAGAAGAAAAAGCTCCCGTCATCAGATGGAACTCGTGCGGGTGGCTCTTCTTTTGCTTTTGACGACCTAACCTACTAAGGTATACGAGTACATATGTTTTCTACCTGTAGTTAGACTGTCCGTAGTACTAACTACCTATCTATAGTAGTATAATCCTTGATATCACCACCAGTCACTGGAGTAGGTACTGGGTAGTATTCAACAAGTGCCTTACTCGAGTGCCGATGGGTACTGTAGTATTGATACCTACCTTTTTCTGGTATACAGCCAACGTCTTGGTCTGCCAATGCATGGATGAGATGCTCCAAGGGAGGCGCCAAACCAGCAATTCCCGGTAGCTTCTGGATACGGCCAAGGAGGAGCACAAACATGGAACAAGGCACATGAGGATCGCACACAGGCAGCAGCCAAAGGCAGCTAGGCCGAGGAAAATAAAATGATGATTGCGACGGGACAGTGGCCGAGGTCACTGCAGGAGCCTGCGGGTGTCTTGCTCGTCCCCAGCTGGTACCGTGGCAGACGGCCGCAGTACCCGGTACCTTGCCCGGGTAGGGGTGCTGGGCGAGCGAGACGGTTCGGGGCACCGGTTCCGGGCGAAGGGTACCTCGCTGTACCTGTGCAGCGGCGGCGGGTACTTGGCGAGACCTGGCAGGGACCCAGGATGGATTAGCCCGACCTCGTGGTAACATCTCACATCCGGAATGTACATCCGTACCTGCAGCACAGGTGGCAGGGATGCGAATTACTCGGTCATGAGCTTTTTTCCCTTGGTTTTGCTCTTTTCGCTCTCGCCACGTCTCTGGATGTGCTCTCAATGGCCAGCGCGGCTCTGAAAACTGGCCCCCGACAAGCCAACTTGCACAAAATTTTTCCATTGATTGCTTCTGCCTCTGCTGTGCTGTGCTCAGCGGCTCCTCTTTCGCCCAACCTGCGTCCTCCCTGCATGTCTCTCAAAATGGAATCCAGCTTACGAGTACATTATACATTTTACATTATACTGTGCTGTACTCCGTACTCGACTCAGTTCACTTCAGCTCATTTCAGCTCCAGCTCAGCTCAGACAGTTAGACAGAGGCACAAGTCATGTCGCGCGTCTGCATCACCGACTTAATCGCAACTGATCGCCAGCCCGTCGCCAATCGGCTCGACGACCGCGATTTGCCCGCCGAGGGCTAAAACAGGACCGCGTCTGCTACTAGCAGCGTCCGTCCGGTCTGGCGCTTGGTCTCGAGGCGCTTGGACGTTCCCAGACTCTCCCCAAGCGCTGGGACCGTCTGGAGACCATCTCGCCACCATCCAAGCTCAAACCCGTTGGAGCTTGTGCTGGCTTCCCTCCTCCCTCCTCCTCCTCCTCCTCCCCCCTGGTCAGCTCAGCACCGAGCGAGAAGCAGGAAGAAGAAGAAGGAAAAAAACCCCGCTGGTCCATGTTATATTACACGACGGTCCGAGTCCGCCAGCACGGAAGCGCGAGCACAAGCACCAGCACCAGCACCAGCACCAGAGACACGACAGGTTCTGCCCAGGTGGCGTCCGGGATGCCCCTGAACGGCGTGCTCTTTGGGGTCTTTGGGAGCCACTCAGGGTCCGCGCTGGCTCTCCACGCCGAGAGGGCACTAC